GAGGGGGGAAACCCGCTTTGATCACATAGGGCAACAGGGAGGGGCGCACCTGGTTGCTCCAGCGAATGAACTGCTCTGGCGGGATAGACGATGAGCTGTTCCAGGCACTGCCACGTGGCGACACCACCGCCATTGATGCCCGGAAGCTTGAAGAAGCCACCGCTAGGGGCGGCGCTGCCGCCCGGAGAGGCGCTGCTAGGGGCGGCGGTGCAAGGGGCGGCGGTGCAAGGGGCGGCGGTGCAAGGGGCGGCGGTGCTTGGTGTTGCACTGCTTGGGGCGGCAATATTTGGGAATGCGCTGCTCGGGACGGCGTTGCTTGGAAAGCAGCTTCCTGGAACGCAGCCGCCCGGAAAGCGGCAGCTTCCTGGAAAGCAGCTGCCCGGAAGGCGGCAGCTTCCTGGGAAGCAGCTGCCTGGAAAGCAGCAGCTTCCTGGAAAGCAGCTTCTTGGAAAGTTCCGCGGCCTGTGAAGGTGGCTTGAAACGGCGGTCGCGGCCTGGAGCTGCTGCTGCTGCTGATGCGGATTCCGTGCTGATACGGATATCGGATCGGCTGATTCGGATCCGGAGCTTTCTGGTTCATGTCGATCTTCTTCGGACTTCAGATCTTCTGACTCAAAACAGAAAGCTGTATGATATCCACTCCCTCTGATACTTTGCTGATCCACTCCCACTCGTACTTAGAGCTCCCACTGGCACTTAGAGCTATATGAAATCCACTCCCACAGGTACTTAGAGCTAAAATCCACTCCCACTGGTGCTTACTGCTGAATGAAATCCACTCCCACCGGTACTTGAGCTCTATGGTATCCAGTCCCTCTGGAGCTAAAAGTAATCACTCTGAGTCTCCCCTCCTCACCACCTCTTCTTACCACGTCTCCTCACCACGTCTCCTCGCCTTCTCGCCTTACCAAATCACCTTACCCGGATCACCTAAGGACCGTCTAGAATTACTACAACTTTTAATTGCTGCGGTATCGTGCCATGCGCTGCCAGTGACAGGACTAATTAGTAGACGAGGATTGAAGGAAGGCTTTGGACGCATTGTCCGGATGTCAAAAGGCCTGTGAGGGAGAGATTCGAAGGGACGAGAGATTTGAAGGGAAGAGAAGCCGCGTGAAGGAACCGAGTGGTGTAGTAGTGTATAAGTAAGCCTAGCGTGGAAACCTTTTCCTGATTGGAGCAGCGCCAAGTTGTTTCACTGATACGCTTTTCTTGTAGATTTTGCTCAACGCTTTTGGATTACACAACGCCTGATCGAACGCTCTGTCGGTCGTCGGGCTTTGTATGGAAAACACCAAGCGCGAAATATAGGTTTATTAGAGGGAAGCGGTCCCCCATTTTCATGAATACGGCATCGCGGGATTACGGACTCGAAGTTGGACTTTGGATTGATACATTCAGCTCCTGAGATGCCATGATTAAACCTTCGGGGTTTCAGCGAATCGTTCGGTGCGGCGGTGGTTAGCAGAACGCTATTCCATGCCACGCGCCGCGGAAAAGTAGGCACAGTACGAGAATCTGCTGCTAATGCGGCTGGCTCTGCTAGTAGTAGGTGGTAAAGCTGACAGCTGTGAGCGCATGACTCATGACTCGGAGAAAGGCGTTTCCCAGCGAAATCCATCTGAATACATTAGCTGAGTCCATTTGAGCGCATGTAGGGAACTTGACGCAACTACTAAGTGTTTCCAGCAGCACTTTGCTGATAAGATGCACTCTGCTGCCTCGCAAACGCTAACGGGAAGTCTCGGTGGTGAAAAACACGAAATCTCTGTGGATCGAGTGACAGGCGCCATTTGCACAACTGCTCCAAAAGCTGCAACCATTTTCGGATCAGATGAGTCAGGGGGAAACCGACCTTTTCCCAGCATGTGAAGAGGTGAACGCGAGCGTCCATGGTGACACCACGACGCCATAGCTAGCGTTCTGCTAAAATGCGATTGTACTGTGTACAGCAGCGAACTTCGCAATGCAAGGTTGGAAGACGGTAACTAGGGTTCGCATGCCCCTTCGCTTCAGCAAGAGCCTTTCTGTCAAGTTGTACAGTACGCTCCGAAGTGTCGCTTCTTCCTGCCCTTCCCTTTCATCCCCCCTTTCCAATAAAACCAAGCGAGGTCGCCCCGTCGGGACAGATCGCATTCCCGTGCCCGACAATCGCGTGACCAATAGCGCAGAATGGCCGCTTCGGGGCTCCGTATCGTGCTGGGATAAATTTGTCGACGGTTGGAAGCTGGACTACTACTCCATTGAGTGTAGTTCCCCGTAATAATATGAACGATGGGGGTATTCTAATAAACTTCGCGTATAGTTGACTGGAAATTCCCCAAGCAGCCCCAAATCGCAGGTCCGGTTCCCAGTCGAAGGATTTTTGTAAGTGCCGCCGCCAATTCACACAGTAGCACCCTCAAGATTCCAAGCGAAGTGCAAATTCAAGCTGTCTGGTTGCCTCGCGTGCGTTGCAGAGGGACAAAATACCTGACGTAGCAGAAGCACGCCACTCCCATGCGGCCGTATGAGAGGCTGGCGCGTGCCCTCTGCAATGATGAAATCTTTTTCGTCTCCCTCCATAGGCCCGCTGAAGATGGGCCGTGGAAAAGCGTCAGCACGCTGATTCGGCACAAAATATCCAGCTTCCAAGGCCTAAAAAATGAGGGAAGATACATTGCGCGCACTGCACAAGGCATATGCTACAGAAGCGCAAGAAAGCTTCTTACAATCGATGGAGTTCTACGACTCACCACCAATAAGTATGGCAAACCAGGAAGAATTCGCATTTTTTTTGGATTTCCCATATGGCCTCTTGACAAGAGTGACGTGTGTTGCACGAAGGGTGGAAATCTGACCACGTTCTGTCCCCTCACATGCCTTGGCTAGATACACTACACTTACAAGAATCGTTTTCTTTTCACCCCTGAAAATTAGTTCAGGGTCACCACATCGGACCCCATGCTGACGTCCTTTCCAGAACGGGACGGCCAATCACAGTCAGCATGTGAGTCATCACAGCTGTACCAGCCATCCTGCAGATACGATCAGCTAGGACCGCCGAAACGACAGATCGCTGAACGTGGTCAGCATATCTTTACCAGGTTCATCGATGTCCACCGTCATGAACCTCGGCACCAGGGCTGTCGATTGGTTCCAGGCCAACACTTGAGAGTCTGAGGTGCCCGTATTTCAGCCCTGAAATCTCCGGGAAGAAGTGCCCTTTTCCGAGCGTTTAAAGCCCGCGGCCCAAATTGCGGGCCGCGCGGGTCAAGTTTTTAAAACTTGACGAAGTTGAGTGTCCAAGCTTTTGAAAGTCACGCACCTGCAATTTGGGACTTTCGGGTCTCACAAACTCACACCACGGTAAAAACTGGGGGCTAGCTGGGTTTGACGAAAAAAACGATAGCAACGAAATTTGTAACGCTCGCCAAAAACCAACCCCCCAAAACTCCCCTCCCGTCAACTTTTTAAAACATGTGCAATTTGGGCTGCCGGCTTTAAGCGTCCGGGAAAGCACCCAACCAAAAACTTAAATTCAGGGCTACACTACAACAATCAGGGCAAACTCTACATAACGAAAACTAATAAAGGCAGAGTGATTTCTAACTGTCTATCTACCTATCTACTTTCTCAACACTAATAACTAAGTGGCAGGCTTGCGGCGCTTCTCCCCAAAGATCTGGTACACACCTGCCCAGTCCACGTCGTAATCTAGATAAAGTAAGAAGCAGTTATAAGTCAAAGAGCGCGCTTTTGCTTAATTTAAGTTACTGCTATAAATGGTATTGCAGCAATTACTAGAAACTAGTAATGCTTAAGGCAGGAATTACTAGTTTCTAGTTATTTATGTTAGCTTGCTATTTCGTTGTCACATAGAGTCATAAGATCAGACAGGGAAAACGGGGAGGGAGAGGGTGGGGGGGGGGGGGGTGTTGTGGGGGGGTAGGAAGGGCTGTGGAAGTTTCCGGGTAAGGCCGAAAACTTTCACGGGGATTCAGGGAAACCCTCCAAGAGTCCCCTGTAAGAATCAGGGGAAGGCCCAGCCCACGCCCGTTATCATTCCGGGCTGTACAAAAAATCAACCCTGAGAATCTGGACTTTGGGGCAAAGTCATATCTGTCAAATGTTGTAGCCTATAGTGAGGTTTGTCTTAGGGGGTACAAAACTTAGGGTTAGCTATATGTACCCCAACCAACATCAATGCATCATCCATTCCTCATTTTGACATGGTATCAGTTAGGTTAGGATCCTGTGGGATCCCGTTTCTCCGTTCTCCGATCGTACCACCCGAGCCTGATCCTAGCTCTCGTTTCGCCCGTCTTGCCCGAGCCTAGTGCCGGCCCGATCTAGTCCCGTTCGTTCGTTACCGCTCGTTCTTCCTCCCGATCTAGCGTAGCGCTGCCGGTCGCGCTGCGCTTTCCCCCCCCCCCCCCCCCCCCCCCCCCCCCCCCCCCCCCCCCCCCCCCCCCCCCCCCGTCGACCCGCGCTTCCCCCGCTGCCCGTCGACCCGCGCTTCCCCCCGCTGCCCGTCGACCCGCGCTTCCCCCCGCTGCCCGTCGACCCGCGCTTCCCCCCGCTGCCCGTCGACCCGCGCTTCCCCCCGCTGCCCGTCGACCCGCGCTTCCCCCCGCTGCCCGTCGACCCGCGCTTCCCCCCGCTGCCCGTCGACCCGCGCTTCCCCCCGCTGCCCGTCGACCCGCGCTTCCCCCCCGCCCGTCGACCCGCGCTTCCCCCCGCTGCCCGTCGACCCGCGCTTCCCCCCGCTGCCTGTCGACCCGCGTTTCCCCCTGCTGCCCGTCGATCCGTCGCCCTGGCCCGCGCCCCAGCCCGTCTCCCCAGCTCGCGCCCTAGCCCGTCGCCCTGGCTCGCGCCCTAGCCCGTCGCCCAGGCCCGGCGCCTTTGCCCTACCCGCGCGCCCGCCACACCTGACCTACCCGCCCGCTCTTGCCCGCTCTTCCTGCCCGTTCTCCCTTGCCGCTGCGCCCTGCTTTCCCTGCCAATTCCGTTTGCACACTATGGCGACCCCTCGCGTCCTTCGTTTCGATGCTGACGGTCGCCCGCTCGATTTCCCAGTCTGGCTTCTTCGCGCTCGCCGCCTGTTAGAGAGTCAGGTCCAGGCAGGCGAGACCCTCTGGGCGCACGCTACTGGTGCCCTACCTGCGCCCCCCGACCCTACGCCTTTAGGACCTGCCCCTGACGACGCCGCTAGAGCCCGCTTTGCCACTCAGCGAGCTGACCAGACGGCTTGGAAGTCACGTGACGCTGCGGCCTGCATCGCGCTCAGCAGCCTCCTCCCTGAGTCTGAGGAGGTTCACTTCACTCAGGTTCGCACCGCTGCTGAGTACCTCACTGCGATTAAGGCCCGCTACTCTACTCCCGCTGCTGTCTCTCTTGGCCGCCTGTTCCTCCCATTCCTGTTTCCTGACCTAGCGTCTTTTGAGCGCTCTGCTGACTTGATCGCTCACCTCCGCTCGCTCGACGCTAGTTACCGCGCTGCTTGCACTGAGGCACAGCTTGCACTGCTTCCTCCCCCTATGGCGATTACTATCTATTTCATCGCCACTAGCCTCCCTGACCGCCTTGCCTCCGTTCGCGACGCGCTTCTGCTGAAGCACCCTAGTGAGCTCACCGTCGAGGTCCTTGAGTCTGCACTCAAGGACGTCGAGAGCAACCTTCGCTCGGTAGCCGCTGCCTCTGGTGCTGTGCCCCCCCACTCTTCCACGGGTGCACAGTCCCGCAGTTACCCACCTTTACTGCCTCACTTGCCACTGCCGCTACTGACGCGACTGCAGCTGCTGTTACGACTGCGTCGCGGTCCCGCGGTAGGAGTGGCAAGAAAGGCGGTTCTGGTGGTGGTAGTGGAGGTGGAGGCGGAGGTAGTGGAGGTGGCGTTGCGCCTGGCGGCGGTGGAGGTTCAGGGCCTGGAGAGGCGCCTCGTGCAGTGACTGGTGACTCCACTGCGCCTGCTGGTGGTGGCGACGCCCGAGTTCGTCAGTCGCCTCCTGTACTTCCTGCCCCGGTTGGTGGAGCAGCGGCGTGGTACCAGGCTCAGCGTCAGCAGCAGCTTCTGCAGCACCAGCAGCCCCTCTCCTCCCAGCAGCCTCAGCAGCAGCAGCTGGCTCCAGGGTCGGGGCTGCGTCAGACCCAGCGCGGTGCTGCTTACACTCCCTGCACCTACCAGGTTCTGACAGGCCCTCGTCGTGGCCACCCTTGTGGCCGGTTTCACCCCCCTGGTCAGTGCTTTGCTCAGCTCACTGACACGGTTCGTTTGGTCTACGGGGTTGGTGCTCCTGCCCCTGACTGGCTGCCTCTTGTTCAGCGCTACGGCTCCGCTCTGTGGGGCATGTCTGCTGAGCAGTTAGTTGATCTCATTGGTACTCCCCATGCTATGTATGCTGTTGTTGACTCTAGTGTTTCTGACTCTGCTTACTCTGGTGTTGTTAGCTTAGGTGCTAGCCTTGCTCAGTTGCCTGTTGCTAGTGTAGGTTCTTGTGTAGACTCTAGTCCAGCGGCTACCTCAGAGGACGGTTCGCTGTCGTTCACGCTGGACTCTGGAGCTTCTCACTGCTTCTTTCGTGACAGCACGACACTTACGCCTCTTCCTGCGCCTGTTTCTGTGGCGCTGGCTGATCCCACTTCGGGACCAGTCACCGCGCGTCACACTACCACCTTGCCGTGTCCGGCTGCTCCTTCTGGGTCTCTCACTGGGTTTCACGTCCCCTCGTTCTCCCGGAACTTGGTGGGCGTGCGACCCCTCGTGAGTCAGCACGTGGGTGTGTGGTTTGAGCCTTCTGGAGAGACTGCGGTGTGTGTTGACGGGGACTCTTACCAGCCCCTCGCCACTTTTGCTGCTGAGCCGGGCTCCGGTCTCTACACTCTTCACACTCGCCCGCGCGCTCAGCAGCGACTGCAGCAGCAGCAGCAGCCGCAGCAGCAGCAGCAGCAGCAGCCGCAGCAGCAGCAGCGGCAGCAGCCGCAGCCGCAGCCACAGCCGCCCCTCCTGCCCCCGGCCCCTGTTTTGCCTCCCGTTCGAGTCCTCGCGTCTCACCAGGTTGCTCCGTCCCCCCAGGTAGCTGTGTCTTGTCAGGTTCCTCCGTCTAGTCCGGTCGCTGCGTCGTGCTCCTGTCGGTCGCTTGCCCACCCCACCGTTTTGTGGCACCACCGGCTGGGGCACCCTTCTCCTCCTCGTCTTCGCGCTATGTCTCGTCAGCGTCTTGTCTTAGGTCTCCCGCGTGTCTTGCCGTCGCTGCCGCCGTCCCTTGCACCACCGTGCGGTCCTTGCGTCGAGGGTAGGCTGCGCGCCACCCCTCACTCCTCCTCCCTTCGTCCGGCCACCGAGCCTTTTGAGACGCTGCACTTGGACGTCTGGGGCCCCTCTCCTCGCCCTGGCCCTGAGCGTGAGCGTTTCTTTTTGGTGGTCGTTGACGACTACTCCCGCTACACCACAGTGTTCCCCTTGGCGAGGAAGTCTGAGGTGACTTCTACGCTGATCAGGTGGTTGCTTACCACCCAGGACACTCGTGGTCGTCGTGTCAGCTGTCTCCACTCCGACCGCGGGGGCGAGTTTCGCTCCGGCATTCTCGCTGGATTCTGTCGCGAACAGGGCATTCGTCAGTCCTGGACGCTTCCGGAGTCCCCACAGCAGAATGGGGTTGCTGAGCGTCGCATAGGCCTGGTCATGGAGATTGCCCGCACCTCCTTGACTCACGCCCGTGCCCCCCATTTCCTGTGGCCATACGCGGTCAGGTACGCCGCGCACCAGCTGAACCTCTGGCCACGCGTCTCTCGGCCGGAGGCTTCACCGACCAGTCTTTGGACAGGGTCCCCTGGTGTCGCGTCGAGGTTTCGTGTCTGGGGGTGCTTGGCTCTTGTCCGCGACACCTCCGCGGACAAGCTCTCGCCTCGCGCCGTTCCTTGTGTCTTCCTTGGTTTCCCTGAGGACTCCTCTGACTTCACCTTTTACCACCCTCCCTCTCACCGGTTCTTTGACTCCCGTGACGTCCGTTTCGAGGAGTCCACCCCCTACTACGTCAGGTACCCCAGTCGAGGTCTCCCGGTCCCTCCCCCCCCTCTCTTCCTGACCGCCGCTCCCCCGCCTGCTCCCCCGGTACAGCCTCCCCCCCCTGGTCCAGCCCCGTCTGGTGTGTCTCAGGCTAGCCCTCCCCCTTCGGTAGCCCCCCCTGTACAGCCTCCCTCCCCACAGTCTTCCTCGCCGCCTCCTGCAGGTGCTCCCTCTCGGGAGGTTGGTCCTGCGACTGTCCCTGTACAGGTCTCTGGTTCTGGGGGTGCTGGAGTTGGAGCTGAGCCGCGGGTTGCAGAGGACTCTTGTCTTCCGGGGGCTGGTACTGGTCGTGCGGAGTCTGGGGGTGCTGGTGCGGAGTCTGGGGGTGCTGCGTCTGGGGGTGAGGGTGTCCCTTCGGTTTCTAGAGAGCCTGGGTCTGGAGCTGGTGTTGGTGCTGCCTCTGGGGGTGGTGTACTTGGTGCTTCGGAGGTCGACTCTGGGGCTGCCGCTGCCCCGGACACTACTCCTTCCCCCCACCCCTACCCGACCAGGTTCCAGGCTCGTGTTCGCCGTGCTCGTGAGGAGCAGCTGGAGTTGGAGAGAGAGGAGAGAGAGTTGCAGCGGCTCGAGGAGCAGGAGCGACAGCAGCAGGAGCAGCAGCAGGGGCAGCAGCCGCTGGAGCAGCAGCAGCCGCAGCAGCCGCAGCAGCAGCAGCTGCCGTCTCCTCCTCCTGTCTCGGGTCTTCGGACCCTTGGTCTCCCCTCTCCCTCTCCTTCCTCCTCCCCCTCTCCTCCCGTCTCTGGTCCTCCGCTTCCTCCTCCTGACCCCTCTCCCGCTGTTTTCCCTCGTTCTCAGTCTTCGTTGTCTCCTCCTCCTTCTCAGACTTGGGCCTCTCGTCGCTCCCCTCGTGCTCGTCCCTCGTCTCCTGTTCCCTTCACTGACCTTCGTACAGCCTTCCTTTGTTCTCGTCCACCTCGTCCGTCTCCGTCTGTGCTTCCGTCTCCTCCTGAGTCGGCCCTCACTGTGTCGCTTCCTTCTCCTGTCACTGACTACTACCGCACGTACCGTCCTGTTCTCTCTCGTGTTCTCGCCTCTCTTGTTACCCACCCTCGTGCCTCTGTGTCCTCTGTGTCCGCTCTTACTGCCGCAGTCACTGAGTTTGCCTCTACCCGCCGCCTTGACTTCGCCACCGCTCTTGTGGCTGCTCCTCCTTCCAGTCCTCTGGCCGTCGGGGGTGTGTCTGCCCTTGGCTGTGACGCCCTAGAGGACAGGCAGTTTGAGCTAGAGTTCCTGGCGGCCGCTTCCCCTCATCTCTGTGCCATGCTCCTCGCCCCTGAGGGTGACCCCGACGCCCTTGACATTCCGACTCCTCGCACTTACGCTGAGGCAGTGTCAGGGCCTTGGGCCTCTCAGTGGAGAGCTGCCATGGACGCAGAGATGGCCTCCTACAGATCCACAGGCACCTACGTCGATGAGGTTCCCCCTCCGGGGGCGAACGTAGTCGACGGCATGTGGATCTACAGGGTGAAGCGGCCACCGGGATCTCCTCCGGTCTTCAAGGCGCGCTACGTGGCTAGAGGTTTCAGTCAGCGCGAGGGAGTTGACTTCTTTCAGACCTTCGCGCCCACCCCGAAGATGACCACTCTTTGGGTGTTACTACACGTAGCAGCACAGAGAGACTACGAGTTACACTCTCTCGACTTCTCTACTGCTTTCCTTCAGGGCAGTCTTCACGAGGAGGTCTGGTTGCGTCGTCCCTCTGCCTTCACTGGCTCTTTCCCTCCTGGGACCCAGTGGAGGCTGAGGCGACCGGTTTACGGACTTCGTCAGGCTCCTCGTGAGTGGCACGACACCCTGCGTTCTACCCTGTCTGACCTTGGGTTCCAGCCGTCTTCTGCTGACCCGTCGCTGTTCGTTCGTCGTGGCCCCACACCTTTCTTTGTTCTGGTCTACGTTGACGACCTTGTTTTCGCCACCCCTGACAGGGTTGCTTTGGCACACGTGAAGTCCGAACTGCAGAAGAGACACACCTGCACTGATCTTGGTGAGCTGCGCCACTACCTTGGCCTGCAGATCACCAGGGACAGAGCTGCTCGCACCATTACACTTTCACAGTCGCACATGGTGCAGCAGGTCCTTCAGCGGTTCGGGCTTCAGCACTCCACAGTACAGCGCACACCTCTTGCTGTTGACCACAGACTCACTGGACCCTTTCCTGACGAGCCGTTCGAGCCTAGTGGTCCCTACGCTGAGCTTGTGGGTTGCCTCATGTACCTGATGACTTGTACTCGCCCGGACCTCGCCTTCCCTCTCAGCGTTCTTGCGCGCTTTGTTGCGCCAGGGAGACACCGTCCTGTTCACTGGACAGCAGCTGTGAGGGTGGCGAAGTACCTAGCGACGACGTCAGGCGTGGGGCTAGTTCTTGGAGGGCAGCAGTCTGTCGTACTTACTGGTCACTGTGACTCCTCTTACGCTGACGACGCTGAGACTCACAGGTCTACTCAGGGGTACTGTTTCAGCCTGGGTTCTGGAGCTGTTTCCTGGCGGTCCACGCGCTCCTCTTCGGTCTCGACCTCTACAGCTGAGGCTGAGATCTACGCTGGTGCCATGGCGGCACAGGAGCTGCGTTGGTTGACCTTCTTGCTCACCGACCTTGGTGAGCGGCCGAGCTCTGCACCGACCTTGTTCACTGACAACAAGGCGTCTATTCTCCTTTGTCGAGAGCCACGACTGGAGAGCAGAGTGAAGCACATTCACGTCAGGTACTTTCTTCTGCGAGAGTTGCAGAGGCGTGGACAGGCTCGCTTTGAGTTTGTGGAGTCCGAGGCCAACACTGCAGACATCTTCACCAAGGCGCTTCCGCCTTGTGACCACCAGAGGTGCTGTGTGCAGTTAGGCCTTGTTGACACTGGTTCTCGTGTTGCTTAGACTTGAGTGTACTGTTTACTTTGCTTTCTATATACCTCTGTTACTTCTTGGACTGGCCTTGTGGCCACTGTTGTTTGTGCTCAGACTGTGTGGTGACGTTGTGATCCACCCTGAGCTTCGTTTCTTGGACTGGTCTTGTGACCGTACTCGTTTGGTTCTGCTAGACACCCCTCACTTAGGCTATGGGGGTGTGTCAAATGTTGTAGCCTATAGTGAGGTTTGTCTTAGGGGGTACAAAACTTAGGGTTAGCTATATGTACCCCAACCAACATCAATGCATCATCCATTCCTCATTTTGACAATATCTTAATGTTCAGGGCATTAAGGCCATATGCCCTTGAATCGACAGCCCTGCTCGGCACCGCAATTTCCATAGCAGTTGCGAGAACGGACGTTCGGGGCGTGGAATTGGCCCGTTGTTGTTGTGCAAAAACACAGTGCGACCATTTCACGTGTGAGAATGATGCCCAAGTCCCTACATTGGATAGTTTTACGACAATAAAAAGGTGCTCTATAATGAACCAGCAAGCTCGATAATGAACACTGTTGTCACGGAATCCGCCCAATTGAATCACAATATACACATATGAGGAGATAACCCCCTTTCTCTTATAGCACTTCACCAAAACTGCAAAGTTCAATTCCTTATGCAAGGGGCTTATTGCATATCTGTACAAAGAACAAGCTCAGGAGGGCCATCTTGTACCTAAGAGAACCACGAGATGTGGCACAACAAGATTTACATGAGCTGCTGTTGCAATATCGGCACCCCACATGCTGCAATATCAGCCCTTCACACACAAGAGCCACCCACATGGCTACATACCATTGGTTCCGTGGCGTTTAGTGCCACATTCAGAGCAGAACTTAGAAGAATCCCTAACATATGTGGCTCCACACTCATCACAGTACTTAGCAAGAGCAGCAGCTGCAGCTGCTGCTGCTGCCGCTGCTGCAGCTGAAGACTGCTGCACACAGCCGTAGGGTGTCTCTCCACACTCCGCCTGGGGGGGAACAAGGGAGTGGTGAAAGAATATAAACGCAGCACTTATTATCATGCAAAGCATAGCTGCTGTAACTTCTGCAGCTGAAACAGAAGCATGGATATTAAGACATAGGTTGAACCTACAGTGATCCACAAATCGTTGTGATCATGAGACGCCTCAATACTGTCTTGAGACGTATCAGTACTCCATACAGACAGAACCCCCTGGGTAAATGCGGAGGCACGTGTCCCGGCCCCATGCCCTGCTGCCCCTGCAGGTTCCCCAAGGGTCCCCCAGGCCCCTGGGGGAGATGACCCAGAGGCATTCCCACCTCCCAGCCCCATCTGCTGGTGCCCAGGCATGTAAATGCACTCACTTACCAGAGTGGGAAATCGTAAACAGGTTACGCAATGCACTTACTGGGGTGAGAACCATGGCGAGGTGATGCGACCCAGAAGGCAGCAACCCCCTCGGCAAATGCGGCGGCACGTGTCCCGGCCCCATGCCCTGCTGCCCCTCCCCCCCCTGCAGGTGCCCCAAGGGACCTCCAGGCCCCTGGGGGAGATGGCCCAGAGGCATTCCCCCTCCCGGCCCCATCTGCTGGTGCCCAGGCATTCCCCCCTGCTGGGGGTGGCCGTGGGGAGGGCCTGTGGGGAGAGGGATGGGGGCTCCGGTCTGATGGTGGATTTGCAGGTGGATTCCTGCTGTGCCGGCTTGGTGGTGCGGTGGCACGGATTGGAGGGGCGCGTTGCCGGTGAGGTGCGGGGAGGGCTGCTGCTGGTTCGGCGGCCGTTGCTGCTGCTGCTGTTGTTGTTGTTGCTGCTGTTGCTGTTGTTGCTGTTGTTGTTGCTGGTGGTGTTGGTGCTGTTGGTGGTGCTGATGCTGGTGCTGCTGCTGGTGCTGCTGCTGCTGCTGCTGCTGCATGGATGGGTCTGATGGGTGATGCTGTGAAGAGTCTGCCATGACCATGGCCTGCACGGTTAGTGGGGAAATCATTGGATATTGGATCAATAATGCAATAATATTGCATCAATAATGCAATAATACTGCATAAACTTTGCATGGATTATGAGTGATAGTTTAGTCGACTCACAATGCCAAAGACCATGACCTGCACCATGGGAGGAGATGAATGGAGTGGCAAGGCATCGAGCAGCGTGGCTTGGTGTGGTGTGGCGTGGTGTGGTGTGGTATGGCTTGGCATGGTGTACCCCCCCACCCTCCCCAACACCCCCCCCCCCCCCCCCCCCCACTCCTTCCCCCACCCCTTTCTTTCCTCCCCACACTGTCCTGACCATGTGGTGCATGGGCGCAGGGAGTTCAGCAGGGTTCGCCACAGTCACGGCCGACACAGACGGCTGAGGCACCCTCCGGGGTTTGGGCCGGGGTGTGAAGTACTTGAAGTCCCGCGGGTAGATTGCCACCTCATGCCTCCCGGTTATGCGTTTGAACCTGGGAGAGGGGAAGCAGGGTGTGAAAGGTTCTTTTATGTGCCTCAAAAAACACTCCAGGGTTTGGGCCGCGGCGTGAAGTACTTGAAGTCCCGCGGGTAGATTGCCACCTCATGCCTCCCAGTTATGCGCTTGAACCTAAAAGACAAGAAGCAGGGTGCGAAAGATTCTTTTGTGTGCGTGCCTGTTGTGAGACGCCTCAAAAGACGAGAAGCGGGGTGCGATAAGGTTCTTTTGTGCCTCAAAAAACCCTCTGGGGTTTGGGCCACAGCGTGAAGTACTTGAAGTGCCGCGGGTATATTACCACCACTATGAACCAACTAATGTAGCACAGTAGAAGAAAGAGAGAAACGATCATCTACAAGCTGTGAGTATGCAGGAAGGAGAAGTGCCTACCACTCGGCGTCGTCAGGTGACATGGTGGAGGGTCGCTTCACGAGCTCCAGCCAACACATGCACCACAATGAACCCTCTATTGTAGCCCCTTACAGACCAAACAGCAGCTCGCTGTGTGAGAGTGATCAGCTTACCACTCGGCATCATCACGAGACATGGTGGAGGGTCGCTTCACCAGCTCCAGCCCATGCAGCATGATGAACCGGCTTTTGAGGCGCATAGAGAAAGGACATTGAGTAAACAGGTCGACAGCAACTCAACAAGAATGAGAAGTGCCTACCACTCAGCATCATCAGGTGACATGGTTGACGGCCTCTCCACGAGATCCAGCCCATGCACCACGATGAACCGCACGCGCTTGTCATCCCGCCCCAGCACCAACTGAGGAAAGCGTGCCCTCGCCTCCAGAGCAGATGCCATTTCCCTTCGCCTAAATATGGTCACAGCTCCTGGAAAAATGAGAAAACAGGGGGGCAGAAAGCAGGCGGGTACTGGAAGAGTGAATAGCTGTGGCACGCGCTTGCCATCCCCTTCCACCAGCTCTAGCCCATGAACAAGCTCCTGGGAGAGAGAGAGGGAGCGAGCACCCTGCTACTCACCGGACTTGAGGAATTTCTCGACCATGCGGCGGTACAATCCACCCGCTGCTTCCAGCGCGAGCCCCATGGTCTTGCCGCGCAGCACGTCCATCTCCGCCATGCGCGCGTTCACCTCGCCCACCAGCGTCTCATACGCGTTACCAAGGTGCCACGCGTACCCCCTCGTATCGTATGACGCCCGTACCAAGGGAGAGGTCAAGGGAGAGAGGAAGGCAGGCAGGGAGGGAGGGAAGGAGGGAGCCAGCACCCCTGCTACCCACCGGACTTGGGGAATTTCTCGACCATGCGCCGATAAAGCCCCCCAGCAGCCTCAAGCGCGAGCCCCATGGTCTTGCCGCGCAGCACGTCCATCTCCGCCATGCGCGCGTTCACCTCGCCCACCAGCGTCTCATACGCGTTCGCCAGGAAGATGAGCGGCAGCAGGTGCCGCGGGTCCCCCTCGTATGACGGCCGGATCACCTGCTGCTCTACCGGTGGCTGCCCGTCCTCCATCTGTAGGGAAAAGGGTTAAAGACGGTGCGGAATGGAAGGGGGAGGAACACCAAGGGGAAGATGAGCGGCAGCAGGTGGCGAGGGTCGCCCTCGCATGATGGTCGAGTGACTTGCTGCTCCACTGGCGGCTGCCCGTCCTCCATCTGAGGGGTGTGGAGGGGCGAGGAGGGGAGCAAGATGGTTCACCTCGCCCACCAGCGTCTCATACGCGTTCGCCAGGAAGATGAGCGGCAGCAGGTGCCGCGGGTGCGGGTCCCCCTCGTATGACGGCCGGATCACCTGCTGCTCCACTGGCGGCTGCCCATCCTCCATCTGAAAGGACGAAAGGCGAGAGAAGGGGGGGAAGAGGGTGTAAAATCGATGGGAGGACAGAAAGCGGGTGAAGAGGTATGTAAGGATCCCCCTCGTACCATGGCAGAGAGATAGCAAAAATAAAGGGGCTCACCTCTCTCGCCCTGCGCTTCCGCCTCTCCCCCGGGGAGTGCGAGGCTGCGAGCTGCGACTCCTCAGAGATGGGTACGATGTGGTACGTCACGAAGTGGTCGATGATCAGGTGCAGGAACCGCACGCGCGCCGCCTCGATCGGCAGCAGATCTGGCACACACGGCACGGACGAAACACGGGTAGGCAAAATAAGGAGGCGAAACAAGAATTTCATCAGGAACTCGCCGTCCGGACAAGCAGTGACTGCCACCATGTCAGAGAGATCGAACTGGTTAAGATAATTTGACGGAATCTGAGGTGCCGTATAAGGTAAGCGTTTGTTTCAGGGTGTACCGTGGATGTTGAGGGGGCTGTAGGGCTGTTGAGATTCTGGAGGCTCCGATTCCTCTGAGACGACTTGCATTGCGAGCCCCCCGTCGTAGGCCTGATGATGAACGCCGTCCGCCATGGCTTGAGGATCCATTCCCTGCAGAGACAGACACGGCCACGAACAGATACATAACGAAAAAGGACGGACACCAAGGTAGTAGTAAGTTAGAGAATAAATTCTATAAAAAGGGGTGTATGAGGGAACAAGTTTTTGGTAGATTTGGAAATTGACAATTTGCTTGCCTGTGTCAGTTCGGAAGCAGGGCCTTGCTGCATGGTGCTGCCGCTCTGCACGCTCGCTTGCATGGCGCTCTGAAGGCCAGACTGCATGCTGTTCGGAACAGACGACTGCGAATGGAGCGGACCCTGATGCTCCTCCTGACCCGGCTGCTGCTGCTGCTGTTGCTGCTGCTGCTGCTGCAGGAGGTGATGTTGTTGCTGCTGCTGTGACTGCTGCTGTTGCTGCTGTTGCTGTTGCTGCTGCTGCTGTTCCCTCGCGTGGTGATGCGGGTCCATTTGATCATCTTGCGGACCCTGATGGTGCTGATGGTCTTGCTGTTGCTGCTGCTGTTGCTGCTCTTGCTTAATTTGCTCGGAAGGAAGCGGAGGAGGAACTGAATATTGATCCGGATGCTGGGAATCCTGAAGCGAAGCTTTCAGTTCTTCCTGCTGTCCGTCCAGGACAACTTGAGGTTGCTGCTGCTGCTGTTGCTGTTGGTCGAGAATGCTTCCGTGAACTGCCTGTTGCATGCTTCCGTCATTCACGCACGAAAGGTCGTGAGCAGACATTCCGTTACCGTTAACAATGTTCCTTGGCTCGCCTTGCGTGCCGTATGCGACGGAAGTCATTCTAGAGGTAAATTCACAAACTCGATTGAATATCCACGAGCAGTCGACAAGGTTCCAGAATTAGCTCCTATTTGAATGTTTCTGTGTAAATCCGCGATTCGAGATGGAAATATTGGTTGGGGAAGTTAGCTCGTGCCAGCCATCGCTTGGGATGAAGCCAGACCAAGGCAGGAGCCGCGGTAAAAAGCGACGAGCCAAGAAACAGGGGAGGAAGGAGCAGTAACAAGAATGGAGAACGAGGGTCGCGGCAAACCAGAGGTAAGGGAGATGAGAGAGACAAGCTTGGAGAAAGCAAGGCGAGTTTGGAAACAGATCTATGGCTGCCGGCGCTGCAGACGCATGGCTTGGGTTTGGTGAAGAAGCAAGATAGGTAGGCCTGGGGGGAAAAGGAAGAGGCTGGGGGGAAGTGTGGGGGAGGTATGGGGGAAAAGAAGCAGGTACGGGGAAGGTATGGGGGAAACCCTTGGATCTGGCGGATTTTGGTGCCCGATCGCTGTTGCGGTCTGGGGGAAGCGGCCTGGGAGAAGAGGAATTATTGAAGGGCCGTGCGCGCAGCCTTGAAGTGGCGGGCGCGTTGAAATCTTGGACGAAGTGGTTGGGGGAAGCGGAAACTTCAGGACAAAGCTAGGGTTTGGTGTGGGCTCGGCCAGAGCGAGGGTTTCGAACCCTTACTGCAAGGTTTTGGTGTGGCCAAGGCGATGTTGGTGTGGCGCGGGCCTTTCTGGAGCTGACACGTCAGACTATGCGACTGGTTGGTATGGGAATTTTGATTGGGGTGGCGTCACCCATGCCATGGGCTCGACGGGAGGCTATGATTGGTGATGATTTTGTCACGGCGGCTGTCGGACTTCGAACTTCGTTCGATCATCGCACTATGCGGTACACCGTCGGATAAGGATCCAACACTATCGCAGCACGTTAGTCTCCGATAATGTTCTGGAAAATAATCGTTTCTAAACGCAATTCCAAATTGAAGCTAGAGAATAAAAAATATGTACAACAAAAACATAGTGCACTACATGCGAGACAAGTTAACTAATGTCTAAAAATGTTGGAGCTTGAGTGTTACAATGGCATGCCGCTTCATCACAACTTGTCGCTCACTCCCAGATGAGCTTATTTCACCATCAAGTGTTGACGATGAAGAGGACGAAGACGAAAAAGGAGACCCCATATGTTGCGAACCACTCATGGGGCTAAAAGACACCGACGGGGAGTGGAATGACATAGCTTGGACATTGACCTCATCACGCAGACCAGGTTCCGTGGCAGATCTCGGCATAAGAGAGAGCATTTGATAAGCAACGGAGGGCTGTGCCATGGCAGCAGCGCTCACATTATCCGATCTAGCACGCGGATACACTTCCACACCTCCAGCCGCATGGTTGGCCCGCAAAATATGCTGCTCCTGCTGATGCTGCTGCATCTGGTGGGACGATTTCAACCTTGAAACTGGCTCACTCCTCGCGTTCGCGGCGTCACGAGAAGTGGAGCCATGGGAGAGAGGCGACGGGCAACCCACAGCTCGTCCAAGCACCCTCGGAGACGAATAGCCCGTAGAACCATTACTGCTGCCACCGCCCCTACCACTACCACTGCCTCTGCCCCTGCCACCGCCGCTGCCACTGCCACTGCCACTGCCACTCTGGTATTGTCTACCACATCAGTTGGTGCAACCAGCCTTGTTCCTTGAGCGGCATCAACTGCTGCTGCACCTCCTGCTACAGCCGACGTTCCTGCTACAGCCGATGTTCCTGCTACAGCCGTCGTTCCTGCTACAGTCGCTGCGCCAGTGCGCAATGCTGGCGCCAATCCCGACTTGGTGCTCCGCCCTTGCGAGCCTCCTCTGGCCGGTGCTCTCATTGCACCCATCAGCACCGGACCTGATGCTGTTCTTGGCCCCAGTGTGACTGTAGCGGGCGGAGCAGCCGAGCTGGGCGGCAGAGAGGAGCACGAGCGGAGGGACGAGTAAGGGCGCCTTCCAGAGGGAGGACGGCGTGGGGAGGAGGATGCGGGGGAACTGGGGGAAGGGCGGGGGGAGGAGGTTGTGGAGAAGAGCGGGGAAGGGGAGTGGCGCGCAGAAGCAGGAGTTGGGGAGGAGGGGGCGGAGGAGGAAAGGCTACTAAGGCCGTTGGATCGAATGTTGCTTCCCTGATTCGACGGTTCGGATTGGAGAGGGGAGGGGGAGAGGGGGAAGGAGCGGTGGAGGAGAATGCGGTGCTGGCGGTGCGCGCTGAGGGGGACGGTGAAGGGCGGAGACGGCGCGGGGGACGAGTCGGGGAAGAAGTTTGAGTGTGACTGTGTGGAGAGGGAGTCGGGATGTGACTGTGACGAAGGGAGGTCGACTCGAAGGTTGGGGCGTGGACGAATATGGGCGAGCTTGCTGCTCGTGTCGACGTGGCTTGCTGGGTGGAATGCAGCGGCTGACGTGGCATCCGAAGCGGGAGGAGCGGCGGCGGGCGCGGCAGGAGGAGCGGCAGCAGCGGCGGGAGCAGCGGCGGAAGGCGCGACGCTTCGGAAGCGGGAGAGTCGGAGGCGGGACGTCGCAGCAGTTGGTGACGGCGGAAAGGACGGCGGGTGAGGAGTCAACGGGTAGCTCGGCTCAACGTGCGACTCAACATGCGACTCAACGTGCGACTCAACTTGAGCGACGACTAACTCCGTACGCGAAACGGCGAGCAATGGTGAATCGGTAATCACGCCAGTGTCGCTGCTACCCTGATCAGCGGAAACCCGCGTAGCAGCGGGAAAATGAACAGCCGGAGCAGTCGCGGAGGATTCGTTTGAAAGAACTACTCGAGGCAATTGGGGCGTGGGGAGCGATTTGGAAGACGGAAACTGCTGTCGGGCCAGGAGAGCAGCGGGCGGCGGCGCGGCGGAGAGGCCGGTCGCGCCGGGGCTCGAAGCGGAGCGCGGGAACGCCAATAGCGGCTGTGGCTTCCGCGGAGACGCGGTGGTTTGCGCGATGAGGCTCCCCATGTGCGCGCGGGGCTCCGGCGGAGCTGCGTCCGACCCGAGACCCTCCCCTGAGATGACCGCAGGGTCCGGCGTGGAATGCGCCGCCGGCGGCGCCGGCGCCGGTGCTGCGCTTCCAGTCTCACCATCCCGAACTTCACGACTCTTAGAGCTAGTCGCGCCGCGCCGATTTGAATTTGGTAGTAATCTCGACGCTTTATCACCAACCGGCGATTTTCCACGAGCCGCCACGATTGAGGGAGCCTTCTGGGGAGTATCGGCCCTGGTTGGAACTTCGCCCGCCGTCGCGGAACATTTGCCCCGTGGCACATCTGCCCCTGCGGTTGCGGAACGGGATGCCCCTGCCGCTGCGGAACGGGATTCCCCGGCTGCTGTGCGAACTTTCCTTCCTGCGAGCTTCCCGCCGCGGCGTGCGCCCCGTGCGCTAGTTCCGCAATCTCCCCGCGCCTCCACGCCGAGCCGCGTTTCCCGCATCTCCCGCATTTCCCCGCACGTCCCCTGCGACTCCCGCATATCGATGGAAGCCTCCCGCGCACTTCGCGCCTCACGCGTATCTCCTGCCGCTGCCCGCTTTTCCCCTGCTCCCCGCGCTGCCCGCTCCGCTGTCCGCCTATCGCAGCAGTCACGCTGCGCGCGTCTTTCAGGGAGGAAACTTTCCCTGACGACAAGATGTTCCGCCAATTCCGTCTTTCCTGCCGACTCCGCCAATTCCGCCGATTCCGCCAATTCCGCCGCTCCCGATGTCTCCCGTGCCGACTCAGAGCTGCGCGCTGCGCGGCCCGCAACTCGCTTGCGCGCAGCACGCGGAATCTCCGCGTGTTCCTCCTGCGGATTGGTACCGACGCTCGATGATTCAACTACCACGTGGCGGCGCTCCATCGCCGCTCTCGTGCCTCTAATAGTGCTTCTACTACTACTACTACTATTAGTACTATTACTACTACTACTATAGAGTCTGCGCGCTTTTCTATGATCGTCCTGGCGAACTGGGACCGCCGCCGCTATCATCTGTCCTAACGAGTTGCTAGATATCGGAAAGCATGCAGCCTGTGCTATGCGTTCTTGCTCTGCTACCCGAAGATCCGTCGAAGCTGTGTGCCGTGCTCTCTCGGGGTGAAGCAAACGGAGGATCTTCTTGAGTTCGCCATTTCGGTGGTCAATGCAAATAGCGGTTTGGCTGTCGGACCTTACTTGCTGAAGTGGATAAAACGACTGGGCCGTCTAGGATATTACCTTTGGTTTACACTAACGGATAGATTACAGCACACGCAAGAAGCGACGAGAGCAGAGCGTGGGTGCGAGCAGCAAAGAAGCAAGAGAGTAACCGACACCTGCTTTGGCGGAGCGCGACGGTCGCAATTTGAGCTCGATCAGTCCATCAGTCCTCCCAATCTCAAAATCCCAACACCAATTCGCCCAAGCTGACAACAAGAACATCCGCCTGGCCTGGTCCCACCCAGTGTGGGAGCAAAATCAAACAGTCCTTTCCCGTCCAGTCCTTGAGTTCTTGTACTTCCCGCTGGTGCGTGGCCTTTGTTTGGGGGGTTGTGGTGCAAATTTCGTTCCGCACCCTTGGCGGACGGGAATAGAGAACGAATCTGGTGGAAGAGAAGCAAATGTTTCATCATTTTCCGAAAACAAACCGAGAGCGGCTCTCTGCGGTTCGAAGCAAGTGCAGTGCACCACAGGGATTTTCAAATGCCCCCCGTGCTTCGTTGCTTGGTAAAGTAAAGTAAAGTTATAGGGGGAACCCTCTTTGGTATACCCCGGCTGTCGGTCGTAACCCGCCTCCCCATTTGTTTACACTCCTCGCTGGGTCAACGAGGTTGTTCTATCCACTCCCAGATGAGCACCTGTGTAGTCCCTTTTAGTGGGGACTGCTGTAAACGCCGCAGGGGGGATTTGATCCCGGGACCTCATCTTTCGGAAGTGAACCAGCTAACTAGCTGGGCCACTTCAGGATCGTGCTTCGTTGCTTGGAATCGAAAGCGCGATGCGGCAGCAATTACCACAGACGAGTCGCAGATTTGGAAATGCGAGGGCCAGAGATCGGAGGAGGCACGTTTTGGTGTCTGATTGAAAGGGAAACAAGCTTTTACCCAGATTAATTAAGCACAGACGCCGCTTCGCCAAACCATGTAACAAAAACCAGGCATTTGTTTGACGAAAATCTATAAGTAACTGACCCCTCAACATCAACCACCGATTTCCCCCGGCTGTTGTTCTGGTTCTGTTCTGATTCAGCGATGGTGTGAAGCACATGGGGTGGTTGATAGACTTTGCACTCAAACATTTTGGCAACACGAAGAACACCCATATCTGGTCGTGGCAAGTGCACCATGGATGTGGCAAGAAAGCGGTCTTGCGTGGAGTGATGTGGCAGCCGTTTCGTTTCTGGGAAGCCGACAAGTACTCAGCAACATACCACGTCATCTCAAGATATTCGAGATGATGCGTTCAGCGCATCACCGACACAGGGATCACGTGGGAGCGTCGCTGCAAGTTCAGTGTGTTCCAAGAACCTCGCACAAACACAGCAGCAGCTCCACAGTGCTGTCAAAGCGAACCACAAGAAGTGCCACCTCAGCAGAACACTCCCTTTGAGTCGGGAGTATTCGGTATTAGGCTGTAATTAGGAAACCACAAAGGTGGAAAATAGTGCGTTCCTTACAGATTATTTCACGGAACAAATGATGGATATGCTTCTCAAGGCGCGCATTATCAGAAAGACCCTCAGCAAAAAGGGGATGTATTTTTTTGGAGAACCTCAGGAACCGACCTTGGGAACAGTAGCTGTTGGGAACAGATGTGCTCACCGCTTGTCTAGATGGCATTTTTACAAGCTCAAACAAATCCTTTCCACGTATGGTAATATGCATAATAATGTATGTACATGGCGTCAGGACCTAAGATTAAAAGCATGTAAAAACCCGGTTCACCAAAATTCCAAATCATTCAGCTCCACCATTATCCCAGCCTACTCCAAAGCACAGCGAGCTTTGTACCTGTTTGGCGTGTGGCCATGACAGGCAAGCACACGGTACGTAGGATGATTTGCGTGGCCGCCACACATGGTTGACAACAGAAATTGTCGAAGCAGCAACCTCAAAGTCACAACACTCTCCACCCTTTATGGAGAACTGATACTCAGACTAGTTACCGGCTGCAGAGTCTGCCGCACACAGCAGCGCCGTCCTTGTGATATATATGCAGGGTTCAGAACCGTTCCAAAGGGGGCAATTGGATGGCTAAAGAGCCCCTCTCTGTTGGCCCAAAGGCTAGTATCGCCTGCTCAGTCGCCTGCACCCCGCAGCGACGACTGCAGGCACGTTGGCGACTTTCGCTGCGAAACTGGTCGGCCAGACCACGGCTGTCCGGTAGCTCTGCCTCCGGCTCATCCGCTTGTTGTACTCCGCTAAAGCCGGACGCGTTTTAAGCAGCTTCTGAGAGAGTCCTAGTCGGTCTACTGAGGCGAGAACCGGTGCAAAGCAGACATCCGCAACGGACGCTTCTTTTCCGGCCAGGAAGACATTGTTCGGATCTGAAAGAGTCCGTTCCGCTTCGTCAAGAAGCGCCTCGAGTTGACGGAGCGACGTCGACGCCGCGTGTCCCGCCGCAATCGTCGCTTCCAGCGTTTGGTAGCGCGCCAGCAAAGCGCCATACGCGCTGACGAGATCGGGATTGCGCGCCATGCGCTCGACGCACACGCGGCGGCGGAAGCGCGTGACGGACTGCGCGGCTCCGAGAGACATCTTCGAGTAAGCGAGCGCCTCCTCGTCCCACGACGCGACGCGGTTGAGCCACGTGGCAGCCGCGTCGCGGTCGACTATCGAACCGCCCATCGGCTGACCGATGCTGTCGAAGAACCTGAGGGGTGGCGCACAGGGGTGGCGCACAGGGGTGGGATTATGTCGTGGTGGGAGCATACCGTGACGGGGTGGAATGATGGCGAAATGGTGCCGTGAGTTAGTGGGAAAGAAGTGGTCTCGCCTCACGACTGACGATCTGTAAAAGTCGATGCTGTCGAAGTGCATGACGTGGGATCACGGTGCAGTGGGATCATACAGGGTGCCTTAGGCTGATAAAGTAACTGGCTCCGTCTCACCATAGGATGTGTGCAAGCGCTTTCGCGCTGGAAGAAGTGCTTCCACAGATAAAGTTGCAAAAGTAAGGGAGAAAGTAGGTCTAACTGGACAAGAGGACGGAAGGCGGACTAATTGACCAATATGTATTGGTCATCTGGCACGGCAGCGCTTCATTCCAGGGAAGATTTTTGGAGAATCTCAGCTGAACGAGGCAATAACATAGCAGGGTGAAGAATTACGTACTTTTCTGAGGATCTGAGACTGACCTGAGAATCTCGTTGGTGTCCGTGATTGTGTTGCTTCCGTATACGAGCAGCGGGACCGTTCCTTGCGGATTCAGACGCAAAAACCAAGGCTCGAGGTTTGCCGCTCCGACAAAGTCCACGTGGCACAGTCGGCAAGGGAGGCCCTTCTCTTCTAGCATCATGCGGACTTTGTGGCAGTCGAAGGAGTCATTGCTGTAGTATAAGTCCATGGCGTATCGACCGTTATCTACGCCTTGAAAGTGTCAGGGACGATGCCACCGGACTGAGGTTAACCTAAGTGTCAGCCACGATTCTATTAGACTGAAGTTCAGAGAGTTCGAGTACTGGTTTGAAGCATGTATGAAGCGTGGCATGGGCGAGATTGAGTGATGAGGCGAGGAGTTGAACATGCGAAGAAATGTTGGTTTGGGGGGGGGGGGAGGGTCACAATGGCTGACGATGGGGGTGAAGCATCCGTCGCTCAAACATTTCATGAGCACTGGTGGTTGTGCGTGCGTGGGTGGGAGGCGCAGATTTTGGGCTCCAAATTGTCCGTTTTGGGTGATGAGAAAATCGCGACTCGTAAAAATGCAGCAATTTGTCCGTTATTGCGACTCGCCTATTTGTTGCATTTTGCCAGTTTAGTGCGAAGAAATGCTTCCCGTATATGTTGATCGACAACCATGTCTTGAAGATACAAACACGTTAATCGATTAACGAGAAAATCAATACTGAATTAAGGCGGAAACAAGGCGACTGGCTCGCGCATATGACTTGGCTGGCTTTACGTACTTGTCAGCATTGACCAATTAGAGCCGGGACCTTTGGCACGGATATTTCCCCCCATTCAGGAATTGACACCTGCTGGCGGCAAACTACCTCTCACCTCATGGAAACTATCTAGCACGTTTGAGATCCACGTAGGCAGGATAAAGCTGCTAGGCATCTCTTCACCCAATAAAAGAGCGCAATTGACCTCCAAAAAGATACGCTACGCAGGAGAAAGTGGCGAATCTGAGTGCGCCTTTGCTGACTAGCCTTACCCCCACCCGCAACACCCGCAGCTTTGTTGTCCAGTAATATCGTCCCAGCTTTTCCCCCAGCTTCAACATCACAACCGTAGCTTTGGTTTTGGACAACCCGCCAAGCGAGCGGATCTGCCACTGGGACCACCGGAGCGCGGCCTGCCGTCGTGGCATGGCCTGGTTGCTCGTTTCCGATCGCGCAGGACGCTTCCGATTTACATTGGACCAAGCAGACGCATGCGGATGATCCACCAACCCAAACGAAGCTGGATCGCGCTCGTTCCACTCGTTGTTGCCTCACATGCTCCTCTCAACAAGCATGCGACCACCTCGCCTCACCTCATCTGTCCACGAGCATGCCATCGTGGCAGTTTGCTCTTGCTGAGGGCCAATCCCAAGGCCTGATCCTTTCGCCTTCGCCTGCTCGTCCACTCTGCGAGCCCGCACCCTTCCACTCCCTATTTTCAACTGGCTCGTTTGATCCACCGTGCTTCTGGTCCGCCGCCTATTACTCCTCTCTATCCACCACTCAACGCCTTTCCCCCCTGGCCAGATTTATAACTCAAGCCTTTTGTAAGGGTTGATTATTTTAGCTCAAGTTCGACCTTCCCTCGACGCTCATCCAGTGTTTTGTGTATCTGCTTCACGTTCGCTTCGCTGTTCCTCGACCTCTACTATGGATCAAAGCTCCGAAGCGCACTCTACATGGCAGTCGAACTCGAGGGAGGAGTTTGGCGACTATGTGCTCATGGTAGGTCCTAGTTCATATATCCGTATGACCAACGGATCGACTGTCTTCTCTTCCAGGCATCGTGTTTTATCAGGTGCCCGATTTCGACGCAGTAGTGATCAATTTTGTAGTTTAGTGTTAAATTGTGGGAGCCCGACTCCCCCTTAGTAATTACTCTCTTCTCTCTTACTCGTTCTCTCCTTCTCGTGCACCTCTCACACAAACACCGTTTCATCTTTCGCCTTCCCTTGCTGCTCTCTCCTCAACCCCACCTGTCCCTGCACGCAATCGTGTCTTGTCCATTCCTGTCGATCTCCCTCCAGGTTCAATGCCTAATAGAGCAATGCCTACTCATCGATCTCAGTCGCGACGAATGCGTGTACACCTTAGCACGGCGGGCGAGAATCGACCCCGCTGTTACGCTTGCAGGTGAGAATTGGGATGACCAAGCATCGCTTCGCCAACCAATAATCGGAACTCTGTTTTCATGCCTCTGGGACAGTGTTTTTGGACGTAAAAGCTTCCACAATCAGGTTTACAAGCGCATGTATGCGTACTGTATACATTGTGTATGTTCAGATGAGTAATTCGATCCTGTCTCTTTTATTTTGTGCAGTGTGGAAGGGACTCGAGAAGCAAAACCCAACATTCTTCGAGGAGTACTCACGTCGGCCACACAACAGCGAGACTCGCAGGGCCAGGCGCGCTCAGCAGGCAGCGCAGCAACAATTGTGCTCCGCTAAGATGCTTCAGTACCTGGACGCCTGGCAACTGCCTTACACTGGAACTTGAACGTGGATCAGGTCCTGGAGGTGATCACTTTGAAAGGTCTGAACCGGGGGCCAAAGTCTTGCTGGTGCTGCCAGCTCTGCACGCCGAGTGAAGTATTCGGTTTCCAAGATCAGCGGCGGAGATCCTAGCATGCTTCTGGACGCGTGCTGGCTTGGCTGATGCGGTATGTGTGACAAGGCTGGCTGATCTTGGTTTATTCTTTGGCTAGGAGTCCTTGCAACAAGGATCTAGCATGGTAGGCAGTAGGGAGTTGAGCTTCTGTACATATTTTTTAGCTGTCCGAGTGCTGGGTTTTGTGTGCTAAGCGTGTCATCTATTGTCGCCCATTGTTTGTGCGAATGAGTGAACCTTTTGTCAAGCAGAACGTTCTTTATTCATCTCATCTTGTAGCTGACGCAATGTCCATGTTCCCCCTCATTCATTAATGCTTCTGAACATGGAAGTGCTTCGGCAAAAACAGTTGAAGCACATATGAAGTTGTTTCCACCTGATTTTGGATGTTCGTTTTGGAAGACCAACCCTCAAGGGATGACCAGATGATATCTAGGTCAACCAGACCATACCGAGGATAGATCAGAGGCCGAACCAAGGGCCTGCCGAACACGCCCAGTACCGCACGAATCCACCAACCACCCCAATCACCAACCCACCAGCCAATCCCCTCACGCAGCCACAGGCGAGTTTTCGCCAGCCGGCGATGGTCTTCGCTTACATTTGCGATATCCCATTTCTCGCAGACACGTTGGCTGTCAGATTTCTGGCATGACTGTTCAACATATCTTTCCAACCAGGTTCTTCCAGAACCTCATTCACCAATACCTAATTATCAGTGTCTTTCTGGCAGCTCTAATCTGGTAGGTTGATTAGAAAGATTTTGACATTAGGTTGGGAATCCAGTTTTTAGACCTCCTTCTTTGATGCGCACCAGTTGATCTATCTGCGGAAGCAGTGTTCTCGCTATGGGGGTCTGGAAGCTTCTGTTTCCTTTCATTCTCGTGGTCGCTACAATCGCAGGCCACGCGTTTCCTGCTTTCGCCAAACCGAAGCGGGACGATGAGGCATTGTCCACTACAGATTTGACGAGCTCGTTAAAATCCAACGTTCAGGGATGGATGCACGGCCGTCAGCTAAGCGTCGTGCAGCCAGTTTCCGTCAAGCATAGCGTTTCCCGTCGATTGCTCCAAGTCCCTGACGAAGACGGCGACGGTTCGGGGGATTCTGGCGCGGATGGCGGAGATGTGTCGGAAGGATCGCGGAAGAAGCGCAAGGGAAAGAAGAAGAAGAAAAAGGCTCGCAAGAGCAAGAAGTCGGGGAGCAAAAAGTCGAGCAAGAAGGCGAAGCTTCGTCGACAGAACGCGATGCCGCGACGCTCCGAGGAACTTCAGCAGGTGATTAAGGAGGTGACGTCACAGTTGGGGGAAGACGAAGAGGGGGGAGATCGTGTTGCGCGAAGTGCGGATAGCGACGAGGAGGCCCGCGGAGGGGGCCAGGAGGAGGGGAGTGACGGGCGAAGCGCGGAAGCAAACGAGGAGATGAATGCGGTGACGAATGCGGAGAGGGACGAGGAAGAGACGCCTCCACGAGCGCGAGAAAACGCGGCGGAGGAAGGGGAGGGCGGAGGAGAATCTGCGGAGGGCGCGGAACGCGCGGAAGGCGGAGAGTTGGCGGGCGACGCGGAGGAGAAGCGAGAGAAAACCGCCGCTGCTGCTACGGAGGAGGAGGAGGAAGAGAAGGCTGGGGTCGGGGAAGAGAAGCGCGGAAATGTGGTTCCCCCTGCGGACGACGACGAAGTGGCGGAGCGGAAGGCGGAAAAGGCGGACGCGGCGGAAGATGATGCCGGCGAGGGGGAGAGTGCACGGGGGGCGGAGGGAGACGGGGAGGGTGAGATAGCGGATGAGACGAAAAGGCAGAGGAAGTCAAAGGATGATGATAGCGAGGAGGGAGAGGGAGAGGGAGTGGGGGATGGTGAAGGGGACGGCGAGGGGCGGCGCGTGAAGAAAGGGAGTCACGAAATTCCGGAGGCAGACGATGGCCCGCGCGCGGAAAAGGAGGAGGATGACGTGGAAGGAGCGGATGATGACGTGTCGAAGCGGACGCGCGGAAGGGGAAAGGAGCGGGGGATTACGGGGGGTGATGACGAGGGGGAGGAGGAGGAGAAGGAGGGGAAAATGCGAAAGCGTGGTGATGGGGAGGAGGGAGGGGAGGAGGACGGAGAAGGGAGGGAGAAGCAAGGAGAGAAGGAGGAGGGGGTTGAAGAGGAGGGTGAGGGGGGCAAGAGGAGGAGCACTGAGGAGGATGAGAATGAGGAGGGGAGGGTGGGGAAGGAGGGAGGCGGGGATGATGAAGGGAGCAGAGGGAGTGAGGAGGGAGAGGAGGAGGATAGGCCACGTGTGAATGTATTAGGTGATGAGGAGAGGGAGGAGGGCGAGGAGGGGATTAGGGTGCGAGAGAAAAAGGTTGAGGAGGAGGGAGAGGGAGGGGGGGAGGGAGAGGGAGGGGAGGGAGGCGAGGAGGAGGAAGTGGGGAAGGAAGCAAGAAGGAAAAGAGGAAGAAGAAGGGGAGGAAGGAGAGGCTTGTGGAGGGTGGGGAGGAGCTTGGGGAGAAGGAGAGGATAGAGGGGAAGAGGGAGGAGGAGGAGGGTGGCGGTGGGAGCGGTGGGAACGGTGCGGTCGATGAGGTGAATGACATGGAGAGATCTGAAGAGATAGATGATGAGAATCAGGTGCAGCGAGAGGAACGGGCAGAAGCAGCGGAGCTGGATGGAAAGTCCGATGCTGCTGCTGACGCTGCCAACACAGCCGATGCAGGCGGGGCAGGTGGGGAAGAAGCGGCAGGAGGAGCAGGAGGAGGAGCAGGAGCAGCAGGGATGGAGGAGGAGACGGAGGGAGCAGCAGTGACGCCGGGGCAAGACGAGAGGATTCCCGGTTCAGGTGCTACTGACCGCACCAGCACCGCTACTGGGGCTGGTACAGATGGAGGTTCGGAGAGAGGCTCGGAGGGAGGCTCGGAGCCGATTACCGGGGCAGGGGTGGGCGGTGACGTGTTTGGGCGGCCGGGGGAAGGCGGCACCGGCGCGGGGGAGGGGAGCATGGGCACGGGGGAAGGGGGGGGCATGGGTGCGCCAGAGGGGGGGAACATAGTTGTGCGCGAGGGGGGGGGCATGGGTGGAGTGGTGAGTGAGGAGGAGATGGAGATTTTGAAGCACCTACAGGAGGACGTGGCAGTGAGAATGAGTGAGGAGGAGCAGATGGAGCTGGAGGCAGGGGCTGTGGCGGATGCTGATGCTCACTCGTCGTACATGCAGGAGGTCATGGGGCTTCGGCGCAACTTCAGACCGACTCTCATGGGCATGAAGGTGGGTGCAGTGCGGTTGAGAGGGGTGCAGTGTGATTGAACAGGATGCAGCGCGGTTGAGAGGTGTGCTTGTGGTACGGGTATGAGCGACCTGCAGGAGGATGGAGGAGCAGATGGAGCTGGAGGCAGGGGCTGTGGCGGATGCTGATGCTCACTCGTCGTACATGCAGGAGGTCATGGGGATCAGGAGGAACTTCAAGCCCACGCTCATGGGCATGAAGGTGAGTTTGTGAAGCCGACACTTCAAGCCAACACTCAGGGCAAGGCCAGCAAGCACGTCTCTCAGATCGCCCGCACGTCGCGCCTCTGTCCCCTTCCATCTATCTAACCCCCTCCCCTCTCCCGCATTTCCACTCTCCCCCCTCCCCTCCCCCATCAGGACAAGGCGAGCAAGCATGTGCTGCCACACATCTCTCAGATCGCCCGCACATCCCGCCTCGCCTTCCTCAAGACCAGCTCCCACCTCACCTCCCAGATCGCCCCCTAATTCGGCTCCTCCTCCCCGCTCCCCCATTCAGGACAAAGCAAGCAAGCATGTGCTGCTGCACGTCTTTCCGCCTTTATCTTCTCCCATCCCATGTCCCGTCTTCCCTCTCCCTTCTCCCCGCTCTGCTCTCTCCCTCCCCGCTCTCCCTTCCTGCATCACCCCCATCAGGACAAGGCCAGCAAGCACGTGCTGCCACACATATCCCAGTCGCCCACGTCGTACCTCTGTCTTTCCTACATGTCTTCTCCCCTCTCTCTCTGCTCTGTGCTCTTCCACCCTTTTCCCATCAGGATAAGGCAAGCAAGCATGTGCTGCCACACATCTCTCAGATCGCCCGCACATCCCGCCTCGCCTTCCTCAAGACCAGCTCCCACCTCACCTCCCAGATCACCCCCTACTTCGGCTCCTCCTCCCCGCTCCTCGCCACGCTCCTCTCCTACCTCCTCCTCCTGCTCCCCCTCGCGCTCGTGGTCGGTCTCTTCATTCGCATGCGTGCGGCTCTCTCCCTCCGTCGCATCGTGCATCTCGCGAACCTCTACCTGTTCCTGTACTGCTTTGTACTCCTTGTGGCGTGCTTCGTTATTAGCGCGGAGCCGATGGCGAGCCTCAAGAAGGTCGCGGAGCATAACTACTTTGTGCTGCAGCTGCTGCAGGGCGCGGGCTACCTGTGTTACCTCGCCCTCCAGGCAAGTGCCCTCGGCCTGCAGGCAAGTGCTGTCGTGAAAACACCTGTACCATGTTAGAACATCCTTCTGAGTGGACTCAAGAAGGTCGCGGAGCATAACTACTTTGTGCTGCAGCTGCTGCAAGGCGCGGGCTACCTCTGCTACCTCGCCCTGCAGGCAAGTGTTTTCCTGAAATCACTGGCAGTATTTCTGCCTCTGGTTTCCTCTGGCTCCTTCTGTGTTGACCAACAAGGTCGCGGAGCATAACCACTTCGAGCTGCAGCTGCTGCAGAGGGCGGGCTACCTGTGCTACCTCGCACTACAGGCAAGTGCTCTGGCGAAATTGCATGCCGTCCTAAACCCTATTACTACCAGAGGCACGGGCGGGCGGAGCATCATTGCTGATGCTGCATCATTCTCCCCTCCTCCCCCTCCTTCCCCCCCTCCCCTTCCTCCTCCCCCTCCGTCTCCTCCTCCCCCTCCCCCCCCTCCCCTCTCCTTAACCATCCCCATCCCTGCCCCTGTCCCATCCTCCCTCCTGTCCCTCCCACCCTTCCTCCATAATATCAGGGTCTCTCTCTCTGTGTGACCATCCGCTCATCAGAGAGAGGGCAGGGCAAGTTCATTCGCCTGCGAGCCGTGCTGCAGCTGCTGGTGGCGCTGGGCGTGGGGCTGCACTCCTACATCACCGTCTTTGAACGCGCCATGCTTGAACTTCATCCAACCACTCTCCTCCCTCTCCCTCCCCCTTCCCTCCCCTGCCCCCCCTCGCTCCCTCCTCCCCCATTCCCCTCTTCCACTTTTCCTCCCTAATTTCAGGGCGCCTCTCTCTGTGTGACGATCCGCTCGTCGGAGAGAGGGCAGGGCAAGTTCATTCGCCTGCGCGCCGTGCTGCAGCTGCTGGTGGCGCTGGGGGTGGGGCTGCACTCCTACATCACAGTCTTTGAACGCGCCATGCTCGACCTGCCGCCCAATGCCTCGGCCGGCGCATATGCGGCTTATGCGGCATGCTTCTTCTTCCTTGTGCTTATATCGAGGGGCCCCAAGCGGCACGAGGATAAGGACAAGTAGGGGCAAGAGAGGAATGGAATGAGCAGGTGATGAGATGCCGTGGATTGGTTTGTGTAGATGTATGTTTCTTGGCTTTAGGAAGACAGACTACAGGTGCTTGCATAATGCAATGTCTCTTCTAAGGGATGGCACCCTGTTTATTTGGTAAGGTTTGAGATTGCTTGGAGAGTACATTAATTCTAGGTTTCGTTTGGTTTGTACTGCAGAAAGGCAAGGCAAAGGTTACCTTGATTGCATAACTGGTTCTACTCTGCTTTTTTCTTGTGAGGCTACACGGGATCCCACAAGGGATCCCCGATGAACAGTTAAGGGCGGCTCAATGTTCTAGTAGTGAAGACCGCGATAGAGTGCACTTACCCCCCTGGCACACGCCAGCATCTCATCGCGCCACATGCCAGAAGGGGCTTTCCTTTTTGCTGATTTGGCGTCGCGTCACGAACATTCCGCGGCGCATCTCTCGCGGTTGCTGTTCCTCGCAATCACACAACCGGCGTCAGCAAACGAGGAAGCTGCAATTTCCTCCCAAACAGTTTGGGTCGGAGCGCTGCTCGTGGCTCTCGAGTAACGGAAGCGTCAGCACGCGCAGGGGAAGGAAGAAGAGCCAGCTGCACACCAACCGCAAACAGCCAATGTCACTTCCGCCAATCAGACGACCTCGATTTTGCGGACGCCAGATCAAAGCGCCGAGCCAATGCTGGTGGGGAAGGGGAGTTTGCGAGAGCACCGAGGGGGACGTCGTCGCAGGCACCTGAGAATCGCAGCCAGCCGGTCATGCGTCGATCTGTTTGACATCTATGGCTGTAATCCAATCATATTCCGCACATCCTGCCTGATTTTGGGACCAGCTGTCGCATGCAGTCCCATGGCCGTTTCGCCCTTGGGTTCCTCGACACACAACCGCCACACAACAGCTCGCGAAACCGGTAACCGCTCATCTCCGTCGCTCATTCCATCTTTCGATTCGGTCACCCGTCGCATTTTTTCGCATTTCGTCGTAAACTGCACGCGCGAAGTCGGCTTTGTGCAGCTGTTTCCTTATTCGTCTCCCCCCTTCCCCCTCTGTGATTCCCCCCCTCTCTCTCCCTCACCTATTTCACGGCCATGTGGAATTCTGTATCTCACCTAAACTACGAACTCACTCTTCTGTGATCTTCTGTAATCTCGCTTTATCTCCTCTGTCCCTTGCGAATGCGACTTGGTTCTTGATTTTCCGGCTGGATTGTTGATATATCTGACCAAGAGGCGAAAAAAGGCTGGAGAGTTGCGGCAGAAGTGATTTCGACTTACCCACCCTAATCACAGCTGTTTCACGCAATGTTAGGCTCTTTGTGGGCCTAGTCTGGTAGTTCCAGCAATCAGAGCACACAGGTAGTGCATAGCTGACCCTGGTGCTACGCAATCCGCAAGAATTATCACTCGAACCACCTCTTAGTAACGTTTAGGAGCTAGATCAGTCGCGTGCTTCGTCAATCGATCCATCCTCCCAAGCCATTGTAACGCTAACCGGCCATGCGTCTTCTCCAGCGATCGCTCGAGCGTTCGCCCACGAGGGTGCGAATGGAGATCCGACGGTCAGACGTCCAAAGTAACGGAAACAGCGCACAGCCGTCTGGGAAACCCCGACGCTCGAATGCGAAGTTGCTTTACGCTCAGTCGGGACGCCCGGCGTCGCCGTCGCGCGGAGCCGCTCCGTCAACGGCAACGCCAGCGTTTACGTCTGATTCTCGCGCTGTTTCTGACGGATCAGCTCCAATTTCCCACAACTCGACAGTATCCATGCCACCACTTCGAATCTCTCACTCTCAAGAATCTTCCATGATTTCTAACCGAGCCACCACGCAGCAGCAGCCAACGAATGTGGCGAACGATTTAGCGACAGCTCCCTCCGAGCCTGCTTTCCAGCTTCGGGGATCAGCTTCGGTTGAAGGCTCGGCAGTAAGCGATACCCGGGCCGCGTCTGGTGACGGAAGCGAGGCGAGTAAAGACCTATCGGGTCCGCCGGTCCTGTGCTGGGAGCGCGTGGGCGGATCCACTAAGGCGTATGTAGCAAATGAGGGCGGGGGGGAAGGGGATGGCGCGGAGGGGGCGGGGATGGGGCGCAAGGGGCGGCGGAGAAGGCCGTTCTTTATCCAGGACGTGGGGGAGCGCGCAGACGCGGTTATGGTGAGTGCGCTGCACTGTAGCGGATGCGCAGATCAGTGCGCGGATCAGTGCGCGGATCAGTTCACTGATCACTGCGCGGATCAGTGCGCGGATCAGAGTTCACTGATCATTCGTGCCCTAATTCGAACCCGACAAATTTGAATATCTTCCCAAAACCCTCACCCCCCCTCCCCATCAGCCCCTTTTTCCCCCTTTCCCCCACTCACCTTCCCATGCCCTATCTCCCGTTCCCCCTGTTTTCGTTCTTTTGTTCTGCAGGAGCTGACCGATTTTTTCAAAACGAATTTCCTCCCTGAGGGTTTTCCGGACAGCGTGGCTCCATCGTTCGTGCCGTACATGCGATGGCGCGCCTTGCAGGTGACTATAGCGGGAGGGCGTATGCAGTTTGAGTATAGCGGGAGGGTATTGGAGGTCCCCTTCCCACACTCCGTCCCGTCTCCGTCCCCCTTCCATTTCCTTCATCTCCCTCGTTCCCGCATTACATTTACAACTCCCTCCCTTCCCACTTTCCCTCCTTTCATCCCCCATCAGTATTTTTTTGGCGGCGCTATAGGCGTCTTCACCACGCGCTCGCTGCTCTCCAACCCGTTGCTTCCGCCCTCCCTCTTTCCTTCCCCTCTGCTGCCGTTCCGCTCTCGTTCTCCTATCCCGCTTTTCCCCCCACGGCTCCCCCTCCCCCCATCAGTATTTCTTTGGCGGCGCGATGGGCGTCTTCACCACGCGCTCGCTGCTGCACGCCTTGGGAGTGTCGCGCGGCGCGGGCGGCGGCGGCGCGGCGGCGAGCGCGCTGGCGGTGAACTGGGTGCTCAAGGACGGCGCGGGGCGGCTCGGGAAGATGCTGTTCGCGCGTCACGGGAAGCGGTTCGACTGCGATCTGAAACAAGTGAGCGGAGAAATTGGGTGGTAGCGGGGAAGATTCACAACATTTGGGGGATCATGTTGTGAAACATTCATTTTGGCTGCTGTATCAAACTCTGCATCCCTCGCACTTCCCCAAACCCACCCCCACCCCCCCTCGCCTCTCCTCCCCCCGCCCATCCCTCCCCATTCTCTATCGGCAGATGTTATTTTTTGAAAGATCTCCCACAAATCCACCCTCCTCCCCCCAACCCCCACCACCGCACTCCACCTCCTGCATTGCATTACCACCAATCCCAACCGCGCACCACCGCACCCCATTCCCCACGTTCCCTCTCTTGCAGATGCGATTTCTGAGCAACATGCTGCTTGACTTCGGCTGCTGTGTCGAGCTCTGCACCATGGCCGCCCCCAAGCTCTTCCTCCCACTTGCCTGTGTCGCCAATGTGTTCAAGGTGGGTTCAGTGCGGTGCAGTTGGGTGCAGTACGGTTGGGTTGGGTCCGCTCAGCAGGTTGTGGCTGCTGTGTTGAGCTCTGCACCATGGCTGCCCCCAAGCTCTTCCTCCCTCTCGCCTGTGTCGCCAATGTCTTGAAGGTGGGTGCAGTGCGGTTGGGTGGGTTCTGAGTGTTGGGAGGGAGCTATGAACCATGGTCGGTCCCTCACCATTCCTCCCCATGCACGGAGCGAGCCATTCTTTAGAATTCTTTAAACCACCCACCTCATTTCCTATCAACCAATTTTCCTTTCAATGTATCAAAGCCCCTCAATCCTTTTACCCCGAATCCTTTTCCTCTACCCGCCCCCCTCTTTCCCCCTTCTCCCCTCCCCTTCTTACCCTTTTCCTCGCCTCAGAACATTGGTGCCGTCACCAACACATCGACCCGCGCGCCCATCTACAAGGCGTTTGCGCGGCGGGAGAACATTGGAGACATCACGGCCAAAGGGGAGAGCATCAGTAACCTGGCTGACCTGGTGGGTAGAGGATGTGCGGGGATGGGGGGGAAGTGAGGGGGATGGTTTGTGTGGCTGTGGGTGGAAGGGTGTTGGCATGTTGACATCACGGCCAAAGGGGACAGCATCAGTAACCTCGCTGACCTGGTGGGTGGGGGGTGTACGTGGAGTGGACGGAGGGGGCGGGGTGGGTGGATGGTTGGGTGGGAGGGTGGGTGGGTGAGGGGGGTGTATGTGCCTGTTTCAAACATTGTCTGTGACGGAGTAGAGGGCGGACAGCGTGGCTCAGGCGGCCTCCATTGTGCCCGCTCTTCAGGTGCGTGTGTGCTGTGCACTCCGACTCCACACAGCACAGACGCACCTGTAGAGCGGACACCATGGAGGCCGCCTGAGCCACGCTGCCCACCCTCTGTTCCATCACCGTCATCCTCTGCTTGACATTACCGAATAAAATCGGTAATTGTATGTTCATTCTTTCTGAGTTAATGTATGTACGGTGTACACTCCACGTGCGTACAGATGGGCACGGGAGCTGGAATTCTCATTGCGAGGAGCAACCCTCACCTCGCCGCCACCTTCGCTCTCCTCTCCTGCGGCTACCTCTTTGCATCGTTCAATGAGGTGAGATGACATGCACGCACATTCGCGCATGAACTTACATACCCACAGATGCACAAGCACACTTGGGTATGAAGTCAGACGCCACACGCACTCACCAGGACAGCATGAATACGGTTTTCCTCCTCCCTGGCGCCTACCTCTTTGGGCCGTTCGATGATATGATCTGGCATGTATGCTTTCATGCGTGTGCTCACACACCCCGCTTCCCACCCCCCCAAATCCCACACACAAATACACACACACACACACACACACACACACACACACACACACACGCACGCACGCACGCACGCACCCCCTCCCATTCTTGACACACGCAGACGCAGCATTGCTCCCCCTCCTATCAATTGAGACCTTTATATCCAGAAGATTCTTCCCCTCCCTGCCGCCCGCCCTCCCCGAACCAAATTATCTCCGTTCAAACACCCACTCTCTTTGCTGCTCTCGCTTTCATCCATTCCCTTTCCCATGCTCGCGTCACGGTCCTAACAGTAACCACTCCTTGTCCCATCTTTCCCATCTCGCCCCCTCCAAAAATTTCCAGGTCAAGTCAGTGCAAGTACCCACGCTCAACCGCGCTCGCTTCGCTGTGGCAGTGCGCTCCTTCCTGGAAACGGGGCAGGTGCCGTCTCTAGCAGAGGCCAACGCCAGGGAGCGCATCCTCGTGCTGCCATGGGCTGTGGACCGGCCTCTGGAGCTGGGAGCACGGGTCGGGGATGCCTTCAGGAGCCCCTCTGATCTGCTTTCCTCTCAACGCATCTTCAAGGTAGGTTGCTGCTGCTTATCCCCATGCGGTATGAAAGTGACTAGAGGCCAACGCCACGGAGCGCATCCTGGTGCTGCCGTGGGCTGTTGACCGACCTCTTGAGCTGGGAGCACGGGTGGGGGATGCATTCAGGAGTCCTGCTGATCTCCTCTCCTCTCAACGCATCTTCAAGGTATGCTACAAACCTTGCAACCTTTAACCTCTTCTGGAAACGGGGCAAGTGCTGTCTCTAGCAAAGGCCAACACCAGGGAGCGCATTCTCGTGCTGCCCTGGGCTGTGGACTCACTTCTTGAGCTGGGAGCACGTATGGGAGATGCTTTCTGAAGCCCCTCAGACCTTTCCCCACCACCAGGACGAGCAGTACGTTGTGACCTACCGCCCGATCCACCGGAGGGCATACATCGTGGTCTTCTCCGCTACCCTCGCTCACCCTCCCACCCACCCCTCCCACCCATTCTCCCACCGAATCCCCCCTACCTTCCCTCCCACCAGGACGAGCAATACATTGTGACCTACCGCCCCAGCCACCGGCGGGCGTACATCGTCCTCAAGGAAGGAGCCAAATCACGCGACGTGGTGCGGGCGGCCTTCCAGACGCACGTGCTGCTGCACCTGCTGCACCAATGGCGGCAGGACACCTGTCAGCAGCCGCTGCTGACTCACCACCTCTCACCGTCCTCCTCCCCCAAATCCCCCACCTATCCCCTGAATCCTCTCCCAACGACCAAACTCCCAACACCTTCAACCCAACACCCCACACCTCTTCAGCCTTTACCCCCACAGCCCTCTCCCCCACCGCTCTCACCAGCAGCAGTCCAGGTAGATGGGCGCCCAAGGAAAAGAGCCCCAAGGGGCCCCGGGCGTGGCAGCGGTCCCTCACATCAGCAGAGGTGGAGCGGGCAGTGTCTGAGAGCCTCGAGCTCACCCGAACCCTGTTTGGGGCGTTTGAGGAGCGGGCTGCTGCAGAGGGATGGACCATGGCGGATTCACTGCTCAACCCTGAAAAGGCCCGGGTGCTGTCTGCGCCTCCTCAGGCTGTTCAGACGAAGCACGCTGCTGCTGCTGCTCTTACGTCTGTGGCAGCTTCTGCTGGTGGTAACCAGACAAATGCTTCTTCTGTCGCGGCTGCTGCTGATGGTTCTGGTGCGCTCACCCTCCCTCCACTCTCGGCCCCTGGTCGGGTTGCGCTCGAGCCGTTTGCAGGTGCTGCTGCTTAGATATCTGCCTGCTGCCCACTGCAGGCTTTTCCTGGTGGAATTTCTGTAGTTCAGTCGTAGTGATTAATTCCCATGGCTTCTGTGCCACTGCTCAATTCAGATTGACCCGTTGCTCACCATTGGAAGGGTTAGTCTTCTATCATTTCCATGGGGTACTGTACTATAGCTTAATCCTGCAGCAGGAGATTCATGTAGTTAGAAGAGAGTATCGCACCTGCTCATACCGTAAGAGTAACATGGATTTTCACCAACCAATTAGTAGTGACAGGCTTGCTGGTCGGTTTTGACGTCTCAAAACGTATTAGCCTTGGGTTGACTACATCCCACACAATACCCCTGTGATGGGTTGGCAATGGATTGGCCTGCGCTGTAGCAGCTGCTCTCTCAGAATTCCCTATTCCTTCCCCCCCTGCACTCGCTCCCCTCTTCCAACTCATCGTCCAATGAGAACACGTCTGTGTTCACTGCTTGTTTCTTCTCCACCCTTCCCACCTCTCAACCTGTCTTCATTCACCCAATTCTCTGCAATTCTCATTCTTTCTTCCCCTCCTCCAACTCATCGTCCAATGAGAACACATCTGTGTTCACTGCTTGCTCCATCTCTGCCCCTCCCACCCACCCGTCCAACTGTCTTCATTCATCCTATTCTCTTCACCTCTCATTCTTTCTTCCCCTCCTCCAACTCGTCATCCAACGAGAACACATCTGTGTTCACTGCTTGCTTCTTCTCCACCCCTCCAGCACCACCCGCACCACCACCACCAGAAGCAGACACTGCAGTGAGGGCTACCTCCTCCTCCCCCAACTCCTCTGGCACATCTTCTGAGTATGCGTATCTGTGTTTATGAGAAGGGGGAGAGTGATAGGGACGCGTGGACAATAAGAACCAGAAGCAGACACTGCCGTGAGGGCTACCTCCTCCTCCCCCAACTCCTCTGGCACATCCTACGAGTATGCGTATCTGTATTGATGAAAGAGGGGAGCGAGAAGCAATGAGAGGAAGAGTGCGAGGGAGTGAGAGGCAAGTGGGTAAGTATGCACCACCACCAGAAGCAGACACTGCTGTGAGGGCTACCTCCTCCTCCCCCAACTCTTCTGGCACGTCCTCAGAGTATGCGTATCTGTAGCAAGTGAAAGGGAGTGTGAGAAGGAATGAGGGGGGGAGTGAGGTAGGAGTAGGAGGCAAGAGGGTATACTGCACCACCAGGGGCATCAATGGGAGCAAGTGCCCCCCTCCCCAACTCCGCTGGCACATCATCTGAGTATGCATATGCATATCCGCACCAAATGCGACAGGGGAGTGAGAAACAGAGAAACAGAGCAGCACTGCAGCAGGGCAGCAGAGCAGCAGGACAGCAGCAGTGTGAGCACGGAAGTGGAGGTCCAACACACCCCAACAGTCAGAACAAGGGAGCAGGGCTTACCTGATGGCGTTTCTTGGAGGAGCCCATAAGACGCAGATGAGACAGAGGAGCATGAGCGTGAGCACATGCCAGAAGCACCCATTGCCAACGTGAGAACTACCCAACACTCCCGGGCTTACCTGTGGCGTTTCTTGAGGGCGCCCAGAGCACACAGATGAGGCAGAGCAGCATGAGCGTGAGCACATGCCAAAAGCAGCGTGAGCACATCCTGTTTACTCTAAGACAAAGTTTTTCCCTTCCCTCCAAAGCCACCCCTCCCTCCCTACCTTGTGGCGTTTCTGGAGGGCGCCCATAAGACGCAGATGAGGCAGAGCAGCATGAGCGTGAGCACATGCCAAAAGCAGCGTGAGCACACCCTGTTTACTCTAAGACAAAGTTTTTCCCTTCCCTCCAAAGCCACCCCCCCCTCCCTACCTTGTGGCGTTTCTGGAGGGCGCCCGTAAGACGCAGATGAGGCAGAGCAGCATGAGCGTGAGCACATGCCAGAAGCACCCATCGCCAACGTGAGAACTACCCAACACTCCCGGGCTTACCTGGTGGCGTTTCTTGAGGGCGCCCAGAGCACACAGATGAGGCAGAGCAGCATGAGCGTGAGCACATGCCAAAAGCAGCGTGAGCACATCCTGTTTACTCTAAGACAAAGTTTTTCCCTTCCCTCCAAAGCCACCCCTCCCTCCCTACCTTGTGGCGTTTCTGGAGGGCGCCCATAAGACGCAGATGAGGCAGAGCAGCATGAGCGTGAGCACATGCCAAAAGTAGCGTGAGCACACCCTGTTTACTCTAAGACAAAGTTTTTCCCTTCCCTCCAAAGCCACCCCCCCCTCCCTACCTTGTGGCGTTTCTGGAGGGCGCCCATAAGACGCAGATGAGGCAGAGCAGCATGAGCGTGAGCACATGCCAGAAGCACCCATCGCCAACGTGAGAACTACCCAACACTCCCGGGCTTACCTGGTGGCGTTTCTTGAGGGCGCCCAGAGCACACAGATGAGGCAGAGCAGCATGAGCGTGAGCACATGCCAGAAGCACCCGGTGATCCAGTCGCCCTCCCACTGCTCGTTGTACGGGTCTGATGTGCGCAGGTACATCTGGATTATGGGGTATTGGGAAGGAATGGATGGATGGATGTACTCGTTGTAAGATGGCCTAAAACCCTCCCACTGCTCGTTGTACGGGTCTGATGTGCGCAGGTACATCTGGATTATGGGGTATTGGGAAGGAATGGATGGATGGATGTACTCGTTGTAAGATGGCCTAAAACCCACCCACTGCTCGTTGTACGGGTCTGATGTGCGCAGGTACATCTGGATTATGGGGTATTGGGAAGGAATGGATGGATGGATGTACTCGTTGTAAGATGGCCTAAAATCCTCCCACTGCTCGTTGTACGGGTCTGATGTGCGCAGGTACATCTGGATTATGGGGTATTGGGAAGGAACGGATGGATGGATGTACTCGTTGTAAGATGGCCTAAAACCCTCCCACTGCTCGTTGTACGGGTCTGATGTGCGCAGGTACATCTGGGGTTATGGGATATGGGGGAAGGGATGGATGGATGGAGGTACTGATTGTAAGGTGCCTTATTACCCTCCCATAGCTCGTTGTACGGGTCTGATGATGCTCGCAGCGCAGGTACATCTGGGGTGGGGGGATATGGGGAAAGAAACAGATTCGTTAACGCGTGCCTAATTTCTCCCCACTACTCACTTCACATCCGTTTGACCTCTGTTTTGACCTCGATTCACCTACTCATATATTTTTCAACCTTGTTTGACCTCGTACCACCTCCTACACGAACAACAACTGGCATCTCACCTCAAAGCCAATCCACGCCACGGACACCAGCACAGCGATCGCCAGCCCGTTGGTAAACTTGCGGTACAGCTCCAGCTTGTGCGTCGTGCGCTTGGCCTGCAGCTGTGCGAGCGTCTTGAGAGAGCGGAGAAGATCCAGAGGATGAAAATCGCATCCAGCACCGCCACCGGCAGCACCAGGAACAGCCTCTCGCTGCTCGTGAGATCGTCAACCGTGACCTCCCCCCTCAAGACCCACAGGCAAGGCGTCTCACCTCGAAGCCTATCCAGGCAACTGACACCAACACAGCGATCGCCAGGCCGTTGGTAAACTTGCGGTACAGCTCCAGCTTGTGCGTCGTGCGCTTGGCCTGCAGCTGTGCGAGCGTCTTGGAGAGAGCGGAGAAGATCCAGAGGATGAAAATCGCATCCAGCACAGCCACCGGCAGCACCAGGAACAGCCGCTCGCTGCTCGTGAGATCGTCAACCGTGACCTCCCCCCTCAAGACCCACAGGCAAGGCGTCTCACCTCGAAGCCTATCCAGGCAACTGACACCAACACAGCGATCGCCAGCCCGTTGGTAAACTTGCGGTACAGCTCCAGCTTGTGCGTCGTGCGCTTGGCCTGCAGCTGTGCGAGCGTCTTGGAGAGAGCGGAGAAGATCCAGAGGATGAAAATCGCATCCAGCACCGCCACCGGCAGCACCAGGAACAGCCTCTCGCTGCTCGTGAGATCGTCAATCGCTCCCACATTCTGCATCACGTCTAGAAGCTCCACCGCCGCGAAGTACCCCACCCCCAGCGCCACCACCTTCCCGGATAGCCCCCCGAGGGTGGGACGAACGACGCCGAACCCCATGGAGACGACCAGGACGAGCACGCGGGAGACGGCCTTGCGGATGGCTCCGAGGGTCGCCGCCCAGATGGTGGTCCCGATGGGGCGGAAGCCGGAGGAGTTGAAATTGGCGAAGTCAAAGAACCAGGTGGCCATTTCGGCCATGGAGAGCACGAGGACGGCGGTGATGCACGTGTGGATCTGCAGCCCGTCCTGCCAGAAACGGAAGTACTGCGCGAACCACACAATGCCCAGGATCGTGTACACCTGAAGCATTGAAAGCCAGAGAGGGGAGAGGGGGGATGGAATGGGGAGAGGGTACTGTGCGCTTGTGGATCTGCAGCCCGTCCTGCCAGAAACGGAAGTACTGTGTGAACCACACAATGCCCAGGATGGTGTACACCTGGTGGTGGGGAAAGGAGGGGAAGAACAAGGGGGAAACGATTTTTTATGTGGGAGGTTGAGCTGTGGAGAGGGAGGAGGGAGGGGGAAAGGAGGGCAGGGGTTGTGGTGAAGGGAGGGGATGAAGTGGAAGAACCAGACAACCATGAAGTATAGCAGTTCTTCACGGTTATGAGATAAGCAATCAGCACTCACCACAGCCATGATTTCGTAGAAAAGCAGATAAGGCGCCATCATGCCGGGCAGATACCCGTCGGGGTTCTTCCACACAGTTGTCCCCGTTACAGAGACGCCAGCCATGCTCTTGTCGCAGATGACGAACCAGAGGTAGTACATGCCCGTCATCTTGATGCGAATCTCCGAGGGCGCTGCCACCACTGTGGTGTCGTTGCCAAAGAAATTGATCTCCACCACTCGCGGCCACTGGGGAAGGAAGAAAGGAAGGGGAGGGGGGTGGGGTGGGGGTGGGGTGGAAGGGGAAGAGGGAGTGAGGACGAAGACAGGTTACGCAAGCAACCACTGTGGTTTTGATGCTGAAGAAAATGGCCTTCACCACACGGAGCCAGCCATGCTCTTGTCGCAGATGACGAACCAGAGGTAGTACATGCCCGTCATCTTGATGCGAATCTCCGACGGCGCTGCCACCACTGTGGTGTCGTTGCCAAAGAAATTGATCTCCACCACTCGCGGCCACTGGGGGGGAAAGAGGGGAGGGGGAGGGGTGGAAGGAGAAGAGGAAGTGATGACGAAGACAGGAGTGTCGAGCAACCACAGTGGTTTCGTGGTCGAAGAAAATGGCCTTCACCACGCCTCACCTGGTGGTCGCCATCCCTTGGCGGGACAATGACCTGGCCGGGGTTGCACCCGGTGCGTTGCACCAGCTCCGGAGAGTGCACGCATGGTCCAAGACGCCTCAAGCTACGCCACACCACACTACCCAAAGAAACAGCTCACCAGGATGGCTCTACAAGGCCTTCTCGCCTCACCTGGTGGTCGCCATCCCTGGGCCGGACGATGACGTGGCCGGGATTGCACCTGGTGCGCTGCACCAGCTCCGGAGTGTGGGCATGGAAAAATAGAAGCAGCTCATCAGGATGGCCCTGCTCGGCCTTCTCGCCTCACCTGGTGGTCGCCATCCCTGGGCCGGACAATGACGTGGCCGGGATTGCACCCAGTGCGTTGCACCAGCTCGGGTGTGCAGCAGAAGGATCGCGTCTTTGCTGACGTGGCATATCCGATCCGATCGCGATCTTCCACGTCGAACAGGAGAGCTTCGATACGCCCGGTTTTTCCAACCAGCGGCGCGTGTTGCGCCTCCTCTGCCGGCCGATGGAACTCCAGGTGGTCGAATCTGATTGGCGGAGAAAGTGTGGTTCAGATTAGGAGGCAGAAGAAAAGGGAAGAAGCGGGGAAAGACGAAATTAATAGCTTGCATGTACCAAATTGTTGTTGATTGCGACGAGCTATATATCGCGCGCAATGACCTTCTGCACATTAGGCCTAATGAATGTTGGAGCAACTTTCAGGGATGATGCTACCCTAGGTGTGGTTATTACGGATGAAACTATCGCGATTGTAGTAACATTGGAGGAACACATCGGAAAATGACGGTGAAACATTTAACAATGGCGGACGTGGTGGATATGACTGTTGATCAAACTCGAACCGTACGTCGAATCTGACGTGATTTTACCAAGGACATATTTCATATGAAATAATGTTCACTGTGTGAACTTACCGGATGTACGCTTTGCCGTTAGACACGCCTTTCGCGACAGTCTGCCAGTTGGCAATGGCGTACGGCGTGGACATAAACAGACCCTCGCGACCCCCCCGAAATAAGAACGCGTCGGAGGCCGGAAAGAAGCGCTCGCCCTTATATCGGTGGACTGCAGATTCCGCGACCCATGGGAACGCGAGGAGTAGAGCTGTCGCCAAAGTCCATGCGAGCGTTACTGATTCGCGGATCATCGCTGGTAATCAAGGAGACGTCGCATGAACTTCGTGAATCCGGCGAGAAGACAAGACACTGGCAATGAGGTAATCGGAATAATCTATGAACCAGATAGTGGTTCACGAGATCTTGTAGTAACGCCCTGAATAAGAATCAGGCTGTATCCATCTCAACTCAAATCAGTCCACTACAGTAGTGTCTGTCTAGTCTCCCCTGCTTGGGTCAGCTCAGCGCAGCAGCAGGGAGGAAGAGTCCGTTGGTGGCAGACCGATGTTGGCATTTCCCGCCAAACCGAAATGTGCTCGGCATTCCCAGTGCCGGGAATGCGCCTTTGTGCGAGGAGCGTGAAACAGCCGGCCCCCTTATCGAAACAGAAACATCTGCGTGTAGAGCAAAAATGTATATCGATTCTGAAAAAGAATATTTAATTGAAGCTTTCAAAGATACACACCCACTTCCTTCTATATCACTGCCATGTACATGTCTGACACCACAAGCCTGACTCAGTAGTGTACACTGCTCTCCTCTGCAAATTAGTCATAATCGTAACCTTGCCTTCTCTCCATAACCCCAGCCAACTCGGAGTGCGTGATCGGCCAATCCCGTGGATGCAGCGGGCGGAAAAAAGGAGTCGACCGACAGGCCAGTAACAGCGGCCACATGTCTGCCCGAACCGAAAAAAACTCGTCGAGCGCCTGCCCGCCAAATTCAGGGTATTCTGTTTGGTGCTTGGGCTTGGTTTGGGTTGCGCCTTTTACCCCCGCAATAACATCCTCTGCTGTCAACCCCATTCCAAGAAAGTCTGCAAGAGGCTCGGCAACGAGCTGGGTGTGTTGGATAGCAGCGGGGATGAGAGGGAAGGGTTGAGTGGAAAGAATGAGGAAAGTGAATTTTGAGTCGATCCAAAAGTCCCCCCGCAATCGCATCCTCTGCTGTCAACCCCATTCCAAGAAAGTCTGCCAGAGGCTCGGCAACAAGCTGGGAGAAGGAAAGAGAGAAACATAGAAACAAAGATGGAATGAAATAAGGAAAAATAAAATGGAAGGGTTGAGGAGGAGTGGTGGAGGCTGGAGGAAGGCAGGGGGAAGAGGCTGCAGAGAGAGGAAGCTAGCGACAACAAGGACAAGGAGAAGCAATCAGGCATGTGTGTTGGACCATGCAGGTGGTTACCAATCAGGTGGTTACCTGATGGGGCTGTCAGCAACCCAGTCAAAGTCGAGCACAATGTACTTGCTGCAGGGGATCATACATGTGGTTCCCTCATGTGACTGTAGAGAGCTATAGTCACACGGAGGGGGGTGCTTGACTGTGCAGGCGGTTACCTCATGTTACACGCAGGCATGTGGCACTGCTTACCTCGGGGCTGTCAGCAACCCAGTCAAAGTCAAGCACAATGTACTTGCTGCAGGGGATCATGCATGTGTGGCGGACCAATCCCAACATCCATGCAAGAGTAACAGACCACTTTCAAGGTTCACAAGTCTGCTATGGTGCTTACCTCAGGGCTGTCAGCCACCCAGTCGAAGTCAAGCACAATGTACTTGCTGCACGGGATCATGCATGTGGTTACCACATGTGAATGATGACAGAGGCATGAGGCAATGCTCACCTCAGGGCTGTCAGCGACCCAGTCAAAGTCGAGGACGATGTACTTGCTGCAGGGAATCATGCGCATGGTGGTGTCTAGAAACACCATCTCGTCCTCCACTATGCGCACCTGGTGGGTTGTGGGGGGAAATTGAGTAGAGTAAGGGAAGATGGGGGGGATGGGAGCATGAGGGATGGGTCCCAATGTGATTTATGGGGGATCATGCGCATGGTGGTGTCTAGAAACACCATCTCATCCTCCACTATGCGCACCTGGTGGGGGGGAGTGTTCGAGAGAGGTGGACGGGGGAAGGGGGGTTGGGGGGGGGGGTTCAGGCAAAGCCGAGCGTGAGAGGGAGAAGGGAAGAGACCATGTGACCCAGGTCCGGCCCAGTGGAAGAGAGAAGAGAGGAGGATGGGGTTCTAGACACAGGAAAAGGGAGAGCACCTGCAGGCCCAAGTCTCCTCCATGGTAGCCCATTCTGTAGGCCGACCGAACAGCATCTGGCAGCCCTCGGGAAATGACAACCACTTTTAGGTTCAAGAGTAGCCCGTCCAGCTGCAGCATGTGCACCAGGTGCAGTGCGCCGAGGGGAGGGGAGGAGAGAGGGGGCTCTGGGCCCAGAATGGGGTACCACGGAGGTACCCACCTGCAGAAGTAGAAGATAAGCTCGCTCACCTGCAGGCCCAAGTCCCCTCCGTGGTACCCCATTCTGTAGGCGGATCGCACGGCATCGGGTAGCCCTCTCGAGATCACGACGACCTTGAGGTTGAAGAGTAACCCGTCCAGCTGCAGCATGTGCACTAGGTCCGGCCGAGCCAACGGCGTCCGAACCCGGCCCAGAGGATAGGAGTCCCGAGCTCGTAGGTACGGGGCTGGTGTGCGGTGGGTGGTTGGGGTGGGAGGGACGGAGGAAGGGAGAGGGGGGAGGGGTAGGGGGAGGGGTGAGGGGGAGGACTAAGGGGGACGGTTAAGGGGGAGGGGTGAAGGGGCGGGATGAAGGGGAGGGTTGAGGAGGCGGGTTGAGGGGGAGGGTTGAGGGAAAGACAGAAGGCTGTGGTGGAGAGAAAGCGTGAGACGGCTTTAAGGATATACTGTCATGCACGAACGGACATGGAAGAAAGGAAGAGGGACGAGAGGAGATGGAATGGAAGGTACACACGCACCCATTCATCCACCCATCCACCCACCCATCCATCCACCCCCTACGCAGCGGTTACATGCCATTACCCACCCATCCACCCACCCACCCACCCATCCACCCAACCACCCAACCAATACATACCGTTGCCAATCTCAGCGAGCCGCACAGCCATCTCCTTGGCATAGGCGCGCAGGGGACGCGCGTAGGGCAGCCGCGGACAGCTGAGGGAGACGGCGGGACAGGGTGGGGCGGGGCAGAAGGGAGGAAATGACCTTGCGTCGACTCAGAAGCCGCACATAAGGGGCCGCATGGGGTATGCCTTTGCGTCGACTCAAAGGGGCCGCACAAGAAGGGGCGCATGGGGAAGAGAGGAGGAACCGAAGAGCAATGAAGAAAGAGATACTCACTGCGCATGTCACAAAATCACCAACTCGCACCGCTTGTTACTGCACTGAACCGCGGATCACCGCATTGAACCGGCACTCACCGCACGTCCACGCCGTGCACGTGCGTCTGGGTCTCCTCTGAGGTGAGGTGGAGCAGCGGCTCGAACGCCACCACTGCAGAGGACGCAGGGGCGCAGGGGAGAGCACAGGCAGACAGGAGAGAACACGGTCAGGCAGGGGGGGGCGACGCCAGGCAAGAAAGGGGAGATTGGGGGCATCGAGAGCGGGTGATGATGGGAATGGGTCTCCTCTGAGGTGAGGTGGAGCAGCGGCTCGAATGCCACCACTGCAGAGGACGCAGCGGCGCAGGGGAACGCACAGATAGACAGGGGGGTGCAACGCGAAACAGGGGAGAGCAAGAGCGGGTGAGTGGTGTGTCTGGGTCTCCTCAGAGGTGAGGTGGAGCAGCGGCTCGAACGCCACCACTGCAGAGGATGCAGGGGCGCAGGGGAGAGAGCAACGCCAAGCAGGGGAGGCACGGGCAAGCCATAGCCAAGCACGGGCACAGGAAGGCAAGGGAAAGCACGCCAACGCGAGAAAGGGGAGGTTGAGGAGTTGGAGAATTGGGGAAATACGCACTGCGGACGCACGGAGACGGAATAACCCATGTAATTTTCATGCCAAACGGTAGCACCATCTCAATTCCGTGTGAGCGATTTTTGACAGTTCTCGAAAAACATCTCAATTCCGGCATTCCTCACCGCTCAAGCTACGCATTCAGTGTAATTACTCACCACTGAAGTTAACTTTCTTTATGTTCCGAAACACCTGCTCAAAGAATTTATGTCCGGAACCTTCAACCCCCGCAAAGAAAACCACCAGCGGAAGCTCATCCTCCGCTCCGCCAGCCCCGCCCCCGCCCGCGCTGGTCCCATTCTTCCCATCCGCGGAACCCCCTGCGCTCCCCCCCGGCCCCGCGGCATCCCCGTCCGCGGGCTTGTCTTGCGCGTAGAAATGCTTCGCGCTATGCGCAACCGCCTTCAGGTCAATCCTTGGGCGGCACACGGGTGGACGCATCGGACACCGTTCGTGAAACCGCTTTTTAAGCTGCTCCAATAAGGTTGCTTGGCCGGCAGCTCCGGCGCCGCTGCCTAGACCTAGACCGGAAATGTCGCTGTGTTGTAGCGACCCCTCGTGCGACATGGCGACGTCTTGGATGTAGAGAACCGACGCTGCGACAGCCCAAACGATGAAGATCTGTGCGACGGCGAATCGCACGATGGGTCGTCGCCAGAGCTGCTGGAATGGACGGAAGAAATTGGACGGCCGGGATTTTGTGAGGGACGGGCTCGCGTAATCGGAGCCGTCGTCAGCATCTAGGATTGCGTCAAATGGATCTATTTCGTCGTCGTGAGTGGCTGAGCGACGGAGAGCAGATCCAGGAGAGTGAGTCTCCTTACCCTCCATGCTGTGCTTTAAGTTGCGCGTCAAACACTGGCGGACTATGCAAGTCTACGGTATAGCAGCGATTTGTGGCAGACTATCCTAGTGTGTGGCACTCAAAAAATGAGGGCGCAGGCGTCGCACTCGTTTGGTCAAAATCACACGTGCCGAGATGAATCTATGTTATCTTCCTCGACTGAAGCGACATAGGCCGGATGGCAATGACAGACTCTGTCTGCTAGATTAGCCACTCTAGCTACCTTCGATTTCCATTGCTCAAAGTCATAGCAAAGAAATGGAAACTGGGAATGCTGGAATCTGGAATCTGGAAAGAGGGTGGGCAGGTTGTACGTGGTGTGGCAACCCTGCAAGCAGGTGAGTGTGGCTCGGTTAGGGTGTGTATGAAAGCGGGGTGGGTGGATGCAGGACAATATCAATGTTCTCGTTGCTGAATGGTCCGTTTTGTATTTCGTGAGAGTGTTATTACATTCTTCAAAATCATAGTTTGCTTAATATCTACAGGTAACCAGTTCCTGTCGCTACAATTATTGGCTTCGTCACCAGCACCACCCGAGCAGGCGCACGGGGAAGGAAATTATTGGGCCTCCTCCACTTCCCCTCGCCCGTCTGGTCGCAAGTCCAACTGCGAAAGTTCAACCTATCGCCAGCCGCGCGGTGCGCGGTCGGATCCAAAGCGCATGTGCAATGTCCAGCCAGCGCGAGATGCGTGGTGCCGGAAACCACCACAATTATTGCCACAGGCAAGGACTTTCTACTAGTTTATGCCCCACACCGCACAACCAAATCCGCCCCCTTCTTGCACCCAGAAGTTCTCCCAAATCCGCTCCTGGGCATTTCATGACCCCCTACTGATCCTACTTCCCACCATTTTCGCAGGCCCCCGTACCTGTCGTTTTCACTCATCATTGTTTCTCGTCGCGCCTGCTTCTTCCCAGCCAGCCTCTGACTTACGCATTCGTAACAACTACGCGTTTGGGAAGAAAATGGTTCAATAAAGTGGGGGCCGCAGTTGCTGGCAGCCGCCAATCCTTACATCGACGGTAGCTAATACCAAGCACCCTCTTCTGTAGTTGAGAAACCACTCGTCGTGGCAAGTGTACAGACGGAGATTACATCGCGTATCGCGGCAACGGGAACGACGGAATGGGGCTCTTGAAGCAAATGGAGGGCTGGAGGCTAGCATCGTCGAAGTGTCCAAAACTACTGGCACCGCTGTCGTGCGACGCCGTCTTGGCCGTTGCGGCCGTCGCATTCGTCGCACTTGCTAATGCAGGAGTCGCCAGAGCAGGTACATACGAAGGAACGAATCAAAGAAAAGTTCGACGGCCGGACGCCGGTTTAAAAAAACCAAGTTTTGGGGTCGAGCCTCTCGTCAATTGAAATCTTGATGTACGCCGCATTTGGATAACCGCAACCCCTTCTCCCCTTGGTCGCATTGCAGGCCGGCCGCAACCTCGAATTCTCCTCTCCAGCACGCAAAGTAAGCCCGCTCTTCTTCGAACCCTGACTAGAAAAACTGGTATTGAGTCGACTCAGAAACGACCTCGGACCCTTCACTCCAGCACGGACAGTAAGCCCGCTCTTCCGAAGAGTCTTTGAACCCTGTAATGACAGCCATTGGTATTGAGTGTCGTCTTAACTGCTCGGTCCGCTTTCTGCTTGAGTGCACTTTCAGGTTGATTCTTTCATTCTTTGACGTTGTGTGACACCGTGCAGCGACTCTCGACCCGTAGCCACATCACTCTCATTCATGCCGCTATCTTCCCTCTTTCTCTCTCTCTTCCTCGTTCTCCCCTCACTTCCGTGCGATGTTTGCAATCTCAGCTGCGACGATTATCATCTCGGTCGTGGTCGGGCTGCTCGTCGTAGCGCTCTTCGCGCTCGGAATCAAGATGCTGCTCGACCGAACTAGTGAGATTATATTTCTTCGGAGAGCTCAGGGTTGGTTTAAACTGCGCTCTGCATCAATATGCTGCTTGAATATGCTGCTTGAAGGAACCAGTAAGATGCTTAATCTCCAAGTGCCTCAGGGTTACGTCAAGTCCCACATTTTCCTGCTCTGCTCCTGCTACTCCCAACCCAACCCAATCAAAATACAGCTTTGGGTACGTATTCATGCATCCTCCTCTCTTTTTCACCTCCCCTCTCGTCCTATCCGCTTCTCCTATCAGAAGCAGCGTCGTCAGATGACGCCGACGCAGCCGCAAAGGCCACCACCACCACCACTATCACCACTCCGCGCAGCCTCAGCAGCGGAAGGATGAAGCCCCGGAAAGGCGCGGTGCACGTGGTGGGCGGAACGGACGACGACGAGGACGCGGAAATCCCGCGCGCGCGCGCGGAGAAGTGGTCGCTGGCGGACGTGGCGGAGGCCACGGCGCAGTTCGCGCAGGAGCGCGTGATCGAGGCGGAGGGGCAGAGCGTGGTGCTGCGCGGGAGCGCGCGCGACGGGCGCGACGTCGCAGTGAAGCGGTGCAAGCAGCCCCAGCCCGAGACCCAGGCGATCTTTCTCCGCGAGGTGCGCTGGTGTTGCGGGCACGTTTGCCTCCGGTGTTGGTTACTTCTTGAGTTTGCATAGTTCTGGAAACTGGTTTACAGAATTCCTTTCTCTCTCCTCCACTCTTCCCATCTTGCCAGGTGATGCTCCTCACGACTCATCGCCACCCCAACCTGCTGCCCCTCGTGGGCTACTGCGACGAAGGCACCGAACAGATCCTCATTTTCGAGCACATGAAGCACGGCTCGCTCGCTTCCTGGCTGCGCCCACCTGTAGATGCCGCTGGTGAGCAGCTGAGCTAGGAGGATCCGTGGGTGCATTGAAACTTGGCATGCGTTTGTCTCGTGAGAAATCTCTAGGCGTGTCAGAGAGTGCACACTCCCATATTCGAGCACATGAAGCACGGCTCGCTCGCTTCCTGGCTGCGCCCGCCTGCAGATGCCGCTGGTGAGTGTTAGACAAATGCTCTAGACATATCAGAGAGCAGACTCTCGTCTTTGAGCACATGAAGCACGGCTCGCTCGCTTCCTGGCTGCGCCCGCCCGCAGAGGACGCCGGTGAGGCTGGTTGTAATGATGGGGCTGGTGGTACGCGAGTAAATGCTGCGAAAGATGGGCCCGATGATTTGAGATCTGTGTAATTGGATATTTTGGCTGTCTTGCCCTGTGTAAAGCCTTCCCTTCCCCCCCGCATTACACCCCCTTCATCCCCCTGTTCCTCTCTCAATAACTGTACCCCCAATTCCCTCTGGAATTACAGAGTCCCGGCCTCCACTCACGTTTGAGCAGCGGGTGAGGATCGCTGCTGACGTGGCACGTGCTGTGGAGTTCCTGCACTCGCAGCCCAAGCCAATCGTGCACAAAGACATCAAGACGGAGACCATCCTGCTGGACGACAATTTCAACGTGAGTCAATGGAAGTCAATGGGAGTCAACAGCGGATGTGACTGTTGAGTCTACTTAGATTGACATCAGCCCACGCGCAGTGCTGTGGAATTCCTGCACTTGCAGCCCTAGTCTGTCGTGCACTGTGACATCAAGTCCAAGAATATCCTGCTGGACAGCCGTTTAGAATGTGAGCCCTATCCTCTCTGGTCAACGCAAGTCAATCGTAGTCAATGGAAGTCAACAGAGGTCATCACGTTCGAGCTCATTCATAGCTGTGGAATTCCTGCACCGTGACATCAAGACATCAACCATCCTGTGGGATGGCAATTTCAATGTGAGCATTGACCTCTCTTGTCAATGCGAGTCAACGCAGGTCAACTGCGGATTTGACTTGAACCATCCTTATGTGTGCTTGCGGCAATGTATGCTATGTGTGCATGGCAGGCGAAGCTGGGAGGGCTAGGGACGCGCAAGCACCTGCCGGGGGAGTCGAGCCGCGTGCGCGTGCAGCGGAGGAAGGGATATCTGGACCCTGAGTACTGCCAAACCTTCGTCGTCACTGCCAAGGCCGAGATCTTTGCGTGAGCTTTTGTACTCATAAGAATTTCCTTTTATCTTTTCTGTGATTCCATGTGGAAGCACGTGCAGTTTCATAGTTTCGGGTCTGGATAATGTTGTATTGATACTTGCATCTGCAGGGCTGATTCTGCATGGAGCCTTCTGGTGTGTGTTTTGATGTGCGTTTAGTTAGTAGGGTAATGAGATCACAACACACCACCACGTTTTGAAAGCTGACAGCGTTATGTGAGGCATTGATTTCCTTCTCCTTACATCTTACATCATTGAATGCACTGTTCGTTATCTTTCGTGAACTTGTTGCAGGGTTGGAGTTGTCATCCTTGAGCTTATAACGGGTCGGCCACCAGTGGTGGAAGAAGAGGTGGTAGCCAAGGCGGGCCGAAACACTGTAAAGATTGTTACGCTTGCCCAATGGGTAAGACACGCATGTGCTTGGTCAGTCCAGCCATTGACCTTGTTGCTTGTTGTTATGCGTGGGAAGGGGGGAAGGGGGGGGGGGAAAGGGAGGGGAGAGGGAGGGGAGTTTTTCTTGTTGTTCCTTGATCTCTCTCTCTCTCCCTCTCTCTCTCTCTCTCTCTCTCTCTCTCTCTCGCTCTCTCTCACACACACACACACTCTCTCTCTCTCTCTCTCTGCCTCTCTCTCCCCCCCTCTCCCTCTCTCTCCCTCCCTCCTTCTCTTACCCCCTCTCTCCCCATAAATCAGCCCTATGTGTCTTCTTGCCAAACATGCCATCCGTCCGACCCTTTCACGCAGGCAATACCCAAGATCAAGGATGAAAACTATGGGTTGATAGTGGATGAGCGAATGGAAGAGTACCCAGCTGACAAGCTGGAGATCCTGACAAAGATTGCTTCAGAGTGTCTGAACCCTCTCCGTAGAAATCGACCTGACATTGGGCCAGTGGTATCTTGGTTGAGTGATTTGTGCAGCTCCGATGCTGCTGCTCTCGAGAAGCTTAATTCCGTGTTTAAATAGTGGGGTGTTGTTAGTTAGACTGGCACATGTCAAGCCAAGGTGAATAAAGAGGCATTGGTGCATGCCAAATTGTTTCTTAGTGGCAACTGCTTGAATAAACAAGATTATGAGAAACATTTCGTTCCGTTTCGGATCAAGTGTATCCTCGCTTCACTAATTCATTGAACACCCACCTGCAAAACCCCCGACTCTGGCTGATGTGCTATATAGTCACAGTTCCCAGTGCGATCTGAACAATTTTCCCCCTTGAAATTGCCGAAAAGAGCCAATCCCTGCCAGCTGACCGTCAGCTTGAAGTGACAGAATTGCTGTCAGAATTGCTATAATATAATCACGGTCAGCAAGTTCCAAGGTACAGAAAAGATGCCTGAACGTGAGCCACGTTCCTTGCTGGTCGGCCTCGGAACTGCCGGGCCAAGCTGACCTGACCCAATTTCAAGGATCCCCCGCCCCCGACCCGAAGCTCAACTTGAGTCAAGCCAAGACCTGCTAGCGCTATCTTTCGGACACATTTCTTGACTTTCTATTCATCACTCTAGATAGCTGCATGTAGTTACTGTCCGCTTCGCTCCCAGTCACCTGTTAGTGAGTTACTGTCCGCGCCGTTTCGAGCAGCCGTAGGCTCTAGAGTTTCGGCTGGTGGTTTGACTCAGACGTCATCGTGTGAAACGAACAGCCTTAGCGGCTCCAGAAACTCAAGGCTCTTAGGTCTAGACCCGACAGTGGCCACAGATCCTGTCGGATTCGTGATGTAGATAACTTATTGTGACAACGGAGTCGCAATGGGGGCGTGTTTTTCCATACAAGAAGAGCCTCTTTCACCGCGGCAAAATAAAAAGCCGCGCTCTCCCGGTACGTTGGAGATGATGACATGGCAGTCTCTGTATCGTGTTTTCAGCAAAGGAACTGTTAAAAGCATGTTTTCTTGCTGCAGAATGAAGAGCTTTTATGGTAGAAGCATGACCGAGAGTAGTTAACGCATGAGGGAACGGGCAATGCTATTCTTGGAAAATGTATTATCTCGTCGAGTAGAAGTCAACAATGAATGAAGCATGAGCAATGTTATTCTTAGCTCCCAAGCACACCAAGCATAAGAGAAACGACCGGCGCCTTCGAAATAAACCCACACTTACTCGTCCCCTCCCCTCGGCCCCACCCCACCGCACCCAACTCCTCTGTATCCTGCGCCAGCCCCAAAAGCCTCCCCTCGTGCAGGCAGGGCGGCACGGAGATCCCGAGGCTCGTCGCTGGGCGGCGGAGAGTCCGAACCAGCGCACGAGTACACTGTAGCTCCCGTGGACGTTATTTTAGGTCTCAAGCCGGCGGGTAGCGCGGGCGTGGGTGCCGACCAAAGGGGTTCTGACGCGGAACGGCTCGGTAATGGGGCAGTTAGTAGCGGGGCAATTAATAGCGGGGCAGTAAGTGAGCAGCAGAGCGCGGCGCCTGGGGGTGCGCCACGTAATGGCTCTCGATCACCCCGTCTGTCGCCACGTCAGCCACCCGCATTTCAGCTGTCGCCAGAACAGCAGGCGCCGCACCAGTCGTCGCATCAGCAGTCGCCACATCAGCAGTCGCCACATCAGCAGCCTCAATATCAGCAGTCGCCACATCAGCAGCCGCAATATCAGCAGCCGCCACATCAGCAGCCGCAATATCAGCAGCCACAATATCAGCAACCGCCACATCAGCAGCCGCAGCACACACAGCAGGAAGCGGTCCCGCAGCAGGAGTCTAGCCAAGGACCGAGTCCGAGCCTCAGCCATACTTCCAGCGTCGGCCCGAGCCAGACTGCGAGCTTCGGCAGCCAGGGAGGGACGCCTGGGAGCGTGCAGATAGCCGCGACTCTGCTTCAATTCTCTTATAACGAGTTGTTCGAGGCTACTAACGGGTTCAGCAGGGAGGGGAAGCTGGGGGAGGGCGGATTTGGGAGTGTACACAAAGGGAGGGTGCATGTCGGTGGGGGGAGGATGGAGGAAGTTGCTGTGAAGGCGCTGAATCAGGAGGGCTACCAGGGCGAGGCGGAGTGGGTGGTGAGTGTGCGGTGTGAGTGGGATGGGAGTGGGTTTTGAGGTTTGACGCGGGTTGGGAATGGCTTTCGTGTGTGGGGTATTGTATGATAGGAGGATGGGGGAATTTGTTGGGAAGGCACTTGCTATGTGGTACTCGCATGGAGGGGGTTGATGTGATCTGTATCTTCCTCCCATCCCCTTCTTCCCTCGTCACTTCCCTTCCTTTCCTCCCACCCCCACAGGCCGAAGTGAGGTACTTGGGCGCGCTGGGCCACCCCAATCTGGTGCGGCTGGTGGGGTACTGCATGTAGGGCGAGAACCCGATAGCTTCTTGCCCTAACCTCCTCTCCACCGTTTCCCACTCCTCCAGACCGAAGTGAAGTACCTGGGGGCGCTGGGGCATCCGAATCTGGTGCGGCTGGTGGGGTACTGCATGGAGGGCGAGCACCGGCTGCTGGCATACGAGCTCATGGAGTATGGCAGCTTGGAGCGGTACCTCTTCCGCCGTGAGTAGCTCATCCAGCATGCGACTGTATGAGTGTGTGACTGGTTGACTGTATGGGGCATACAGCAGTGTCTGACTGCCTGGTGGGGTACTGCATGGAGGGCGAGCACCGGCTGCTGGCATACGAGCTCATGGAGTATGGCAGCCTCGAGAGATACCTCTTCCGCCGTGAGTGTGACTGTACGGGTGTGTGCCTGTATGAGGCACATGGCTGTGTGACTGTATAGTGTGTGTAATTGAATGCATTCTGTGTGCCTGATGGCTGCTGAAGAACAAACAGGCAAAATAGTAGCGTGCTGTCATACGAAGGCTATGTACCAGTGTTTGCCCCTCTCCTCCCCTCCTGCCCCCCCTTACAACCACCAGTCACAGGCAACGTCACCCCCCTTTCTTGGAACATCCGCACGAAGGTGGCGCTGCATGCTGCCTCACAAGAGCCCCTGAATCCATGCTCTCCCCTCTCGACTCTTCTCCCTCCTCCCTCTTCCCTCCTCGCTCTTCCCTCTACAACCACCCCTCACAGGCAACGTCACGCCCCTTCCCTGGAACATCCGCATGAAGGTGGCTCTGCATGCGGCCAAACACCAGGCCATCAGCCCACACTCTCCTCGCCTCTCTCATCTGTTCTCTCTTCTCCCGTCTCTCTCCTTTCAACCCTCACAGGCAACGTCACGCCCCTCCCCTGGAACATCCGCATGAAGGTGGCTCTGCATGCGGCCACACAAGGGAACATGATTCCATGCTCTCCCCTCTCCTCTCGCCACCCCGCACAGGCAACGTCACGCCTCTCCCTTGGAATATTCGTATGAAGGTGGCGCTGCATGCGGCCAGGGGGCTGGCCTATCTGCACGAGGAGACAGAAGCTCAGGTTATCTACAGAGATTTCAAGGCGTCTAACATTCTCGTGGATAGGGTGAGTGGGTTCTGCTGCTGTTGTGAGGTGACTGTTGAATCGACCGGAAGGTGCCTCTGCATGCTGCCAGGGGGCTGGCCTACCTGCATGGGGAGACAGAGGCGCAGGTTATTTACCGAGATTTCAAAGCCTCCAACATTCTCGTGGACAGTGTGAGTGATTGAATGCTGGTGCGAGGTGACTATGGAGTCGACTTAAAGGTGGCTCACCAACGCAGGGGACTATGGAGCCCCCCTGGCACCTTTAAGCTCTGCATCCGACTATGGAGCCCCCCTGGCACCTTTAAGCTCTGCATCCGACTATGGAGCCCCCCTGGCACCTTTAAGCTCTGCATCCGACTATGGAGCCCCCCTGGCACCTTTAAGCTCTGCATCCGACTATGGAGCCCCCCTGGCACCTTTAAGCTCTGCATCCGATTATGGAGCTTTAAGGTGCCAGGGGGCTCACCTGCCTCGATGACGAGTACAACGCAAAGCTATCCGACTTTGGGCTGGCTAAGGATGGGTCTGTGAGTTCCTATCCTTGCCTCCTCTCTCATCCCTCCTCTTCACCCCCCCCGTTCTCCCTCCTCAGGAGTTCAACACGAGGCTCTCGGACTTTGGGCTGGCCAAGGATGGGCCAGTGGGCAGGAACAGTCCCTTCCTTCCCTTGTTCCCACCCCAGCTTATCAGCCACCCCTCCCCCCCCTCCTCCCTATTCCCCCTCCGCAGGAGTTCAACGCAAAGCTATCAGACTTTGTACTGGCCAAGGACGGGCCTGCAGGTAGTGACATGCATGTGTCAACGCGGGTCATGGGCACATACGGCTATGCTGCTCCCTTTCTCACTTCCCCCCATCCCCTCTTCCCCACTATCCCCCTTCTCAGGAGTTCAATGCAAAGCTATCAGACTTTGGTCTGGCCAAGGATGGCCCGGTGGGCAGCGACACGCATGTGTCAACACGGGTCATGGGGACGTATGGATATGCTGCTCCCGAGTACATGCTCACAGGTATGAAATGTTATGATATGGCTATTTGGGTTCCTAAGTCTGTTGGGGCAGCAGTGACACACATGTGTCAACACGGGTCATGGTGCCAAACGGCTATGCTGCTCCCGAGTACATGCTCACAGGTATCCCTGATTTGATCTGATATGATATGATTTACTGGGTTTCTAAGTCTGTTGGGGCAGCAGCGACACACATGTTTCGACACGGGTCATGGGCACGTATGGCTATGCCGCTCCCGAATACATGCTCACAGGTATGAATCTGATTCAATGCGTTGAGGTTAAAAGTCTGGTGGGCAGCGTCACACATGTATCAACACGGGTCATGTGCACGATTCATGTATCGACAATGAACACCCCTCTACGGCACCTGAGTTCATGCACACAGCTTTGTCACCCCTCCACACCTTTCCTTCGCCTCTTTCCTCCACTCCTTCCCTTCTCTACCTTTTTTTTTCACTCTCCACCCCCCTCAGGCCATCTGGCCGCCAAATCCGACGTCTACAGCTTGAGGCGTTGACACTGTTCGGAGCTTTGGCGGTGTCCTTCTAGAGGCGCCTCAGAAGCCCCCTTTCTACCTCCTTCTCCTCACCACCACTTTCCCTTCCCTTTCTCCCTTCCCCCCTCCCCTCCCCCAGGCCATCTGACTGCCAAATCCGACTTCTACAGTCCTTCTAGAGGCGCCTCCAAAGCCCCCTTTTTACCTCCTTCTTCCCCTCACCCCCACTTTCCCCCCCCCCTCCCCCCTTCTCCTCTCAGGTCATCTGACCGCCAAATCTGACGTCTACAGCTTCGGCGTTGTGCTTCTAGAGATCATCTCCGGGCGGCGGGCAGTTGAGCGAAACTTTCCGCCCGGGCAGCAGAACATCGTGGAGTGGTCCGCGCCGTTCTTTGCCGACCGTCGGATGCTCGTGAAGATCGTCGATCAACGGCTGGAGAACCAGTTCTCAGTGAAAGGGGTGGTTAAAGCGGCCAGGCTGGCTTATAACTGCCTGAAAAAAGACCCCAAGGAAAGACCCCTCATGTCTGATGCTGTTCAGACGCTCTCTGTGCTTCAGAATCTGACAGATTTCCCCCCACCGCTACCAGCAGTACCACCAGCACCGTCAGCACCATCAGCACCATCAGCATCACCACCGTCAGCAGCGGCAGCAGCACAGGCTGGCATATGACTGTCTAAAATAAGACTTTGAGGAAAGACCCCAAGGAAAGACCACTCATGTCTGATGCTGTTCAGACCCTCTCTGTGCTTCAGAACTTGACAGACTTCCCCCCACCATTACCAGTAGTACCACCAGCACCGTCATCATAGTCAGCAGCAGCAGGCGCAATCAGCAACAACAGGCGCAGCATAGGCTGGAGTTGGGCACACATTAATATCTGTGTGATTTCCGATGCGCCTAAAAAGTAGGCGACGTGTGTGGCTCCTCAACAGCAGCAGAAGCAGCAGCACAGTCAGCAACAACAGGTGCAGCATAGGCTGGAGTTGACCATTGGCCGCATGTTGGATGTTCTGACTTGCGACCGTATTGCAAGGGGCTCTGAACCAATAAGTTATGCACCGTGATATTAGCTGTTGTTAGCTGTTATTATATATTATCACTAGATGTTTAGGTGGCTGAAGATGCTCGCCGCTGCAGGCTGTTACTCTTGTTACAATGTACCAGTTGTGATGTGAATTGGCATTGGGATGTCAAATAAAATGGTCGGTTAGCTTTATGGCGACAAAAACATTGGTTACAGTACACTCAACCATACAGTACGTGCCAGGCAGTACGTACATTAATGTTGAAGGCCAAGGTGTACAGATCTTTACATGGTAACCACACATCAACCAAACATGGTAACCGGGTATCAATCAAGCAGACGGCCCGCTGCCCTTGGAGGGTCCACAGCGCTCCACCATCACATCATACAGCTGCTTGCCGTTCTGTGGTAGAATGGGGAGGCGAGGGGGGGGAGACATGGGTCTGGAGGCGGGACGAGTGATGACAGAGTGTGGTGGGCATGTGCCTTGGAGGGTCCACAGCGCTCCACCATCACATCATACAGCTGCTTGCCATTCTGAAGTAGATGAAAAAGGGAGGGGGAGAGGTAATAGATGGAGAGAGAAAGGAAGGGGAGAGGAAGGAGGGTGGTGATGGGTTGAGTGGGTGCTGCATGTGCCCTTGGAGCTTGTGTGTGCTGTGAATGGTGATGTGGTGATGGGGTGAGTGTGTGCTACATTCACAGCACACACAAGCTCACATACACACTTGACATCCAGCAGTTTTGCACGAGAAAAAAGCTGGAGCAGCAGCAGGGAGCACGTATCGCGAAAAAGGGTAAGAAGGGTATCTGCCCCTCGGGACGGGTCTGGGTCTCCTTGGCGTGTATGAGCAGAGACGGCTTGCACACTCAAACACATACATACACACACAGAGCACTGACGAGGCAACAATGTACCGCGATGATGGGGAAGAAGTGCGCTTGCCCCTCGGGGCGAGTCTGTGTCTCCTTGGAACAGAAGGACAACATGTACACTCATGCAAGTACACTCATGCAAGTACACTCATGCAAGTACACTCATGCAAGTACACTCATGCAAGTACACTCATGCAAGTACACTCATGCAAGTACACTCATGCAAGTACACTCATGCAAGTACACTCATGCAAGTACACTCATGCAAGTACACTCATGCAAGTACACTCATGCAAGTACACTCATGCAAGTACACTCATGCAAGTACACTCATGCAAGTACACTCATGCAAGTACACTCATGCAAGTACACTCATGCAAGTACACTCATGCAAGTACACTCATGCAAGTACACTCATGCAAGTACACTCATGCAAGTACACTCATGCAAGTACACTCATGCAAGTACACTCATGCAAGTACACTCATGCAAGTACACTCATGCAAGTACACTCATGCAAGTACACTCATGCAAGTACACTCATGCAAGTACACTCATGCAAGTACACTCATGCAAGTACACTCATGCAAGTACACTCATGCAAGTACACTCATGCAAGTACACTCATGCAAGTACACTCATGCAAGTACACTCATCCAAATACACTCATGCAAGTACACTCATGCAAGTACACTCATGCAAGTACACTCATCCAAATACACTCATGCAAGTACACTCATGCAAGTACACTCATGCAAGTACACTCATGCAAGTACACTCATGCAAGTACACTCATAGAAACGGTCTTAGACACAATGTTGAGTGATGATGACCTAACCACGTACTGCGATGATGGGGAAGAAGTACACCTGCCCCTCGGGGCGGGTCTGGGTCTCCTTGAAATAGACGACAGTGGAAACAACAAAAGTAGAACGCATACTCATATCAACATACACACACACAAACACAAGCACATCTCACAGAAACATTCCAACAGCAGGCGTGGCGGCATGAAGGGGCGTGCTGCAATGATGGGGAAGAATTGCACCTGCCCCTCAGGGCGGGTTTGGGTCTCCTTGGAATGCATGAAGAGTGACGGCATGCACACTCAAAACACGTGTACACACACACATACACACGCACACACACACACGCGCACATACACACACACACGCACACCCACACGCACACACACACCCACACGCACACGCACACGCACACGCACACACACACACACACACACACAGAGCACGTACCGCAATGATGGGAAAGAAGTGCACCTGCCCCTCGGGCGAGTCTGGGTCTCCTTGAAATAGACGAGCACAGGGAAGAATGGCCACCAGAACTCCCAGTTGACAAACGTGTCATACCTGGTGTGAGGGAGAGGGGGGGAGGGGGAGAAGGGGAATGCTGTAAGTGAAGTCAAAAGATGGCAGCAGCACGGGGAAGGACGGCCACCAGAACTCCCACTTCACAAACGTGTCATACGTGGTGTGAGGGAGAGGGGGGAGGGGAGGAAGGGACGGGTGAGGGGGGGAGGGTGCCATCTCACATCATGAGATGGCAACAGCACAGAGGGGAATGACGGCCACCAGAACTCCCAGTTGACAAACGTTTTGTACGTGGTGTGAGGGAGAAGGGGGGAGGGGAAGTAGGGAAGTGTGAGAATGGGGCTGTTGTGAGTCAGTGCATAAGATGGCAACAGCACAGATGGGAAGGACGGCCAACAGAACTCCCAGTTGACAAACATGTCGTACCTGGGGTGAGGGAGGGGAGAAAAGCGAGCGAAGGGGAGGGGAAGAAGTGTAAGGGAGGCAGAGAAAGGGAGGAAGAGGAAGGGAAGAGAGGGAGGCGAGTCTTGGTCTCCTTGAAATAGACGAGCACAGGGAAGCATAACGACAACCCTTCCCATCAATGTCGACCCCCTTGGATTAACTTAGACCCCCCCTTAGGGGAAACGCACACCCGAGGCGGCTGGCGAGGTGATGGCGAGAGTGCAGAGCGGCGAGGCGACCAGCTTTGAGTGGATGCACTGTGCCTTGGATGGGTCACCCCTGCCTGTGCTGGTGCGAGTGAAGGTGAGAGACCTTGCTAGTACGGGTGCAAGTGAAGGGCGCGAGTGCAGAGTGGAGAGGCGATCAGTTTCGAGTGGATGCACTGTGCCTTGGACGGGTCACCCCTGCCTGTGCTGGTTAGAGTCAAGGTACGGTACGACGAGGGGAAAGGCAGGGAAAGGGGTGGCAGGGGAGGTGACGGCGCGGGTGGAGAGTGGAGAGGCGATCAGCATCTAAGACCCCCCTTCTTAGACCCCCCCTCTTAGACCCCCCTTCTTAGACCCCCCTTCTTAGACCCCCCTTCTTAGACCCCCTCTCTTAGACCCCCCTTCTTAGACCCCCCCTCTTAGACCCCCCCTCTTAGACCCCCCCTCTTAGACCCCCCCTCTTAGACCCCCCCTCTTAGACCCCCCCTCTTAGACCCCCCCTCTTAGACCCCCCCTCTTAGACCCCCCCTCTTAGACCCCCCCTCTTAGACCCCCCCACTTAGACCCCCCCTCTTAGACCCCCCCTCTTAGACCCCCCCTCTTAGACCCCCCCTCTTAGACCCCCCCTCTTAGACCCCCCCTCTTAGACCCTCCCTCTTAGACCCCCCTCTCTTAGACCCCCCCTTCTTAGACCCTCCCTCTTAGACCCCCCCTCTTAGACCCCCCTCTTAGACCCCCCCTCTTAGACCCCCCCTCTTAGACCCCCCCTCTTAGACCCCCCCTCTTAGACCCCCCCTCTTAGACCCCCCTCTTAGATGTCAGAGATAGGATTAGAACTGATACAGTAGTAATGAGCTTGAAGCTCTTTAAGTACATCCAAGAGGGGTAGGAAAAGGATGGGGAAGGGAATCGGGGGCAATCTCTAGGGATTGGGGGTAATCCCAAGGCAATCTCCAATTGGTGGGTTGGAGATTGGTTGGAGATTACATTTGGGTTTGGTTGGGATGTAGGTGTACACCCAACCAAACACAATGTGCAAACTACACTACTCTAGGATATAGAAAATACGGAGTACAAATTGTGAGATTGAAGGCTAACACTAACACCCCCCCATAGGCGTCAATCGAACTCAGGGTAGAGAGGGTGGAGCACAGAGCCCCATGGCGCCAAGGAGACGGTGGTGGGGAACTTTCCCAAGGGGCTTGGTGAACAGATCAGCCAGGTTGCAGTCAGATGCAACGTATTCCACTTTCAACTGCTCTTGTTGGACAAGGTCACGGATGAAGAAGTGCCGGAGTTCAATGTGCTTGGTGCGGGTGTGATACACAGGGTCTTGAGAGATGTGGATGGTACTCTGGTTGTCACACCAGAGGGTGGGGGCGGACTGTGGGAAACCAAGCTCCTGGAGGAGGAAGGTGAGCCAACGAGCCTCCTGAGCAGCCATGGTGCCTGCGTAGAGCTCTGCCTCACATGAGGAGAGGGAGACTGCAGACGACCTGGTGGAGCGCCAACTGACAATTCCGCTCCCAAGGGTGAAGCAGTACCCCTGAGAGGAGCGTCGGTCGGTCTGGTCATCAGCCCAGGAGGAGTCGGTGTAACCTTCCAGGCGAGGAGGGGAGAGCCCACCGAGTGTGAGGACGTGAGACTTGGTGCCCTGAAGATAGCGCAGCACCCGCTTGGCTGCCTTCCAGTGAAGATCAGTGAAGCGTCCAGGGGCCACGTAGCGAGAGAGGACACTGACAGGATAGGCCAGGTCCGGTCGGGTGCACATCATGGCGTACATGAGGGACCCAACAAGCTCCGGGTATGGCTCAGAGCAGGCCTCTGGTGTGGGTACAGCTGGGGCTGTGAGGAGGTGTTGCAGCGGCAGCGGGGTGGCAACAGGTGTGCATAGCTCCATCTCAAATCGCTTGAGCACATTGTCGATGTAGAACTCCTGGAAGAGCGAAATGGTGCGAGCCTTGCGATCACGAGTGATCTCCATCCCCAGGTAGTGCTTGAGGTCACCGAGGTCTTTCATCTGGAGAGCCTTGCTTAGGGCTGCCTGGACTGAGGTCATCTGGGCCGAGTCCTTGGCAACGAGGATGAAATCATCCACGTAGACTAGGATGTAGAAGGGCTCAGAATGACGGCGGATGAAGAGAGTCGGGTCAGCAGTTGAAGGGTGGAAGTCCAGGGAGAGGAGGACTTCTTTCACCTTGTTGTGCCATTCGCGAGGGGCTTGCTTAAGGCCGTAGACGGGGCGATTCAGCTTCCAGACAGTGTTGGGAGGGAATTCTCCTGGGAAGCCTTCTGGTCTGTCCATGAACACTGTCTCCTTGAGACGTCCTTGTAGGAAGGCGGATGAGGCATCCATGGATTTGATCTCAAAGTCTTCTCGAGCTGCGACATCCATGAGCGTACGAATGGTGGGAGGTTTGGATGTGGGGGAGAAGGTTAGGAAGAAGTCGCGGTACTGCTGCTGGGTGAAGCCCTTGGCTACGTAGCGCGCTTTGAACACCGGTGCCTCGTCTGGGAGCTGTTTTACACGGAACAACCACTTGCCCCCGACGATGTTGACTCCTGGAGGTGGAGTCTCGTCGTCGAAGGAGTGGTTGCGGGTGAATGCTGCAATCTCCGCGTCCATGGCAGCACGCCATTCGGCAGCATGAGGGCCTGAGAGAGCCTCTTGGACGGTGAGAGGGATAGGGATGGTCGGGTTCTCCGCGAAGTTGAGGGAGGGTGAGCCAGTGATGTCGGGGAAGATGTGTGAGAGCTGAGGAAGGACTGCATGGAGATCACACAGTTCCTCATGCCTGTCTTCTAGAAGGGTAGAGGGCACATCCCCCCCAGCAGGAGGAGGCGGTGTGATCGCGGTGTATCGAAGAACCATCGCGAGTGGAAGAGTAGCGCGATGTGAGCGAGTGCCATGAGCCACCGGGGAAGAGGGTGGGGCGGGCGGTGTCGGGGAGGGGGACTTAGGAGGCTTGGGCGGGGGAATGGGCCGCCGGCGGTACGTGATCAGCTCGGGCGACTGTGGGAGAGCGGGTTCCTCTGTGGTGGGGGGAGCCGGGGGAGGAGGTGGGGCCGGAGGGTGGGACCGCCGATGGTAGGTGATAGGTGCGCTCGGAGGGGGCGGCGCAGCGGGAAGTGGGGAAGGTGAGGGGGAGGGAGGAGCAGCTGCCGAAGACACCGGTGAGGCCGGGTCAGTGACCTCAGAGGGAGATGGTGCGATGGCAGGAGAGGGAGGAGGTGAGGGAGCAGGAGCAGGCGGGAGGTCGGGAGGCGCATCAAAGTCTGCCCACACGAGGGAGGGTGGATCAGGGAGAGGGTCCCGTCCCGAAGGGGAGTAGAATGGGCGGGTCTCATCAAAGACAACGTCGCGGCTCCTGACCAACTGTTGAGTGGAGGGATTGAGGAAGAGGTAGTCAGGTGAGTCGGCGTTGTGCCCGAGGTAGATGCACGTCTGAGTCTTGGGACCGAGCTTGCCACCGTTATGCCGTCGAGCCTGAGGGTTGAGGAGGACATAGGCGGTGCATCCCCAAACGCGAAGAGAGCGAGCAGTGGGCGTTTTCCCGAGCCAGAGTGTGGTTGGAGTGGTGTCGGGAAGGTGCGGGTGGGGGTAAAGGTTGTAGAGGAGGGCGGCGTGGTAGAGAGCGTACCCCCAAAGAGAGTGAGGAGCGTTGGAGTGGCTGAGGAGGCACCGAGTGATCTGCACCAGGGTGTGGTTGCGGCTCTCAGCTATGCCGTTCTGTTGAGGGCTGTCAGGGAGGGTGAAGTTTTGCTGGATGCCTTCGGAGGAGCAGAAGGCTTTGAGCTTGTCGTTGCAAAACTCACCCCCCCATCCGAGTGAAGGTGCTTGACCTTGCGGTCAAAAGTGGTCTGTGCCTGCTTGACCCACGCTATGATGACCTCTGGAGCCTCAGCCTTAGTGTGGAGGAGGTGAACAGAGACGTAGCGGGAGTGGTCATCCACGATAACAAGGAAGTAGCGATAGCCACCTCGTGCGAGAACAGGGGCAGGGCCCCAGACGTCCATGTGCACGAGGTCCAGTGGTGCTGCAGCGACTGTGGGTGAGGCAGGATGGGGCTGTTGGCGCAGTTTGCTCTTGGTGCAATCAAGGCACGTGGGAGCTGGTGAGTCAGGTGGTGGAGGAAGTGCGGCTGGCAGGCCGAGGAGAAGTTTCTTGGAGGCCATGTCAGCAAGAGTGCGGAAATTTGGGTGCCCGAGCCGATGGTGGTAGAGGATGGTCGGGTTGGAGAGGGTGCGACATGAGCATGGTGTGATAGTGGCCTGTGCTTGGGTGGTTGACACCTGTGGGAGAGGGACGCGTAGCGTGTAGAGGCCGTTGCTGTTGAGGGTGTAGCGGGCCAGAGTTTTGTTGGTGCGTGGATCGATGATGTCGCAATAGTCCTCGTTCTCTGGGAAGATGGTGCGTAGCCCCGCCTCCTGAATTTCTGTTTGGGCAACTAGATTGTGACGCAGTGAAGGCACGCACATGCCAGTGACAGTGCCGGATGGGAAGGCGGGGCATGGGACTGTGGAGGTACCCTTGGCGAGGGTGGTGAAGCTTGAGTCAGCTCCTAAGAGAGGGATAGGTGTTGGGTAAGGTTTGAAGGAGAAGGTCTCCTTGAGCACGGTGTGAGTGGCCCCGCTATCGAGTGTGAACTCTATGTATTGTGGTGCCTGTGATGAGCCGATGTACTGGGAGGTTGCTTCATTAATCATGGCAGTGCCAGGGAACAACAGGTTGATACGCACATCAGCAGGAGCACTATCACTAGCACTAGCCGAAGCGGGGTCCTGGACCTCAACTAGGTTGGCCTTACGAGGGCGCATCCAGTTTGGCGGCTTCTTGTCAACTCCGTGGAGGGCATACCACTCGTCGTCTTTCTTCTTGAAGCACGTAGCAAGGGGGTGGTTAGTGCCACCACACACTTGTCCCTTGCGGTTGCCATACTTGACGACGTAGGGGCACGGAGGAAAGCGGTTGCGCTGGAAGGGCGCCGAGGCGAGAGCCGCTGCGACACTTGCTTGGGGCATGGGAGCGCGGATGGCGTACGCCTTGGCCTGAGCCGTGGAGTCTTTCTCGGCAGAGAGGAGTGCGGTGGAGACCTTAGCAAAGGTGAGGTCTTCTGCTGAGAGCGTGAGGAGCATCTTCCTCGTGACTTCATATGCCGAAGTGGCTCCAACAAGAAGGGCGGCTGCAGGGGCTTGCTCGGGGAAGACTATACCCAGCTCCTTGAGTTCGCCATGAATGGTCTGCACCTTGGCAATGTAGTCGGCCATTCCCGAGCAGTCCTCAAGACGGACCTGAAACATGCTAGGGATGAGAATGGCCACGCCGACCGCCGTCTTGTTCATGAACCGATCCTGGAGGTACTTCCAGATGGCGTTGGAGGTAGGGTAGTTATGGAACGTGTTGACAAGTTCGGGAGGGGTGGAGGCGATGAAGACGCTGATGATGGCAGCATCGGCCTTCTCCCATTTCCGGTACTTCTCAACAGCTTCCTCGTACGCCCTCACATCTGTGTCACTTGCGGATTCGGTCGGCTCACGGGGGAGAGTAGGCTGCTTCCCCTTGCCACGGTTGAGGAGGACGTCCTTGAGGTCAAGGCCCTGCACGTCACGGCTCAGGAGGTGCTTGTCAACTCCGTAGCTCCATGCCTTGAAGTTGGAGCTAGAGCCATCAGCTTCAAGGCGGAGCGGGGTGATGGGGTTGGCCATGGTGGAAGACGAGAGAGCCATGGTGGAGACCCCTTAAATTCTCTCGCGCAGCGCGGCGATTTTGAAATCCGACGGACCCGAATAGCGAAAATTGTCAATGTCGGCCGCGTTGAAATGCCACGTAGAAGGATTTTTCAGGTCGCCGAAATTAGGTCGAATCGGCCGATTTCCGTAGATCTAACACTAATCCCACACACCCCCCCACACACCACCCTCAGCTTCGCGGCTGCGCTGCTGCTCGGCTTCGCGGCTACACGGCTGCTCTGCTTCGCGGCTACGCTGCTGCTCGGCTGCGCTGCTGCACCTGTTCAGCTGCGGGAAGGGGTAGGCGTGCAGATGCGGGGCGACGGGCGGCAGCCCGACGAGAAGAACAAGTGACGAATTGATAGTCGATGAAAACGAGCGTTAGGTTATAGCGCTGACGATGCGCTTACCAGAGAAATTTCCGCCGAAGGTGACGGGAAGGTGTAGCGGGAGAAATTCCGCCGACGAATGTCGCGAATCACCGGCGACGAGATTCATGATGGCTTCGCCGAGGTTTGCGGGACGAGTATCCGCAGAGATGGGAGGATCACGATCCGCGTATGCGGTTGAAGGGCTCTGATACCATGTCAGAAATAGGCTTAGAACTGATACATTAGTAATGCGCTTGAAGCCCTTTAAGTACAACCAAGAGGGGAAGGAAAAGGATGGGGAAGGGAATCGGGGGCAATCTCTAGGGATTGGGGGTAATCCCAAGGCAATCTCCAATTGGTGGGTTGGAGATTGGTTGGAGATTACATTTGGGTTTGGTTGGGATGTAGGTGTACACCCAACCAAACACAATGTGCAAACTACACTACTCTAGGATATAGAAAATACGGAGTACAAATTGTGAGATTGAAGGCTAACACTAACATTAGACCCCCCCTCTTAGACCCCCCCTCTTAGACCCCCCCTCTTAGACCCCCCCTCTTAGACCCCCCCTTTTAGACCCCCCTTCTTAGACCCCCCTTCTTAGACCCCCCCTCTTAGACCCCCCCTCTTAGACCCCCCTTCTTAGACCCCCCTTCTTAGACCCCCCTCTTAGACCCCCCCTCTTAGACCCTCCCCTTCTTAGACCCCCCCCTTCTTAGACCCCCCCCTTCTTAGACCCCCCTTCTTAGACCCCCCCTCTTAGACCCCCCCTCTTAGACCCCCCCTCTTAGACCCCCCTTTCTTAGACCCCCCCTCTTAGACCCCCCCTCTTAGACCCCCCTTCTTAGACCCCCCTTCTTCGACCCCCCCTCTTAGACCCCCCTTTCTTAGACCCCCCCTCTTAGACCCCCCCTCTTAGACCCCCCCTCTTAGACCCCCCCTCTTAGACCCCCCCTCTCAGACCTCCTTGATATCAATATCAAGAGGGCGATGTCTTCAAGGTAGGGTCACTTGTTCACCCCTTCCTCCATCTAACCCTCCCTCATTCCGTGTTCCTTCCTTGCTCCCTTCCAGGCGTGTTGGGGGTGGTGGAGCATCAGGTGTGAGCAGCGAGCAGAGGGCGTTGCTGCACGTGGCGCGAGCATCAGGGGAGAGCCTTGTGTGGTGAGGTGCTATTAAGCACACACTCACGCATCACCCTTCCACCCACCCTGCTCCCTCCTTCCTTTCCCAGGTGTGTTGGGGGTGGTGGAGCTGCTACTAAGTTCAGGCGTGAGCACTGCTGCTGCACGTGGTGGTGCGAATCCTCTCAGACCTTCTCGATATCACGCGCATCGAGTCCCACTCCCTCTCGCTCTCCCCCGCGCCCTTCTGCCTTTGAGAGTACCCTCTCGCTCATGTGCGTTGTTGCAGTCAAGAAAGGGCTGCAGGTAAGAAAAGGCTGTTGTGGGTAAGGAAGGGCTATTCCAGATAAGAGTGGCTGCAGGTGTGTTCCACGCTCACTCAAGGCGTCAGGGGAGAGCCTCGTGCGAATCCTCTCAGACCTCCCCCCCCCCGGAAACACTTAGACCCCGCCGGATTAACTTAGACCCCCCCGGATTAACTTAGACCCCCCCGGATTAACTTAGACCCGCCCGGATTACTTTAGACCCGCCCGGATTAACTTAGACCCCCCCGGATTAACTTAGACCCCCCCGGATTAACTTAGACCCCCCCGGATTAACTTAGACCCGCCCGGATTAACTTAGACCCGCCCGGATTAACTTAGACCCCCCCGGATTAACTTAGACCCCCTCGGATTAACTTAGACCCCCCCCGATTAGCTTACAACTCCCAGTTGACGAATGTGTCATACCGGGTGTGAGGGAGAGGAGGGGAGAGCGAGAGGATCGACGGGTAAGAAGGGTATCAGAAAGGCTCGATTAATCACTTCACAACATGCAACATTCCACATTCTCTCTCCGGGAAAACCACTAGAATCTCGACGACTCGATACTGTCACCCGAAGGCCACGCCGGGGACTCACCTCCACTTGTTCTCTCCAGACGACTCCAGCTGCTGCCCTATGCGCACCTTCAAGTCACCCTCCCACACTGCCACATTCTCACATGCTGCTCCCTTGCAGGCCACCCGAACGCCACGCCAGGGACTCACCTCCACTTGTTTTCGCCGCCCACAAACACGTTCTCCCCAGACGACTCGAGCTGCTGGCCTATGCCTTGAAAGGGCACCTCACCTCGGAACCTCACCCAACGGCCGACCACTGACCCTTCCCCAAACCCAACCTCTCAACTCCACTTGTTCTCGCCGCCCACGAACACGTTCTCCCCTGACGACTCCAGCTGCTGCTGCCCTATGCGCACCTCCAGTGCCTCCCCCTCACACGCTAGAACACCCTCCCACACTGACACGCCTTCACATGCTGGAACGTTGAAGGCAGCAGCTCACCGCCACTTGTTCTCGCCGCCCACAAACACGTTCTCCCCTGACGACTCCAGCTGCTTCCCTATGCGCACCTCCAGTGCCCCTCACATGCTGCCACACCTTCACATCCTGGTCCCATGCAGGCTAGCGACTCACCACCACTTGTCCTCACCGCCACTTGTCCTCACCGCCACTTGTCCTCACCGCCACTTGTCCTCACCTCCACTTGTTCTCACCTCCACTTGTTCTCGCCGCCTACGAACACGTTCTCTCCAGACGACTCCAGCTGGTGCCCTATGCGCACCTCTAAGTCACCCTCACATGCTGCCACACCCTCACACATTGCCACACCTTCACATCCTGCTCCCATGCAGACTAGCGACTCACCTCCACTTGTTTTCGCCGCCCACGAACACGTTCTCCCCAGATGACTCCAGCTGCTGCCCTATGCGCACCTCCAGTGCCTCCTCCCCAAACACAAAGCGCACACGCGTGGTCTGCGCGTGGGAGGGGATGGGGAAGGGAGAACTCAATTATTGTGCCACGCCATGCCATGCCATGCCATGCCATGCCTTCATGCTGCCCTATGCGCACCTCCAGTGCCTCCTCCCCAAACACAAAGCACACGCGCGTGGTCTGCGCAGGGTTGAGGGGGCATGAATCGAGCATGCATGGACGAAAAAAGCCATAGCAACATAGCAGCAGCAGGGCATCACCGGCATGGGGACAATGAGCTACATGACAACGCAATGTGAGAGGAAAGCACCAGAGGACCACCTGAAGAACCACCTGAAGAACCACCTGAAGCAGATGCAAGGCACCTGGAAGGCGAGCAGCGCGCCAAGCAGGCCGATGGGAGCAGCTGCGATCTTGTTGTCTGCCAGGAAGAGAGCTCCTGACACACCTGGTGGGATGGGGAGGTTTGTGAAATGGTTGGATACGGTGAGGAGGTGTTGGTGGGGTTGAGTGGGGGTAGTGGGGGTTGAAGCCTCTCGTCTCTTCAGGCCGATGGGAGCAGCTGCGACCTTGTTGTCTGCGAGGAAGAGAGCACCCGATACACCTGGTGGGGCATTGGGGGGAGTGGGGGTGGGGGAGGGAAGGGGATGAGTTGGAAGGGTTGAGTGGGGTTGACGGTCTCAAGGTCTCTGCAAGCCGATGGGAGCAGCTGCGAGCTTGTTGTCTGCCAGGAAGAGAGCACCCGATACACCTGGTGGGGCATTGGGGGGAGTGGGGGTGGGGGAGGGAAGGGGATGAGTTGGAAGGGTTGAGTGGGGTTGACGGTCTCAAGGTCTCTGCAAGCCGATGGGAGCAGCTGCGAGCTTGTTGTCTGCCAGGAAGAGAGCACCCGATACACCTGAGGGGATGGGGAGGGGGTGGGGAAGGGAGAGGGACGGAGGTGGAAGAATTTTCTTGGGTGGGGAGATGCCGGTAAAAGGGTTGAATGAGGGCTGTGAGGCTCGCAGCTCGTTGTCCGCCAGAAATAGAGGCCGGGCCCGGATGGTGGGATGGCCGGGCCCGGATACACCTGGTGGGATGGTGGGAGGGGCACGAGGGGGAGAGCTGCGTGTGGGCGTGTGAACACACCTGATAGCAATAGTCATGGGGGGGAGGTGTGGTGTCCCCGTGAGCGATTTTTGAGAATTGTACTGAGCACTGCGCACACTTGAAGGTATGACACGGCACGCACCGAGCAGCACGATGGGGATGCGCGGGTCGGGTTCGACCACGACGGTGCCCTTGCCCGTCGTGGTTGAGCACGACGGTGCCCTTGCCCATACCCTTTTGGCTCGACTCTTAACAACAGCATGCACAGCACCTCACGCGCCAAGCACCAAGCACTGAGCACCCGACTAGGGGGCATGGCACGACACGCACCGAGCAGCACGATGGGGATGCGCGGGTCGGGTTCGACCACGACGGTGCCCTTGCCCGTTCCCTTGGGCGACGCGGCCGCCACCACTGCCGCGCCTCGCGCCGCGTGCGCCGCCTGCTGCCGCTGCGCCTGAACCTTAGCGCGACTCACGGGCGTGCCCTGAACTCGAATGGGCGGAACGGCAGCAAGGGCGGAAATGGCGAAATTGGCGGAAATGGCGGACTTGGCGGAGATGGTGGAAATGGGCGGAACCAGCAGAGGGACGAGAGGAAGGCGGCAGCGCCTGAGACAAGTAAATGAGATGGCGCATAGATGCGAAGAAAAAGCTAGATGGCGTTGAATTTCGAACTACTAGTTCGCATTTCACTGCCCGCACTGGCGGTCTTTGAGTTTCGGACCTGAAACGCGTTGCTGAGGGGAGTCGGGCCCCCCGATGTCAGGGACGCGGCGAAACTGGCGCCATTTGAGAGGATTTTCCGCCGAGGTGGAAGGACGGGCGCGGAGATGGTGGCGGGAAGCGCGGCGGAGGCAAGTAGCGATGCCATGGCTGCGACGGAGACCGGGTTGATAGGGGGCTTTGACCTTGAAGCCTGCTACAAGCACCGATGCGAGATTACCTTGCGCTTGTCTGCGGTTTTGAGTGCTGCTATTGGTGTTTTCGGTTAGAGCAAATTTGTGACATTACAATGAATTTATTTTGGATGAAATGTATCTTCTGAGCTGACAATGACATGTACAGTTGAATGTTCCATGCGAGGATAATCCTCCGAGCCGCGTCAGCATGTTTCATGACAGGCGGGATCAGAGGTACAGTACCAGTCTCACTGACCTCTGACGCATCGTCAAAAGCCTTTCGCCACGTGGCACGCATTCTTCCAACCCTCGACTGTGGGAGAGGTAGGGAGAGCACCTTGGGAAGCGGCTAACTTCATTGATACTCAAATTATGCCTGACGCGGTTTGCAAGCGTACTCGACCGACAATTTCTCAGTATAGTAAACAAAATACTTGTGAAGTTTGTTATAGGCACTTTTTTGAAACAAAGTCGCCACCAGCAGGTCCGCACATACCCAACAAAAAAGGGAACATACTAACGCGTGGATAAGCAAGACATAATCTGCTAATTTAACCCTAAATACGGGATATCTTCTAGTTTAGGTTTATATGCTAGAACAAACGACACCACCCAGCGGAGCTTGCTACCCGCGGCATTCAGGAACCTTCCTACTGAAAGGCATTCAGTCAGGATGGCATCAACCCTTAAACCTTGTCGCATGATGTTTAGGGTTGATGCCATCCAAAGGAGTTTTAATTCTCTTCCGTACAAGGTCAGAAGGTCCACAGTCAACGGAGGGTTGACGGTGCCGTCTATTCTGTGAAGTTATTCCTAGTCTGCATTTTTTTTTCCAACGGGTTTTTATCTTTACTAAATTCGCGTTTTATACAATTTTCTTTGTAAACGGTTGAGTATTAATTGTTTTTTGTCTATTTTTAGGAAGAACCTCCACACGATATTATCTATTTATGGTCGGTCATCGCGTTCTGTTTCTGTCACATTTCGGAGGTTTTTGTAGCTTGAAAAGTGTGATTGAAAAGCGAGAACCAATCAGCGATGAGAAATCGAAGTTGAGTACGCTTGCAAACCGCGTCAGGCATAATTTGAGTATCAATGAAGTTGGCCGCCTTGGGAAGAGTGACACACTCCCCAGCGTTGGGATTTGCGTCAAGAGCCGGGCGAAATTCGTCAAAATGTCGTCGCAATCGCGGCAACCTCGGTGTCTCGGGATTCGAAGGCTTGGGATCCATAACGTTTTCGCTAGTTTCTTCGCTCATGCCGACTTCGTACTCTACCTGTCACCCATCTCTCTTCTCAACCTCTACTTCCCATTTAGCATCTTGCTCAGGACCTGATCGTGGAACGGCCTTTCCGTCAGATCCGAGCGAGCTCTTTCCTGTTCTGGTTTTTGTTCCGAAACCTTGGGAGTTGCTTTCCTTTGTAGCGGAATCTCGCTGCTTGGTGGCTAGGCTGGCTGCTTTCCGCACTTGCCGCGTCGTGACCCTGCTGGGTCGAGTTGCAGTTTCAAACCATGGACTTCGGTCGCTTAGCGCGTCAGTCTGTAGCGCCGGTAGCTATCCTCGTCGTAGCAGTGGCCTGGCGTGCGATCGCGCATTCCGCGGTAGTCGTCGTGATCGCAGCCCTTTTCGGAGCTCTTTTCGCGTTTTTCTCCACGAGGAAGAGCGATGGGTCGTCGACTGTTTCCACCGCAGCGACGCCTGAGAAACGCGTTGCTGCGGAGCCGTCTGTCTCGCAAGTTAAGTCGGAGAAACCCGTTGCCGCCGCCGCTGCTGCTGCTCCCGTCGTGCCTTCCGCGGCCAAGCCTGCTGCTGCAGGTAAGGCCGATGTTATGCAGACTTATTTGAAAAGAGGTGGATTCAAAAAATAGGTGGGGGAACGTATATTCAGTCAAGAAATAACCAACATTACTGTTAACTGGTTCATTATTTGGCAGAGGATGGATTACATAAACTGGTTTTCTGTACTTACACATGGACGATCGTTCCTGCCAAACCCTTATTCGGGATGCTTCTTTACAACGCTTTCGTCTTTATTCTGTATGCGTCGTTATCACGCATGAATCCTTATTCCGGTGTTCCTTATTCCATTTGCGTCTTTCGTAACCAGAAGGAGTCATTCCGCTGGCCGCCGGGCGTCGTCCCCCTCCCAAGGCAGAAGACAGTAAGTGGCAACGCAGATCCTCTCTTGCGTGCATGAACCACCGCCGTCTGTGAGACCATAACGCGCGTGGAATTCGTCCTTCTTTAGCCGCTTCAGTCGCTCGCTTCGGCACACGCGATCAACTGCAATCCTGACAGCGCCGATTTTCACTATAGCCACTGTTGTCCGCGCGTTGTACATGCAGAGTTGGGAATCACGCAGTTCATCTGGCCGTATGGCGGGTCCAAGGTGGAGGTGGTGGGGGATTTCTCGGGCGGCGTGCCGGTCGCCATGAAGCCGTCCGCTGCTAACCCCGGGCAGTTCTACATCGACTACACATGCCCTCAGGGTCCGATCGAGTACAGGTGCGTGTTCAAATCGACACAATAGTCACCTCGTGCACGACGCTATGAAGCCATTCGCTGCCAACCCTGGGCAGTTCTACATCGATTACCCGTGTCCGCAGGGACCGATCGAGTACAGGTGCGCTCAGGAACCAACCAGTTACTGTACACGTGCGCTGTGTTACTGCACGCCCTGTACTCTCGTCACTTCCGCTCACCGCCGCCCCAACCTCCGTCCCGCGTACCCACTCCCTCGTATATCAGCTTCATCGTGGACGGCGAGTCTCGTGTCGATCCCGAGTCGCCCACTAACGAGGACGGCAGCAAGAACGTGGCGATGGTGCGGCGCGATCTGTTCGAGTCGCTGGAGGCGATGATGCGGCAGCGCATCCTGCTGCTGGACGGCGCCATGGGCACCATGATCCAGCGCCACAAGCTGCGCGAGGAGGATTTCCGCGGTGACCGTTGGAAGAACCACGCGAACGATCTCAAGGGCAACAACGATATCCTCGTTATAACGCGCCCCGATGTTATCGAGGGGATTCATACGGAGTATTTGGACGCGGGGTCGGATATTATCGAGACGAATACGTTTAACGGGACGTGTATCTCCCAGGCGGATTATGAATTGCAGGCGGAGGAGGAGGTGGTGCTGATTAACATCGAGGCCGTGAAGGTCGCGCTGCGCGCCACGGCGAAGGCGATGCGGAAGGACCCGACGCGCCCGCGCTTCGTGGCGGGCGCGATCGGCCCGACGAACAAGACGCTGTCGGTTTCGCCGAGCGTGGAGAACCCCGCGTTTCGCGCGTGCACGTTCGACGAGATAGTGGACGCGTACAAGATGCAGGTGCGCGCGCTGCTGGAGGGCGGCGCGGATATCCTCCTTGTGGAGACGATCTTCGACACGCTGAACGCCAAGGCGGCGTTGTATGCGGTGGATTTGGTGTTTGAGGAGGTTGGGTACGATGTGCCGGTGATGATCAGCGGTACGATTGTGGACAACAGCGGGCGGACTCTGAGCGGGCAGACGGGCGAGGCGTTCTTGATCAGCGTGTCGCACGCGCGGGCGATGGCGATTGGACTGAACTGCGCGCTGGGCGCGAGGGACATGCGTCCGTATGTCGACACCATCAACAAGGTAGGCGCATTTCCTCGCTGAGCGGGCAGACGGGCGAGGCGTTTTTTATCAGCGTGTCGCACGCGCGCGCGATGGCGATTGGGCTGAACTGCGCGCTCGGAGCGAGGGACATGCGTCCATACGTGGATACCATCAACAAGGTAGGCGCATCGCCTCCCACCGTTTTCTGTACCATTTCCCCAACTCCCCGCTTACCCTCATTACCACATTCCTCCCATTCCCCCGTTCCCCCATTTCCCCTTCCCCCTACTCCCCTTTCCCCCCACTCCCCTTTCGCCACATTCTCGTTTTTCCCGCGTATTCCCCTTCCTGTCCCCTCCTCCCTCCCCCGTCCCCAGCTCACGGACTCGTTCGTGATCTGCTACCCGAATGCGGGCCTGCCCAACACGTTTGGCGGGTATGACGAAACCGCAGAGCAGTTCGCGGAGAACGTGAGGGACTTCGCCACGGGCGGACTTGTGAACGTGCTGGGCGGCTGCTGCGGTACCACCCCCGACCACATCAATGCTGTCTCTAAGATCGTGAGTGCTGTGGTTGTGGGGTGGGTTGGGATGGGCGGGTGGGGGGGAGGGGAGGGGGGCGGGGGGTGACGGGAGGGGCTGGTGGGGGGTTGGTTTGGGAGCTTTGAGCGGCTGGGGAGAACGCGAGGGGCTTTGCCACGGGCGAGCTGGTGAACGAACTGGGCGGCTGCTGCTGCTGTCTCTAAGATCGTGTGAGCTGGGTTGTGGGGGCCTGTAAGGGGGTCGTGCGTGGATGTGGGGGGGATTGCCAGTGCGGGGAAGTCAACGTGAGGGGCTTCGCCATGGGCGGGCTGGTGAACGTACTGGGCGGCTGCTGTGGCACCTTCTCGAGACCCAATCGGCATCGTCTCTGTGAGCGCGAGTGCTGTGCTGAGGCCCGTAATTCACTGCTTCGAGTGAGCGGCTCAGAAACCTGAACCTTCAACTTTGAACCTTCAATTTTCCACCCTCAACCCTGAACCCTCAACCCTGAACCCTCAACCCGGAATCCTGACAGGCGGAGGGAGTGCGTCCCCGCCCCCGCCCCTCGGTGCGCAACCTGATACGGGTGAGCGGGCTGGAGCCGTTCAACTACACGCCCGAAACCATCCCCTTCCACTCCTTGTGTTGTCATGCCGAATGAACTGTCAACCCGAACCCTCCCTTTGGCAGGTGGAGGGAGTGCGGCCCCGCCCCCGCCCCTCAGTGCGCAACCTGCTGCGCGTGAGCGGGCTGGAGCCCTTCAACTACACGCCCGAGACCATCCCCTTTATAAACATCGGCGAGCGGTGCAACGTGGCGGGGTCGAGCATCTTCAAGAAGGCGGTGATGGCGGGCAACTGGGACAAGGCGCTCAGCATCGCCATTGCTCAGGTGGAGGCGGGCGCGCAGATCATTGACATTAACTTCGACGAGGGTCTGCTTGATTCCGTTGCTGCCATGACTCGTTTCGTCAACCTGCTCGTGTCTGAGCCTGATGTGAGTTCAAACAGGGGCAAGGGAATGGGCGAAAAAAGGGCCAACTGGGTGGGGAAACTGGGACAAGGCGCTCAGCATCGCCATTGCTCAGGTGGAGGCGGGCGCGCAGATCATTGATATCAACTTCGACGAGGGGCTGCTGGATTCTGTGGCTGCCATGACTCGCTTCGTCAACTTGTTGGTTTCTGAGCCTGATGTGAGTCCAAACAGGGGCAAAGGAATAGGCAAGGGGAGGGTAACGGGAATGGGCAAAAGGGAGGGCAACTGGGAGGGTCAAGGCGCTCAGCATCGCCATCGCGCAGGTGGAGGCGGGCGCGCAGATCATCGATATTAATTTTGATGAGGGGCTGCTGGGTTCGGTTGCTGCCATGACCCGCTTCGTCAACCTGCTGGTCTCCGAGCCTGATGTGAGTTCAAACAGAGGGGATAAGTGGGGCAAGGGTGGGCAAAGGGAGAGACAACTGGGACAAGGCGCTGAGCATTGCCATTGCTCAGGTGGAGGTGGGCGCGCAGATTATTGACATTAATTTCGATGAGGGTCTTCTCGATTCTGTTGCTGTCATGACCCGCTTCGTCAACCTCTTGGTCTCCGAGCCTGATGTGAGTTGCATTGGTGGAGGGGAACTGGGACAAGGAAGGCTAGTGAAACACGGTGGTTGTGAGTGGAGAGGGAAGGGGAAGGGGAGGAGGGGAGGGGAAAGGGGAGGGGCAACTGGGTGGGACAAGGTGCTGAGCATCGCGATCGCGCAAGTGGAGGCGGGCTCTCAGATCATCAATATCATCTGATTCACCCATTCATTTCCCCCACCATGGACTGCCTGCCTCCCTTCCTTCCTTCCTTCCTTCCTTCCCCTCCTCCTTCACAGGTCGCAAAGGTCCCCTTCATGATAGACTCGAGCAAGTTCCACGTGGTGGAGGCAGGGCTCAAGCGCCCATGTGCCCTTAGACAAGCTCTCACCCTTTTCTGCCCCTCCCCTCCTTCCCCCACTCCCAGGTCGCCAAGGTGCCTTTCATGATCGATTCGAGCAAGTTCCACGTGGTGGAGGCGGGGCTCAAGTGCTCGCAGGGCAAGTGCATCGTCAACTCCATCTCGCTCAAAGAGGGCGAGCCAGCCTTCCGCGCCCACGCTGCCCTTCCACAAGCCCTCATTCCCTTCCGCTGCTGCACTTTCTGCGTGCCACTCCCTGCTGTTCCCTGCCGCCCTTCCCTCCTCCTCCTCCCCTCCCCATCTTCTCTTATCACAGGTGGCGAAGGTCCCTTTCATGATCGATTCGAGCAAGTTCCACGTGGTGGAGGCGGGGCTCAAGTGCTCGCAGGGCAAGTGCATCGTCAACTCCATCTCGCTCAAAGAGGGCGAGCCAGCCTTCCGCGCCCACGCGCACACCATCAAGCGACACGGGGCAGCGGTTGTGGTTATGGCGTTTGATGAGGAAGGGCAGGCCGCCACAGAAGAGGACAAAGTGCGGATCTGCGTGCGCGCGTATAAGATTCTGGTGGACGAGGTCGGGTTTAATCCCGAGGATATTATTTTCGACCCGAATATTCTGACGATCGCGACGGGATTGGAGGAGCACGCGAACTACGCGGTGGATTTTTTCAGGGCGACTACCCGGATTAAGGCGCTCTGCCCGGGAGCGAAAATTTCGGGTGGCGTGTCGAACATTTCGTTCTCGTTCCGCGGGAACGAGCCGGTGCGACGCGCGTTCCACTCGGTCTTCCTGTACCACGCGATCAAAGCCGGGATGGACATGGGGATCGTAAACGCGGGGCAGATCGATATTTACGATGATATTCCCAAGGAGCTGTTAGATCATGTGGAAGATTGCGTGCTGAATCGACGGCCGGATGCGACCGAGAGGATGCTGGAGCTCGCGGCGAGATTGGACCCGAAGGCGGGCGGTGGCGGGGATAAGGCGGAGAAGGACGCATGGAGAGAGCTGTCGGTGGAAAAGCGGTTAGCGCACTCGCTTGTAAAGGGGATAGACCAGTACGTGGTGGCGGATGTGGAGGAGGCGCGGACGTGTGGGCAGTACGTGCGCCCGCTGCATATCATTGAAGGGCCGCTCATGGATGGCATGAACGTGGTGGGAGATCTGTTCGGCGCTGGCAAGATGTTCCTCCCCCAGGTGAGCCTTCTTTTCCCTCTTTTTCCCCCTTTCCCCCTTTTCCCTGGGTGAAACTGGGAGTTTTTGTGTTTGGGATTGGTGAAATGGGTGGGGTACGGTACTGTGCGGTACGGTACAGTACAAGGGGAAAGGGAGGGAGGGAGGGACGGGATAGACTAGTAAGAGGGGGGAGGGAGGGAGGAGGGAGGGCATAGACCAGTATGAGGAAGGGGAGAAAGGGAGGGAGGGAGGGAGGGGATAGACCAGTACGTGGTGGCAGATGTGGAGGAGGCGCGGACATGTGGGCAGTACGTGCGCCCGCTGCACATCATTGAGGGGCCGCTCATGGATGGCATGAACGTCGTGGGAGATCTGTTCGGCGCCGGCAAGATGTTCCTCCCCCAGGTGAGCCCGCTTTCCCCCGATGAACCCACCTGAATCCCTGGGTGAAAGTGTGCGTTTTCATGTTTTTGGGATTGGTGAGAGGGGTGGGGTGCGGTACGGTATGGGAGTGAGGGAGGCAGGGGGATGGAGGGAGGGAGTCAGGGATGGAGGGGCATGTGGGCAGTACGTGCGCCTGCTGCACATTATCGAAGGGCCTCTCGTGGATGGCATGAACGTGGTGGGAGATTTCTTTGGCGCCGGCATGATGTTCCTCCCCCAGGTGAGCCTTTTTTCCTCCCCAAGTGAGCCTGCCTACCGCAGGTGGTATACCTTCCCCAAGTGAGCCGCAGGTGGTATACCTTCCCCAAGTGGGTCCAAATCTTCCGTATTTTTCCCCTCCCTCCCCCACCCCCACCCTCCTCCCCCCCCACAGGTGATCAAGAGCGCTCGAGTCATGAAACGAGCTGTGGCCCATCTCATTCCGTTCATGGAAATGGAGAAGGAAGAGGCTCGGCTCGCCAACCCCGATACCAACCCCCATGAATCACCTGCACCCTTCAAACCCTCTCCCACCCCACAGGTCATCAAGAGCGCGCGTGTGATGAAACGCGCCGTGGCCCATCTGATTCCGTTCATGGAGAAGGAGAAGGAAGAGGCTCGCCTCGCCAACCTCGATACCAACCCCCATGAATCACCTGCACCCTTCAAACCCTCTCCCACCCCACAGGTCATCAAGAGCGCGCGTGTGATGAAACGCGCCGTGGCCCATCTGATTCTGTTCATGGAGAAGGAGAAGGAAGAGGCTCGCCTCGCCAACCCCGATACCAACCCCCATGAATCTCCTGCACCCTTCAAACCCTCTCCCACCCCACAGGTCATCAAGAGCGCGCGTGTGATGAAACGCGCTGTGGCCCATCTGATTTCGTTCATGGAGAAGGAGAAGGAAGAGGCTCGCCTCGCCAACCCCGAGGTGGAGCAAGCCGCCAACGCCGGCACCGTCGTCATCGCCACCGTCAAGGGAGACGTCTCAAACATTCACTTTTTACACCTACCCCACACCCCCAGGTCAAGGGAGACGTGCACGACATCGGGAAGAACATCGTTGCGGTCGTTGCCATCATACGTCTCAACAACCCATGCTCCCATCCTCCCAACCCCCCACCCTACTCTCCCCCAAACCAGGTCATCAAGAGCGCGCGTGTGATGAAGCGCGCTGTAGCGCATCTCATCCCATTCATGGAAAAGGAGAAGGAGGAGGCGCGCCTTGCCAACCCAGAAGTCGAGCAAGCCGCCAACGCCGGCACCGTCGTCATCGCCACCGTCAAGGGAGACGTGCACGACATCGGGAAGAACATCGTTGCGGTTGTGCTGGGTTGCAACAACTACAAGGTGGTTGATCTGGGTGTGATGGTCCCCTGCGCGAAGATTCTGGAGGCATGCCGCGAGCACAATGCGGACGTGGTGGGTTTGTCGGGGTTAATTACCCCGTCGCTGGACGAGATGGTTACGGTGGCGAAGGAGTTGGAGAGGGAGGGGTTCAAGATCCCGCTGCTGATTGGAGGAGCCACGACCAGTCGCATGCACACAGCTGTCAAGATCGAGCCGGTGTACAGTGGGCCTACTGTTCATGTTTTGGACGCTTCCCGCAGCGTCCCGGTAGTTTCCAGCCTGCTCGATCCGACGGCCACGGCTGACTTTGTGACGGACGTTCGGGAGACGTACGCGGAGCTTCGGGAGGAGCACTATGCTGGGCTGCAGGATCGGAAGTACGTGCCTATCGGCAAGGCTCGGGACATGAAGTTCCAGATTGACTGGAAGCTTCCGGAGAACCTTCCCGTTGTGCCGAACATGCTGGGGAAGAAGATTTACAAGGATTATCCGATCAACGAGGAGTTAATCTCAGCCATTGATTGGAATCCGTTCTTCCAGGTGTGGCAGCTGAGGGGTAGATACCCCAACCGCGGTTACCCGAAGATTTTCAACGACGAGACGGTCGGGCAGGAGGCGAAGAAACTTTTCGACGACGCGCAGGCAATGCTGAAAGACATTGTGGAGAACAAGAAGCTGACCGTGCGGGGCGTTGTTGGGATTTACCCTGCGAATTCGGTGGGTGATGACATTGTGCTGTATAAGGACGAGTCGAGGAGCGTGGTTGTTGAGACGATGCATACGCTGCGTCAGCAAGCGGAGAAGGAAGAGAACGACGATCCGTACCTCGCTTTATCTGACTTCATCGCCCCAGCGACCTCGGGCATCAAGGATTACCTCGGAATGTTTGTGGTGTCTTCCGGGTTTGGACTCGAGGAAATGGTGAAGAAATTCAAGGAGGATAACGATGACTTCAGCTACATCATGGCCGAGGCTATTGCCGATCGTCTCGCCGAAGCTGCGGCGGAGGTTCTCCACCGGGACGTTCGGAAGGAGGTGTGGGGGTATGCCAAGGACGAGAACTTGAGTGTAGACGAGCTGCTGAAGGTGAAATACCAGGGTATTCGCCCTGCCCCGGGGTACCCTAGCCAGCCGGATCACACTGAGAAGCCGGTTATGTGGAGGTTGATGGATGTTGAAGAGGATACGGGGATTCAGCTCACTGAATCCATGGCTATGCTGCCCGCTGCTTCGGTTTCTGGCCTGATTTTTGCTGCGCCCAAGAGTCACTATTTTGCAGTTGGGAAGATTCTGGCGGATCAGGTGGCGGATTATGCGCAGAGGAAGGGCATGCCGGTTGCCGAGGCTGAGAAGTGGCTTGGTCCGATGCTGAACTACGAGCCTTAGACGGTGGTTCTGCAGGGTCAACGCTGTTTCTGTTTTGAGAATGGGGGGGAAGATAGCTGCTGTGGTTGTGTCCGGATTTTTTTAGGGATGGATAAAGGGCAGTGTAAAAGTGCAGTGCATTAGGTTGACTGAGAATATTGGCATCCCATCTTGCCTCCGGCTTTGGTTCAGGTACCAGTACTCATGGTTGCTACTACATTTCCTTTCTACTGATGCAAAGGTGGGTATTGACGGTTTGAAGTGAGCCCCGCTTTGTACGGTACATTGGTAAAACTAACTGCTGCCGAATAAATCCTGGCAGTGCCAGTAGTGAAACGTCACCGTTAGGACACGGCACCTATTGTCTGCAATCAAACCAGCGCAAATTCGTTTCTTTTGCGGAGTTCAAAATGGTTCCGAAAGATGTAAATGCAATCAGCATGTTTTCAGTGCGGTGCAAACACCGAGCCTACGACTGATCGTTCAAAATTGCTGATCACCGCGTCCTTGTGGTCATTTTGTGGTGTGGCTGGGGGGGAAGATCGCGGCGGGAGCGAATGGAGCGAATGGAGCAGCGGCGGTGTGCCATATCTATGCCCATTCGCTCCATTCATATCTCGTCAGACACGGAAATATGGGGTGATGTGTGGTGTGGTGCGGAGCGGACACGTAGATGTGTGCTGTTCTCTGTGTCTCGGGATTTCAAGTTTCACTGTGGGTAAGTACCGTACAGTTTTCAACGGCGTTTTTCAGCCGTGTTCTCTTATCAGCTAGGTATCGAGCACGAGCATCGCGTGGATTTATGATAGCCTCACAGTGGCCTTGTTCGGGAGTACGTGGATCGTGGCTCGTATTCATGCTTTCTCCACTAATTTCCATTGATAAATATTAATTAATCCAAAACAGCGATCAGTTTCCATTTCGCAACAGAGCAATTCTGATTGACCTAAACCGGGCCCGTTAGCTCATATCCATCATCGCGTCTCCTCCGCGGTTGTCCCAGGCGGTAGCACTCGGCACGGCATGATAGTCAACCGGCGGTAGCATGATCGTCGCAGAGTCGTACGCTGTAGTACACGCCAGATTATTACTAGTATGCGTTGTGACGGTATAATCATGTGCGGTTTCCGGCGTCAGATTATGCGTTGCGGTTAAGTTATGTGCGGTGGCCGTCAGATGGGCCGCTCCGCCGGCTTGCGCGGTGGGAAACGACTCGAGCAGAAGCGAATGCGGTCCGAATTCAAACCCTAATTCGCCGAATTGGCAGGCGTCGCCCGTTATCTGAGGTTCGGAGGCGAGTGCAAAGGATATATCGATGTCAGCAGCAGCACACTCAGCAGCTGTGACGGGATCGAAGGCGTTGGTCTTCGCTTCATCGTCAGTAGCCCCCTCATCTCCGTTACTAGGACCAGTGCTGGCAGCACCGTCAGTCCCGTTAGAAGCGCCGTCAACTGCGCCGTCAGCAGCAGCATCATCAACGGGTTTCAGCGGCGTTTGATACGGACCCATTGCTACGTTAACCGGAATTGCGCAGCCAACGGCAGGGATCGCAGGATCCATGCTCTCCTCGTGCAGCAGTAGCGCTGCGGCTGGTGCACCATCCGCTATGGCTCCATTCTGTACCCTGTCACAGGCTCTGGTACCAGCAGTAGCAGCAGCACCACCAGCAGCCGTCGCAGCAGCGGCAGCACCGGCAGTACCAGCAGTCGCAGCAGCAGCATCCCTGGTGGTCATGCCAGTCCCACACCCAGCATCCCCCATCCCAGTACCAGCACCAACCCCGCCTGCTCCCGCTCCCTCCTCCTCCTCCGTTCTCTGCCGCAGCTTCCGGGCAGGCTCCCTTAGGCCACCGTTATAATCACCATCTTCAGAGTAACCAGGGGAGATACTAACGAAGTGATCCGCACTGAGCGATTTGAACCGCCGCTTATTCCCGTCAATGCTTGGAGTCTCAGCCCTGAGGGAGCTTTTGCTGGTTCTCCTCGCACCAGGTTCACCTCCCTGCCTTTCCTCTGCAGCGTCGACCCACGTGCTGGTAACCCCATCACTGGTTACCCACTTGTTGGTTACCAGACGGCTGCCGAATGCAGCCCCCTCCTTGCTGTTCGCACCACGGCTGGTTACCCTGTTATCGTCAGTTCTGGCGATGGCAGCGGAAGCGAGGGCGCGTTTATACTGATCGCCGAACGTGAATGATCGGCTGGCTGCTGGTACCAACTGCACCAATCGAGGCCTGACAGCTGGCGGCTCGTTATAGTCACACGCCATGCTCGCAGCGCCCTCACTGCCGCTTTCGCTGTTGCCCTCCTTCATGTGCTCCTCAATATTGTCATTTTTATGCCGAAGCTCTGCCGAGCCTTCCAGCGCTGCTGAGCCTCCAATCTCTCCCGAGCCTCCGATCGCTGCGGAGCGCTGTGGATCCGTTGGTGAAGACAGATGGGAGTGTGGGCGCCGATGCTGGTGTGACGGAAGCTGCTGTGACTGTGGTGAAAGCACTTGGTGTGACTGTGGCGAAAGGTGCCGGCGTGATTGTGGCGAAGGGATCTTCTGTGGACTGTTGCGAGGAGGCGTGGCAGCGAGCGTGGCAGGTGGTGGGTGAGGAGGATTATCGGAAGCGGGGGCGGAAGGATAAGACGACTGGCGAAACGCCGGGGCGGACTTTTGAGTTGTCTGAGGAGTGAGAGCAGAAGAGGGTTGAGCGGAGGGAGGGGACTGGTGGATGGACGGGGGAGTGGGTGGGAAGGGCCGCGTGTGAGTCGGCCCAAAAAAAGCGGGAGCGGAAGCAGATGGGACCGGCAGCTGAAATGGGTTAAATGGAAGAGGTGTGGAATAAGCGTGAGAAGACCAGGGATAGGGGCGAATCGGGAGGAGAGGGGAGTGTAGCTGTGCTGGTGCTTCAAACGAGGATGAGTGCAGCTGCGGAGGTGCTTCAAACGAAGCCTGGGCGGATTGGGATGCTGCCGAATCCGCTAGTAGAGCTGGGGTTTGGGGGAACTGAAAGGAGTGCGGGAGAATGGGAAGATTCGTCCGCTGACTTGCTCCAGAGGTTTGTACTTGGGGGTTTGGGAGTTGGGGCCTTGTGGGGGAGGACAAGGCTTGTAAGGAAGGGGAAGAGGCTGCAGAGTGGCTGGGGAAGGAGATTGAGGAGTACGAATGGGCTAGCAATGGGTAGGAGTGGGCTAGAGGCGAGTGAGGGTGGTGCAGGGGTGAGTGAGTGTGGTCGATGGGAGACACTGGGAGGGAGCGGGGGGAGCGATGCACACTCTCTACACCCAGATTGCTCCCTTGAGACTGGGGGGACGGGTGGTGCTGCTGCTGCTGCTGTTGCTGCTGCTGCTGGTGCTGCTGCTGCTGTTGCTGCTGCTGGTGGTGGTGCTGCTGGTGGTGGTGGTACTGCTGGTGGGGTTGCTGCAGGGTTGGGCGGGGTGGGATTTCGAGAGAAGGAAGCGGGTGGGAGAGAAGGGCCTGTCGCATCACAGAGGGGAGCGCCTGGAGCTGCTGCTGCTGCTGCTCCTTCAGCTGCTGCTGGTCTCTCTGCTGCTGGTTTCTCTGCTGCTGCTGAATTTCTTGCTCGGCCTGCTTCAATTCCAGTTGCTTCTGCAGCTGCTGAAGCCGCCTCCGTTGCTGATCCAGCTGCTGCTGCATCTCTTGGTCTCTCTCCCACTGCTTGCTCCCAAGCTTCCCTCCCCTCAATTGCCCTGCATAATCCCTCTGAGCCGCCTCCAGCTGCTGCTGCAGCCGCTGCAGCCGTTGCTGCAACTGCTGCTGATTCTGCTGCAGCAGCTGCTGCTGGTTCAGCTGAATAGCTTTGTCTTGTTCTATTTGTGCATTCCCATGCGGCGTCCCTCCCCTCGACTGGCTTGCCTGCTCGTTCTGAGCCACCTCCAACTGCTGCTGCAGTTGCTGCAGCCGCTGCTGATTCTCCTGCTGCGCCTGTAGCTGCTGCAACGCCAGTAACTGCTGCTTCAACAGTGCCTTCTGCTGCTGCTGCTGTTGGCGCTGCTGTTGCTGCTGCTCGTCCTGCTGCTGCTGCTGCAGCTGCTGCTGCTGTTGCAACAGGAGCAGTTGTTGGTTGATTACTCCCAACTGGGGAACACAAGAATCACCCTGCTGCTCCGCTGTGTGAGGCGCTTCACGCACCGTTGGACTTTCTTGGTTCGTGACATGGCTCGTAACGAGGCTCACGTCTTGGTTCGGCACCTTGTCTGTGATTCGACAGGGAGCCGCGGAGCTCGTTTGAAAGTCGCCGAAGCTACGCTTGGTCCTCCAACCAGCACCGGCAGCACCGGCAGCACCGGCAGCACCGATCAAACAGGCAGCTTCACAAGCAAGCGATGCAGCCACGGAACCTGGGGCAGGGTTATTCGTAGCTGATCCTGTCCGCTGATCTTGCGGCACTGCCGAAATCAACGGCAAAAAAGCACCCGATGGGTCGGTGGTATCTGTTTCGGATCCTGCCGGCCTTTGCAGCGTCCCAAAAGCAATCGTACCACCAGCGGTTTGATCAGCAGCAAAATCAGCAGCATCGGCGCTGGTGGTATCGGGGGCAGCAGCGGTGGTATCAGCACGCAGTCGTGAAGCATGGCGAGCTAAGATCGCTGCAAGAGGGAAGCTTCCTCCGACTGAAGGGAGCGCAGAAGCTGGTGTAGGAGATGTTGACTGCCCGGAAAATGGTGACTGCCCGGTAAAAAGTGGCTGCGCGACGAATGCTGGCTGCCCAGAAAATGGCGATTGCCTGGGAAATCCAGAGTGCGTGTGGAGCAGGGATGCTGCGGAGGCTGAGGGTAGGTGGGAAGGCGGGCTGTACAAATTGCTATGAGCCACAGAGCGAGCAGCAGAGAATGAAGCAGGGCGAGCACAGGAAAGAGTTGAAGTTCTGGAAGCAGCAGCAGCAGCAGCTGCAGAAGCAGCGGCGGCAGCATCGCCAGAAACCAACGAAGGGAAGCCATCTGGGTGGGGAAACCGGGCCCCTCCCAACCTTCCACCTCCTCCTCCCCCGTCGCCTCTTCCGCTGCTGGGACTTATGCGAGCGTGGTTCAATGCACTGATACTGCTTCCACCGGCTGCCAAAACACCGTCAAGAGCAGCACTCCCCCCCAAGCTGCTTGCACTGGCGTTCAGAGCAGCAACAGTGAGTGCGATGTTGTCGTGGAGCTCTGGCCAATCCCTGGGTTCGCCCAGGCCTAGGAACAGCCACTCGCACGCCGCTAGCGACAGGTGGCCGTACGTCATTGGTTCTGCCACTGCTGCTGGTGGTGATGCTGCTGCTGCTCCTGCTCCTGCTTCAGGCGGTGCTTCAGGTGTCGCTTCAGGTGCTTCAGCAGATGCGCCTGCGCCTGCTGCGGCTGCGGGGTCGCTTGGCTTGCTGACGCTGTCCGTCGCCCGTCCGCTTGTTGACGGGCCTTCCTTGTCTTGCTTGGGACTTCCAGGCCTCTCTCCGGAGCAGCGTTTGTCCCTTCCCTCTTGCCAGCGCCGGTGTGCTTCGGTGAATTTCCTGCACCATGACGGTGGGAGATTGCGAGGATTTACAAGGTGAGGTTTCAAGATGAGACTTGGAAGGTCTCTTGAGGGTTTAGGTGAGATTGGAGGTAGGCGTCGAAAGGGAGGGACGGAGAAGGAAGATATATAAATATCCTTGCGCAATACAAAGCTGTACAGGGCTTGAGGTTGATCGGACAAGCGTAGAGACGAAGGAGGGAGATAGATTCAATGGAGGGGAGAAGGGAACAGGAATGTGGGAACGTGGGAATGGGGGGACAAGGGAACAGGCGGCTGACTTTTTGAGGAAGAGGAAGCGGTTACAGCAGGACTTGTTGTCCCGGTGCGGCAGCAGGGAGCTCTTCTCGAGTGCGCCCCACTGCCTGGTCCCATAGCGCAGTGCATGGCGTAATAGCGTTGCGTCCTCCTGAGGAGAGAGAAGGGGAGAAAGGGAGGATGGCGGAGGAAGATAGGGTTGTGTGGGAGAGGGCGGGGGCAGCGTCAGCAGCAGGAGGAACCGGATGGAGGAGAAGCGGAGAGGGTTCGGAGGAGAGGGTGGGGTTGGGGGACGAGAAGCGGGAGGAGGGAATAGAAGGGGGAGGGAGAGGGGAAGATGGGGGGAAGCATGCAAAAACGGTTTTGTGAAAGAGACAATACACAACGGGCAATGCCGCAGCAGGCAGCACTTCAAGAAGTTCGGGCGAGGTGATATGTTCTACAAGCGATCAAACGACTCGTGAGCATGAGCGGAGGGAAAAGTGCGATAGCCTTAGAAAGTAATCTGGCAAATAGTGCAAATTAGACGCCAGCGTTGATGAAGGGCAGCGGAAAAAGAGTCATCTTGTGGCAGAGTTACTACATACAGCTGCTGCTTGGAAATAGAGCGATTTAAAGAGGTTTGGGGCATCTGAGAACTAAGCTATTCGGTGGTCGTACTAAAAAGTAAATTAAACTAGATTAAGAAGGCTACCTGTTTAGACCACATTCTAGTCGCTTGCATGGAGAGATCTGCCGCTGCCGCGCCGCGAACATCGTCGTCTCCTGCGCCGCGGATTATTACTGCCTTTCCGCCACGAACGGCACACATCTGGCTCCGTTTTTTCTGCTCGGAACGGTCGGGAACTTGTGAGAGAGATGAATAACTTATCCTGCGAAGGCTAGCGCCAGTTTTCGTAGGCAAGAAGACGTCAGGTGACCTTGTGATGAGCTGATTCTGGATCTGAGTACTCGTGGAATCGAAACTCAACAATGAAGGGCGAACAAGAATGGCAGTGAAGGTACGATTCCGATATGTGTGGCGCGTCAGAGAAGCGCGATCTCGCAGTGTTGTGTTTCTCTGTGTGGTTCATCGTGCTAACGCACATACAGCTGACAGCTGTACTGCTTGTAAAGTCTTTTTTTACTGCCTGGAACATTTGTTGAGGGAGCTTGGTCGGTCACCCAGATGCATTTGGGCCACCATTGACGATTTACTGTAGCGAAGTGCACCTTGGTTTGTCAATTCTTTCTTCCTCCTTCCAGCTCCGAACCGAACCGTCCAATGTGGTACACTTGCAGGTCATGTGGAGGGACTGTTTCACCAAATCAAATAATATGTTGGATTTGAACTCATTGCAGCTGCACACACATTCTGACGCTCTTTGTTCAGAAAGTCGCCCTGAACCTTTCATATTTTGAACTTCTTTGCGGGGGGTATTAGGTCTTCATTGTATGTGTCGAAGTCCCAAAAGCCACTTTGTGATCACGGCTTTTGGGCCGAGATTCGTTGGGACTCAGTTTGCATGTCTCTTCCTCGCGTGATCCTGAAGTGGCCCAGCTAGTTAGCTGGTTCACTTCCGAAAGATGAGGTCCCGGGATCAAATCCCCCCTGCGGCGTGTTCTGCCAGCCCCCCAGAAGGGGGTTACACAGGTGCTCATCTGGGAGTGGATAGAACAACCTCGTTGACCCAGCGAGGAGTGTAAACAAATGGGGAGGCGGGTTACGACCGACAGCCAGGTGTGGTTAACACCCAGAGGGGTTTCCCCCCCTCCTTTAACCTCTTCCTCGCGTGAGGAATATTTGAAAACTATCCCTTGATTGGAAATCCGTCGTAAAACCCCTCGGCTTAGATAAACCAAGGAAAGTTGCCCGTATTAGCGAGGTTCGGGGTGCCACGGCATCGCCCTTGTTGACCAGATGCAACTGTACCAGGCAAGACAGTCCTCAATTGTTCAGAAGACCGTAGAAAGTGATGTCTTCCTTTTCAACCAGGCATGTGGTCGCTTTCTTTCTGTTCATTCGTGTACCTTTTCATTTACACACCATATATTACAAAGCTAGCTTGCGTTTATAATCAGAAAAATGGCTCTGCGTTTGCCCTTGAAATCCCTGAAGGGACGAATGCTGTGCGCTGGCACACATTCTTCGTGCTGTTTACGCTACACCTCGTGCTACGCACTATGATTGCTAGCAACCTGCTGTTCAGGACGGCTCGTGATCCACAACTGTCGGTCCCAAAGAATGCTGGCCTCATTGATTCATCTCCATTCACGAATCGCGAACCAGAATTGTATTGCACTTCTGGGGTAGCTGGGAGGTGTATCCCAGCAACAGAGCTGAAAGGGTGGATATGGCTGTAACCTCCCTCAGCTCTGGAGCAGTCTGGTGGAGACGTGCCGCATACTGCTTATGTAAAAGTACTTCATCCCACTGGGATTGTTGGCGAGAATTGTGGGAATGTCGCTCTTCTCGGCTTGGACCAGCAAAGAAGCTGGGTGGCAATCACATGGGTAACCTGGCCTTGAAGGTGCAGCAGTCCCGTGTGATGTAGTGAACGTGAAGGTGTAGCGGTAGACCGCTGGCTCGCTCCGTGTTTCTCGAAGCTTTTGAAGATTTCCCACTTGCTGATTTGTACTCAACTGGGTGAATTCACGTGTTGGGCCTCACATGCCCTCTGTAAATTGCTTGACCGATAGTAGGGCTCCATGACATGGATAAAGGAAACATTGATCTTGTACAAGAACTCTCACCGTACGTTCACAAAATGCACATGGAACGCAAAGTTTCGGCCAATGCTTGGATTGGACTAAACACATGAGTTTCACATAAGTTTAGGGTGACTAACGACATTGCTTACACACGTGTTGTCCACTGGTTCCCTACTCTCGGGAAAATCAACGCAAACGCCATTTGATGAATCAGATTCCCACAAGAGAATGCTCATGATTTGTGATTTGCTGCTGGTGAAAGGCTGTCAGGTTGCACAACGCGGTTTCTTTTTATTGGTTGATTGTGCTGGTCTTGCCAACGTAGTGACGTATGAATATTCTACAATCAATGCACCATAAGGGCGTGGAACATTTTAACGACCACGCCGATTTTTCGACCATATGGTCGGGTGTGGCGAAAATGAAGGATGTAACAGAGCTGCGAAGGGTGCGAAATTTCTAAGCTATTCTGCTCGCCAGCACGTGGGGCACCCAATAGAAACCACCCCCACAAAGCAGAAACATTTGTTCCCACTTTAAGCATTCGAAAGGGGTGTAGGATGCAGGGAGAGCGGGAAATTAGTAGAATAATAGGCAAACACAATCGTAGGTAAATACTGGAAGTCAAACGATGTACCCCTCTTAATGGATAAGTGTGAGGAAAGGCTCTAAATACTTACGAGAAATCCCAATGATTTTCGGTCAATTCAGGGTGACTACTATGCATGCGAGTCAATGGGGTTTCCTTAAATTCTTCGCAATCGCCAGAAACAACCATTGTTTCGACCATTTGGCGTGGTCGCTAAAATGTTCCACGCCCTAAGATTTATTACGAGCATACAAGATAAACACAACACTGGATGCTGTATAACTGAATGTGCAAACAACATACAGCATATGTTACAGAATCGGGTACTTATGATTGGTTATGTTTTCTAAAACATATGGAATGTAATTTACCATAGCGGCTCAACAAACTGACAACACCGAAAATCAATATAATTGTTGTCAACCATTATGACGAACTACGTTATGATGTTCCTTTTCCCGCCAACAACTTAATTTGACGAGGGGCCACAGTTTGGTGTCCTAACTCTGGTGAGGGTGAAACGAGGATAAAAAACACTCACCGATTTATCGAAGCATATGACTACGAAGAAAAAACACCACACAGACACACCCACACACTCGCACGCTCTGTGTAAGCCCCTTCTAGAGCACAAGGCGGTCACGGGCATAAATACAATTCGGCGAGGCAATATGCGGGTTGGCCCTCAAAATATCCGCAACGGTACACCCCTCTCTCACTGCAATCCCAGAAAGCGTCTCTCCCGGCTGCACTTCATGCACCCGGCCTCCAACCCTCCCAATAGAGGCACCACCACCACCCACACCCCTCACTGCACCCCTTCCTGCAGCCTTTGCTGCATCTGTGGTTGCACCTGATTGGCCTCCCTTACCACTGCTCCTAACCACACCACCCAGGGGGGTTTGCAACGATTCAACAGCCCGGGGCGTGTGCGTCGACCCGCCGGCCAGCAGCGTTTCAATCGACTCACCCGCCAGCTCATCAGAAATTCTGAAAGCTGCTCGCCTCTGCCCTGCTGCTGCGCCTCCTGCCATGCCTCCAACCCTGCCCCCTGCTGCTGCTACAGCTGCCCCTGGAGCTGCAACGGCTGACCTGGTAGTGCCCCTGCTGCTGCTGCTGCTGGCCTTCTCCTGGGTGGTTCTCTTTACAAGGAGATCCGGTATAAGCTGCTGCTGAAACTCCTTTCTGGGAGGGCTTGAGAACCTGTGCATACCACCGCTGCTGCCGCTGCCACTGACTCTACCACTGCCATTACCACTGTCTCTGCTTGATCCCTTGCTGCCGCTGCTGCTGCTGCCTCGCTCGCATGCCCCGTGGCTGCTCAACTTGCTGTTGCTGCTCCTCAGGTTCTCCCGTGTGCCATTCGCACCACTCACATTGCTGTTGCTGCTGCTGCTGACTCTGCCTTTCCCTTGGGTGCCACTCACGCCAGCTGCATTGCTACTGCCTCTCTCACAGGCACCTGTTCGCCCCTCAAATGGGTCGATGGTCAGGTGCGCTTCATCAAACGGTGCCCATTTGTCAAACTCGCCAGTGTTAGCTCTTCCCCCTGCCGAGGACTTTCCCTGGGAACTGGTAACAGGCAGAGGGCGTGTTCCTCTGCCTGCCCCTGCTGCCCCTGCTGCCCCTGCTGCCCCACCTGCAGTCCTTCTAGTTGCCGCTTCTCTCGCTGTTGATCGTGCTGACCCTGCTGCTGCTGTTGCAGACGCTGGCATTGCTGTGGTTACCGCACTACTCGTAACCGGACCAGGTTTGCTGGTGACAGCAGCAATGAATGACATCATCTCCTCCTTGTCGTCATCGTTGTCCCCATACTCGTTATAGGCAGGCGCCAGACAGCGCAAGAACTCCTCCTCCACCTCCGCTGCCTCCTTCTCTAGCTGCTTGAATCTGAAGCATGGGAATGGGCGGGCATTGTAACAACAGGCATTGCAATGAGGAAAATGTAAGTGAACCATGGCTAGAACTTATCAAAGTTGTTTACGATTTTTCCCTTTTCTTTCTTTATTTTTTTACGAGGTTTTCCATCTTTAAAGCGACGGTGCAAAATTGCCACCCAAAACCCAGAACCCTGGCGAACTGTTACTGCAGATGAAAAGTGTTCGCACAAAATCCTGGTTTTTGCGAGCCAACACTTTCGCGCTGGCAAGCCTGGATAAAAAAAAAAAAACTTCTGAACCCAACACTGCCAAAAGTTGCCCGTCGCTTTAAGCCCTCACACTTTCCAGCCTCACATTCTGGCCAATAAAATGCTAATCACCACTCATCACCACTCAGCACCACTTTACCTCTCATCGAACTCCTTCTCAGTGAGCTTTGTGCCCGTGGGCAGAGAAGTCAGCCAGTGGGAAAACCCTCCCTCGGTTACCACCTCCCCTTCTGCTGATTTTGAACCTGCTTCAACTGAGTCCTTCCCCTCAGCCACTTTCCCTGCTGACCCACCCAACCCTCCTACCCCTACCTTCCCCACCCCCCCTACTTCCCCCACTCCTCCCCCACTCGCTCTCCTCCCCTTCCTCCTCAGATTCTCAATCTCCCAATCGCTGCTCGCTCCGGCCGATCTCAGCCGTTGATGCCGCTGTGCTGCCATCACCACCGCTCCCCCCACCAGCACCGCCGCCCCTGCTGCTGCCAGCAACTGCCACTTCCGTGCCCCTAACCCCCTCCCCTGCTGCTCCTCCTGCTGCTGATCTAATAAAACCAACTCCTCCTGCTGCCCCATCCGCCCCCGTCCGCCCCTCCCCATAGTGCTTGTGTCAGGGAGGGACTCCGGTTCAGATGGGTGGAAAACGGTGGAAGTGGGGGAGATGGAGCGCAGAGGGGAGGTGTGTGTGCGGGGGGGTCTTGGCTGTCTGGGTGTGACTGTGGCGGGTGGGGCCTGTGTGGGTGGGAAGGAGAGGGGTCAGGATGGGGGAAGAAAAAGAGCGGAACGGTAGGGAGGAGATGTGTCAGGGAGAGAAAGACGAGTTTTAGGGAGAAATGTGCATGGCTTACCCTTTGCACCACACCGTTTGCATAAGAACACACACTTTTTGCACTGCATCACATTCCATTTGCACCGCAGTGCACGCCATCACAAACCCTCTTCACCACAGTACACCGCATCACATACCCTTTGCACCGCAGTAACTGAAGCCGACCTCCTCCTCCCCCGTACAGCCTCTGCTGGCCCTCCCCCCTCCCTCACCACCCAAGGAGGCACCCGCGCCGGCGATCGCGACCGAACCACCGCCTGCTGCTCCGGGCCGAGCCAAGTTGGCAGGTTCGGCAGATAATCACTCCTGACGGACCTGGGAATACCAACAGGAGCACCAGCAGTAGCAACCCCAGCACCACCACCAACACCACCGCCAGCACCACCGGCACCACCAGCGGCACCAGTACCACCAGTACCACCAGTACCAGCAGCAGCTGCTGCTGCAGCAGCGCTAGACGCTTGCCAGGCAGCAACCGAGGCGGAGTGGGAGAAGCGGCGAGAGGGGCTGGCGGGACGAGGGTAAGCAGGCGCCCACCACCGAGGAATGCTGCGATCCACTGCTGCCCCCTGCCCTGCTGTAGCAGCTGCAGCGACTGTAGCGGCTGTAGCGGGGGTGGCAGCAGTGGTGCTAGTAACAGTGGCAGCACTAGAAGCAGCAGCGGCGGCGCTAGTGGCACTGGCAGTGGCGAGGGTGAGGGAGGATGCAGCACTGGTAGGAGTGGCAAAGGAGCGAGTAGAGGTGAGGGATGATGCGAGGGAGGATGCGGAGGGGAAGGGGGAGAGGGGAAGGAGTTGGTCCGGTTCGGGCAGGATTGGGGGGCTTGGGGAATCAGAAGCTGGGGAGGCGGAAAGGGGGGAGGCGGAGGGGGTGGGGATGGGGGAGGCGGAGGGGGTGGGGGAGGGGGAAGGAGAGCAGAGGGAGGGAGATGGTGGGGAGGGAAGGACCTCGCTTTGAGGATTGCCAAACGAGGTTGGGGAGGGAGATGAAGCAGCTGGAGCAGCTGCAGGAACAGCAGGAACAGCAGAAGCAGCAGCAGGGGCAGCAGCAGGGGCAGCAGCAGGGGCAGCAGCAGGAGGAGGGAGGTGAAGAGAAGAGTTGGAAGCGGTCAGAGGGGCAGCAACCCGTGGGGAGGGTGGTGCTGGTGGTGGTGGGGAGATGGGAACCAGGGAGGGCAGACTTGGTGACGGTGGGACTAACTTGGGAGGCGGTACAGCTGGGGAGGGTGCAACTGGGGACGGTGCAGCTGGGGACGGTACAACCGGGGAGGGTTCAACTGGAGAAGGTGCAACTGGGGACGGTGCATCGGATGCAATAGCAGACTGGGAAATAGTGGCAACTGGGGAGGGCAAAGCAGGGGTAGGCAGAGCAGAGGAGGGTGCAGCTGGGGTGGGTGGGGCAGGGGAGGGAAGAGCTGGGGGAGGTGCAGCTGGGGAGGGAATAGCTGGGGGCGGTACAGCTGGAGCTGGTTTGGAAAGGGAGGCGGAGGATGAGAGGGAGGGCGAGGCAGAGAGGGCGGCGGTGGTGTTTCGGATGGTGTTGGATACAGACGACATGAGCCGGTGGCGTGTTGCTGACGTGGCAGTCACCATGCTGCCCTCAAAATCCTGGATGGGGTTCAAAAGAGGAAGGGGAAAAAAGCAGTCGAGGAGAGGTGGGAGAGGTGTGATAATATAGGGTGTGATAATAGGGTGTCAAGGCACAGAGTGTGGTGGCAGCATAATCACTCCTTCCAGAGAATAAGCAAGCGTGCCATGTTTTGGCAATTGGGTGAGGGCAAAGACACAACACCTCACTCTGTCTTTACAGGCATCGCCTAATCTGCACTCGTTTTTCATATGATGGCGCAATTGACTTAGTTTGACCCCCGTTGACCTGCGTTGACCCACGTTGGCGCACGTTGACCCACCTTGATCCCAATGGTTCGCTTGCTGAGTGTGCGCAAGCACAGATACACCCGCCTCAGATCACGTCTCTCCACCAGGTCAGGCGGGGTGAAGACATTCACATCATACAGCCCTATGCTGCGACAGATCTGCATGGCACGGAAGGTGAAGAGGGGGAGGGAAGGGGGGAAGTGGGAGCGGGAAGGGGGGAGTGGAAAGGGGAGGACAGGGAGGGGAGAAGGGGGAGTTGGGGGAGGGGGGATGGGAGAAACGGGGAAGGATGGGATTTATGGGGAATGCAGCAGCATGGCTCAGATACACCCGCCTCAGATCCCGCCTTTCCACCAGATCGGGAGGGGTGAACACATTAACGTCGTACAGCCCTATGCTGCGACAGATCTGCATGGCACGGAGGGAAAACGGGGGGGAGGGGGAGGGAGGAGGGGGTGAGGGAGTGGGATGGTTATCAGGCGGGGTGAAGACATTCACATCATACAGCCCTATGCTGCGACAGATCTGCATTGCACAGGGGGGAGAAGGGGGAAAGGGGAAAAGAGGCGCGGGTGAGAGGGGAGGGAAATGGATTGGGGGAAGGCGGTGGGAAGAGGGAGAAGAGGATAGATCAAAATTACAGAGTTGCAGAGAGGTGGGGAGGGACGGAGGACAGGGGGTGTGGTTAGGAGGGGAAAGTAGAGAAAATGAGGGAAGATGGGTGAGGAAAAGAGAAATTTCTCTTTCCATCCCAGCTCTCTAAAAGCTTTCCCTTTCTCAAGATAGCCTACATAGATTGCAACGGCCCTCCCCCCCCCAATTATCTCAGACCAGACCCACTCTCCCACCCCCATCCTCCCATTGCCCCCCCACCCCCCCATCCCCCACATAACTTTCCCCGTCTTTCCATCCTTACAACCCCCTTAATCCCCCCCTCCCTCCCGTTATTGTCACCTTGAGAAACATCTCCACTTTCACACACGCGCGCCAGAACGCCATGTTCCGCCCCACTTCCGCGGACGCCGCCTCCCCCTCCCCCTGCTCCGCCTCCCCCTCCCCCTCCTCCGCACCCTCCCAGTCCTCCCCTTCCTTCAACCCCGCCCCGCTTCCGCTCTTGCCCCCGCCCCATCGCGCAAACGAGCCCGCCCCCTTTCCCCCGAGCGCGCTTCCCCCTTCTCCGCCGCCCCCCGCCTTCCCCATAACCAGCCATCCCCTGGCCGCGCGCTGAGCCGCCCGTCCCACCTCCACACTGGGGGTTCGAGAGGGTGCGGAGAGGGCAGGGGGAAGGGAAAGGGGGAAAGCGGGAAAGGGGAAAAAACGGGGAAGGTGGTGGGGGAAGGGTAATAATGGTGGAGAGCGGAGGACAGGCTTAATTCGGCGGAAAGAAGAACAACGGGCGAGGAGGGGAGTGGGGCGGGTGGCGAGGGATGGGGAGTGCGCGGGTAGCACGTGAGAAAGTCTGACAGTACTCCGCTCAGTACGGACGGAGAACTAACGCGACTCCATGAACTTACACACCAGCCTATGAGACGGACTACGAGGCGCCATAAAACCCCTGCTGCGGATATCAGGCGACGTCCATTCGTACACTAGAAACGCACCGGAATAAGAGGCGCACTCACAACGTCTGCCCATCCTCCAGAATATCGAAGAAAGTTTGAGTTGACTAAGCACACACAAACCGGAATAAGAGGCGGACTCACAGCGTCTGCCCGTCCTCCAGAATATCAGGGAGCGCGCGGTCCGACGGAAGCTGCCGATCCAAGACACGCTCGATCCATGCCCGGGCCTGCGACTGAGGTACGGCAGCAACGAAGCGCGGAAGCAGGGGAGAAACACGACTTCGCAATTTCCGCAGCAGCCGAAGGATGGATGGAGGAGGGGACGAGGTTGCAAGGAAATGGGGTGGAGAAAGTACAAAACTGGAAAGGACAGAAAGCAGGGAGAAACGAAGACTAGACAGGGAAATGGCAAAACGGACAGAAGGCAGCTGATAAACTAGCAAGGAACGACGGTAACCAATGGAAGAGCGCCACGTGGCTGCGGTACCTCGAGAACGGTAACGTCCTCCTCTGCAGTCAAGCCACCGCCCGAAGCGCTGCTCGCTGCCGAGCCGACACCAGCGTTGCTTGCGGCGAGCATCGCGGCGCCAGACGGCGACCGCGCAGCGGCGCGTTGTGCTGCCTCTGATGCCACCATGATTCGCGGAGACTTGTTACGTACGCTTATTATTAGCGTGCTATTAGGCTTTCATAAAGGCTCGTTTGTTAGGCTTATTACTAGGCTTCTATTGAGGCTTGTTAGTAGTCGTTTTCCTCGAACAGCTATTAGTCTTTTGACCCTCTTGCAACATAAACATAATGCGATTCGAGCGAGCTGCTCGCGGCTCGAGTTGTCTACAAGCAGTGCGCTTTTTTCCGACGATTAAACTAGGGGCGTCACATAAATAATGCTCACTTTTGGTCGCCGCCTCCAATAAGGCGACGAAACTAATGAGGCTTCCTACGAGATTAAACAGTGCCCTACGTAAGAAGCAGATCAGCGGCAAGTCTAGAGCACAGTGCAGTTTAGAGCTGTCGGGAGCGGAAGAAGAGTTGGGAGATCTACGGCGAAAATTGTCGCTACACTGCGACGCGGGATGAAACCCTCGGGTGGTTCAGCGTGTCCTACGGCGCACAATGGGGCTCTGCGGCTGCGCTTTCGGCAGCAAGAGGCGCGGCGGAGGCTTACGTGGTGGTGGGGGTGGGGGGGTTCTAAATATCGCCCCTGCGCAAATTGCTGACTGGGCTAGGGGAGGCGGAAGAGGGGCAGTGACACCCTGCGTCACAGAGCGGTTACTGATCAAACTAGCACGGTTGAGGGAGATGAAGTTTAATTTTTAAAACGCGGAAGGGGGGATTTCGCCCCTGGAGGGGAAATTTGACCCCGCAAAGCTGGGGTTGGGGGAGTCGACCAGGGTTCGTGGATGGCGCGAAAGCAAAACGAGGGGGAGCGAAGTGTAGCAGAAGGGGGAGTCAGACAGGAATTGGCGCGAAGCCCTACGCGACCCGCTTCTTTTTTATTAGCCGCGACAGCTGGCAGGAAGAAAAACAAACAAGAGGCGACTGAATCGTCTTAGGGTAGCGAAGCATTTTGCTTTGCTACAATCATCATTCGAACCTTGGACCTTTCGATTGCCCACCCTGATCTCAACCGACCAAACTAAAATCGCTGTCTCGGTTTGTGTTTATGATATTTCAAACTCTTTGACGCGACGAACTCAGCACTAGCTTAGGGTTTGTGTCGTGTTTTTTCTCTCCCCTTTCCTCTCGCCGCTGCAGCTAGCTTACTGCCACTAGTCACTCTGCTCCTACCTACCACACAAAGGTGAGGAGAACCTCAACTGTTAGCTATCAACTAGTTTATATATTATTCTTTAATTTAACGTTTCTTAATCTCGTATCCTTGACCGTTCTAAAGCTAGATCGTTTTTTAAGGATTGATGTCATTTCGACTAAGCAACTAGTTTGTTCTTAACTAGTGCGTGCTTCTCACTTCTTGCTACCGTATCAACGTTTTCGCCTTGTCTTAATCTCTGAAAACTATGCACTTCACATTTCCGTCGCCATTACTCTTCACATTTCATTCTCAATGCATTCAATGTAAACAGATTTGCTCATTCCTTTCTTTCTTAGGCGTCCTCCTTGAGTTCGCTTCCTGACTATACGCCATCTACTCGTTGCTAGGTGAGTTGTCCATTTTTTCCAATTCTTCCTTCTTTACTTTCCTGGAAGACTTCTCTTTTTCCTCATTCGTTTTTGTATCTTACATTTCATTCCGCTCCCTTTCATTTCTCTCTGCTTGTTGTATTCGTGCTTCGGTTTAGTGTCTATTCTTGCATTGATATATTGTGTTCCTCTTCCGTTCGTTTTCCATTTTTCATTCATTTTTTCTGTTTGCTTTGCCTTAGGGTTTGATCATCACTTTTTTCTCTCTCCCTTCCTCTCGCTAGTTGAGCTTACAATGCCCCGCTGATTACGCTCCACCTACCACATCAAGGTAAGATCAATGCTAACTTATTAACTAGAACTATGTTAGATGAGTAGGATCTAGACTAACATTTCTTATTCTCGTTTTAGGTGATGCAAGATTTAAAGATTTTAGCCTTTTCATGTTTTCAAGGTTCATAAGCCTTTCGCTCAGGGCCTCAGATTGGTTTGAGGGTATGCTGATGGATCAGCGTGCCCCTGCCACCAGCTGTCCAAATCAGCGTTGGTGGTTTTCAATATACTGATTCTGTCAGTGTAAAATTCTTGACTATACTGATCCTTCAGTGTAAAATATTCCAAGATAATATACCCTAACTTACCTAACTACTACTAACTACCAACTAGCTAGCTAACTAGCTCATGTCATGTCATGTCATGTCATCATCTGAAGAAGAAACACTCGCATCATCACCACTGCTGCTACTGCTGCCATCATCATCACTCTCACTGCCATCGGATGCAGAACCACTCATCATGCCCTCATCTAGCTCCTCCTCCACCTGCACCAGCCGGCGGCCACTCCCCTTAACAAACTTGGCCTTGGGTCGCTCCTTCTCTGGCGCGGCTTGCTCCTTGCGCTTGCTGGGGCGCCTTTTCCTGGTGCTCCGCCAGATGTCCACCACCGCATCCCAGTCCATGTCGTAGTCGAGAAGAGACATTGCCAACAAATCTCCCAGCTTGGCGTTGCAGAGACTCGTCCGGCGCCACGACTTGATCACATTCTGGCGGGAAAATCCGCGCTCGCACTCGACTGTGCTGAGCGGCAGAACAGCGACGGCAGCCCACAGACGGACTAAGTTGGGGTAGCTGGTCTGCCAGTCGCTGGTCTGCAAGATGGCCTTCAAACCTGCGTGAAAGGGCTGCTCTTCCTTGGGCGCAGTGGAGAGCACCGGCAGGAACGCGCGCAGCTCCGCTCGAGCTGCACGCTTCTGGACACCTGCCAAACAGGAGAGCACAACCGGGTAGAAAGTCAGGCCCTCAACATGGGAATAACGCAACCGCTTAGAACGGCAACGCATACACGCAGGGCATTGGGGTTCTCTTTCTAGCTCACCTGGCAAGATCGTGTCCCGGTTCTTGGCCTGGAACAGATGGACGAGGACGTGCAGGTGCTCCTTGCACTCGGCCTCTCTAGCCTCGACGGCTTTCGGCCACGTGCGGGGCATGAAGAGCTTCGCCCCGTTCAACCGCGTCAGGTCTCCCAAGCGCAGCTCGAGGTTGTACACCAGCTCGCGGGCGAAGGAGCGGCAGCACATGTAGCAGCCTTGCATGCCCCCGCTGCTGGTGGTGTATCCCTTCACGGCCTCCTCGTGCAGCTGGAACGTGTGTACCCGGGCCTGACCCTCCTTGTCCACCCCTCCACAGTCACTTCACAGCAGTCGGGGGAGGCGTGCCGCGCGAGGAAGGCAGACAGCAGCTCGCTGGTCCCGCCGCCAAACTGCTGGCCACAGTGCAGGTACCGCTGCTCCATGTAAATGATGGTCCGCCTCACTTGGGAGTGCACTGCAGTGAGGTCAACCTGTTGGTAGGGGGAGAATAGGTACACCGGAACAAAAGATTAGAAACTGGGAGAAGAACTGAAAAGCACAACGTTACTCAACAGCTCACCTGACGCTTCTGGAATAGCAGGTTGAGCGCGTTGAGTGCCGTGTGCACATCTGCCGTGTGCACATTGTTTGTTAAACATTAATAAGGCTTCTTGGTATTTCTCCTCGGCAAAGTCGGGCAGTTCTGTATCGGAAGACACCTCAACCGCTTTCCCCTTCATTTTGTCAAACATTATATATGTTGTGTTTGTTTAGGCTACAGTGGGTTAGCCTATGGGGGGTACACAATTCTAGGGTTTGGTACTTGTACTGCTTTCACTCATAGTTCAACCATTCCAGTCTCTTCTTTCTGACATGGCGCACGCCCCGTGGCGTGCGACGGATTTTTTATCCCCCGCGCGCACGGGGCGTGCGGCGGTTTTCCTACCCGCCGTGCGCCCCGGACGCGCGGCGGTTTCCTACCGTGGGGGACCCCCGCGCGCCCCCGATTTCCCGTCCCGCTGCCCTGGGGAGCCGCGCGCGACCCCCCCGCTGACCCGATTTCCCGTCGCCCGCGGCCCCCCGTTCCCGTCGCCCGCGGCCCCCCGTTCCCGTCGCCCGCGGCCCCCCGTTCCCGTCGCCCGCGGCCCCCCCGTTCCCGTCACTCGCGACCCCCCGCTGCCACTTCGCGGCGCCCTACGGAGCCGCGCGCGGCCCCTCGCTGCCCCGTGGTGGCGTCCTGGGGGCCGCGCGCCGTCCCCCTCGCCGTCCCCCGCGCTCCTTCCCCCGTTCCGCCCGTTTTAGGGTTTGGGGGTGAGGAGTGTGGGGGTGGCGGCTATGGGGGTGTCGGTTGTGAGTTACTCCTCCTGCTCCTCCTCCTCCCTCGTCTCCCTCTGCTACAGCTGCCGCTGAGGGGGGTGGTGTGTGGGAGCCTAGGGTTTGGGGTTTAAGGGGGGTACCGTGGGAGTGGAGCTAGGGTTTGAAGCAGGGGGTGTGTGTCGAGGGGTGTGGGACTGTTGGGGGAGGTTGAGCGGAGGTTGCCGTCGTGTAGTATGTAGCGCCTGTACTCCGGGGCACTCATTCCCGGTAGCTCAGAGAGCCGGTTGCGCCGTCGCCTGTGGGTCCGTTGCTCCTGTCGCGCGTATTAGCCGCGGAGCCTGTTACTCCTGTACTCCGGGGCACTCATTCCCGGTAGCCACTGTGTCGCACCAGAGCCGTCTGTTGCCCGTGTGTCTGCAGCTTCAGTCGTCGCCTCCTAATCTACTCTCCTCTCGCCAGCCCTCCTCCTCCTCACTTACCCTCTGTGACTGCCTCTAGCTTTACTCATAATTGTGAACTTTAAACTATTCCTTCTTGAACTTGTGCTCAGAATGTGTGGTGACATCGTGATCCACCCTGAGCTTGTACTGCTTTGCTAGCTCTGCTGATTACACCCCACTTTGGCTATGGGGGTGTGTCAGAATATTATGCTCTAGCCTGCAGTGGGGTGCTCTATAGCGAGTACAACCCTTCTAGGGTTAGCTATTTGTACCACCATTGTTGCTAGTGCAACCCTCTCCTTTGCTTCAAAAAAAAAAAAAAAAAAAAAAAAAAAAAAAAGCACTGCTTTCTTGCAGGGCAGCCTGCACGAGGAGATCTGGCTGTG